GAATGGTCTGGTTTTTATGGGCCGGCAATACTTTTGAGAAGACTTATAGTTGAATCTCTGTTTCATCGTGCTAGCTCCGTCGTGCTAGCTTCACACTGATGTAAGTTCTACAAAACAAATACTACGATATGAATGAATATTAGTTGCGAAAAATATAACCATTCGTCTTCTTGGTTGAATCTGAGTGAGATTTTAGAATATGATCTATTGATTTCACGAATCAGAAGACTACAAGTTAAACTATGAATAAGATTACAATAAAAGCATTGGAATTTTTTGACATCGGTTTGAACAACTGGATTGATCTGTTGTCTTTTGATAGAAGTTAATTAAAACTTTTTTCGTATAACTATAGCGATTCAAAGATATCTTTTGGTGGTCTTCGAAAAGACTACTAAGAAATCAAAATGACATTTAGTCATCTATGCACGACAAATTTCAGTAGATAAATAAATCAGTTCTTAATATTTGTTCTCTGTGCATTTACAGTAGATAGTCCTTGCTTTTATTGATATTAGGTGAAATTATTTTCATGATACTAACATTAATAATTAATTATTGTATTTCATTATCTTATTGAAATGTAGACGACTTTGAAAAAAGCTCCACTATCAGTCTAAAAATTACCTCAGCGGAACGAAAAAAAGAAACGAAGCTATCTCATTCATTGTCTATCTTGTACAATATGACAGTTCTTTATTTAAGAACGATATAAAGCATGACAGAAGTCTTTTACATATTTTTATCACAATTCATAAAACTTTAAACAAAGAAAAACAGATATGCAGGCGAGAGATGCCTAACAGATGCCATTGCTCTCTCTTTGTCTTACTATGAAATTTCTCAACATTCATTTTTCACTTACAATGGAGGTGTTTGTACTGTTCATCACGAACACCGCTCATGCTGTTATCAAATGAAAGATCTCATTACCAAACTAACAGGGTTAAAATATTAGCGGCCCATGGCTTGCCTAAAGGGAGATATTCGGTTTTTCAGTGAATTTTCTCTGCAGGACCCGCTTTCCCAGCAAAGTCATATTCTTGAATTTGAACCTGAAACTTTGTATGCTTGAAGGTCTCAATGAGACTAGTTTACCAAAAAAAATTCAGAACTTTTGGACAAACTATATACGAGATATGAATCTCTCAAAATGTACAACTTCTATAGAAAATCGCCAATACTTTGAGAGATTCATATCTCGTATATAGTTTGTCCAAAACTTCTGAATTTTTTTTGGTAAACTAGTCTCATTGAGACCTTCAAGCATACAAAGTTTCAGGTTCAAATTCGAGAATATGACTTTGCTAGGAAAGCGGGTCCTGCAGAGAAAATTCACTGAAAAATCGAATATCTCCCTTTAGGCAAGCCATGGGTCGCTAATATTTTAACCCTGTTGGTTTGCCAATGAGACCTTTCATTTGATACCAATATGAGTGGTTTTCGTGATGAACAGCACAAACACCTCCATTGTTAGTCTTCTTACGACGATTACTTGAATCAATTGATATTTTCGATAGTGAGATGTTGAATTCATGGCAAGGCCTTATGAAATTCGATATTTATAATAAGAAACTAATTTTACTTTTAAAGTGAGAGCTTTATTTATATTCAATTATTCTGAGAGAGTAAGAAGGATCTTCAGAATGTGCTATTGTTGGTTTTTGTGAGAAAATTCTTTTATTTTGATTCCTTCGTCACACAAATCAGTTCATATTTTTTTATTATGTCTATTGAATTCGTTGTTAAAAAATGCATAAATCCGTCTAAAATTTTGTAATAATACGTTATTGATATCAGCCATTTGCTCGTTTATGAACATAGTCTTTGATGACCTTTGTAATGGTGTTCTAACAAGCACAATTACAAGTAGATTAAGTGCTACCTTTGCTCATAAAACTAATCTAACTTGTTTTGCTAAAAACAATTTTTCTTGTTTCTTTATTAAAATAGAGCTAATCGTAATGCTAAACAAAATCTTGAAATGGATTGGAGTAATAAATGGGAAGCATCAGTTGCTGATGGGAAAGCAGCAAATCGTCGTAATGAAGATGTTGATATTATGTTTTATCCAGGTGTTGCTCGACACTACGATAAGTAAATATAATCGAATGACGTATTCTTCCATTTTGTTTTTGCATTCAGTCAATCAACACCTGAATCTTGGGCACAGAACTCTCATGATAATATTGTCAATGGCCAAAATCAACTTATGGCTTCCATTCAATTACGTGCATTGACCGATAGTATACTTAGTGATATTTCACGAGATATGCGAGAACAAGCTGATGTTGTCGAAACAGAATTCGGACGACGTATTTCTGAAATGTCTGATGCGCTGCAAAAAATGACTCACAATAATCGTGAAGTAATTATTAAAAAGAAAAAAACACAAAAAGTTATCTATGCACTTAATTTAGACACTAAAAGCCATTGCTGACAATGAGAATAAAATTGATATGCTTCGTGCTTCAATACGTGCAAAAGAAGCACCACTTAAGGTATCTCAAACGCGTTTGAATGACCGACGTGCTCGACCCGGTATTGAATCATGCCATGATCCAACTCAAGATCAGTAAGATCATGATTTATTTGTATTTTTATTGAACAAAACAAAATAATTTTTTTCTTCAAGTTTGGTCGGCGAAGTTTATCAGCTATCACAATCAGTAGATAATCTTACTGGAGAATTACGTGAAGCAGAATCGAATTTGAAAAAACTTCGTGACGATCATCAGATGCTTGTAAAAGAAATCGAAATGAAGAAAAATAGCCTCTACATCGATCAACAAAAGAGTATGGCAGTTCGAATGCGATATCCAAGTGTTCAACGACTACTCGGTTACAATGCGTAATCAAAATAAACTTTTCTTCCATTTAATAAATACATATTTAAACATTTACGAAACAGTGTGAGTGTGTGCGTGCGTGTGTGTATTGTATACCTTTCAATTCCATAGAACAAAAGAAAAAGAACATATCCAGATACCTATTTTCTATCAAAAACTATTGATTATATATATATTTTTTCTTTTTTAAATTTTATTTGCTAAGTGCCATTTCTAATTGAACCTGATTTTTTTAAACTGATAGCGTCACGTAGAAAAAATTGTCCCTAATATTCAAATGAAACTAACACCTATTAGTGTTGCTATTGTTAATTATATGTATTTTCTGTTTCGTGTATGAAGAAAAGGATGTCGGCTATGACACAAATGAGTTTTTTTCGTGCTATTGATCATTACTCGGTACATGAAATTCGACTATGAAAAGATATGTTCATCATTTTTGAAATGAATGAAAAGGAAATTTATCATGGTGACCGATGTGCATTAAAAAGAAAGAGAAACTGTCGAAACAAAGATAGACAAAGAAGAAGAAAATATTGATAATATCAAATGTTGAAGATTGTAATGTTTTATGGTTGTGAGTGAATTGAAGTAAATGTAGATATGCAGTTGGATGAGTATGAGCTTCATTAGATACTGATTTCAGTAGGTTCGACGTTACGTATAGACTAGTCTATGTCTCAGGGAGTATCTATCTCTGTGTTTGTGTATAAGTGTGTATAAATGCAGCTACATGTCGAGTTCAAAGGTTCATATTTTGTGAACCCAACTCCGGCCGATTATAAATTTCTATGCTCAGACTAAGATTTGAACTGAATGAAACCGAATTTTAGTCTTCTCAGTGAAGTTTTCTACAACTCTAGCACAACAGAAAATTCGAGTTAAGACAATCGGATCCGATTCTAGATGAAGACATGCGTCAAAACTTGTCTTGATTTTTTTAAACCTTACATTCAGTAAAATTTGAAATATCTGGCCAAGTAAATAAATATTCACTGTTCCAAAAGTTTCTTTCGAGGTTTATTTTTCAATGCATTTGAGTTGACCTTTTAGTTTTTGGGAGTTTTCATATTTTATAGTATATCCTTGCAAGGGACACTTATTTTGGTATATGTGAACGTAAAGAATATATAAAAATGATACATGTGATTGACTGGACTATTTTATTACTTACATGGGACATATCATTTTCGATACAGATCAAGGTAAATATGGCTGAATCATCAAATAACACTAGAGTCCTACTATATGATCGTAAAACAATGATTTCAATCATTGAAAACGTGTATACACAGACAACTGTTACTGTTGATTTATTTACATAGTAAGAATGTCGTTCTGCTTGATCAAACCTTTTGTTTCAAAAGGTAAAAGGTATATTTTGTGATCATTGACATGAGAGAAAATATAACTGTCGCCATGTTTATATTGCTAATGTATATTCTTTTAGTTACATATGTTGGTCTTACTATATACAAATTTATTTATTTCATAAGAAAAGTTATTCAGCGCAGCCCCTTTGGGACTAAAATGTGGAACTCACGTATATCCTTGAAGCCTTGATAGACCAATAAAAATGTGTAAAATGAAAAATTTCTCAGACTGTTGGTTTTTCAAAATAATTGATTATCATACCAAAATCTCTCTCATTTATTTTTCCATTTTCAAAAGATTATTGTAATTTGGTTGGTGCCCTTTTTTTCTTACGTATTTTTCCTGTTTTATCTTCATTTTTTAAATTTTTATTCTAATTAATACTTAGCTTTTAATGTCTGTAATGGGGAGGGGGGGGGTGGGAGCCGCAAAATTCTGCCCCTTAAACTTACGCTCACTATTTTCTTCAAAAATATACGCGAGTTCCACAAAAAGATTCTATGCTATATTGTGTTCATAGAATTCGAACATCAATATCCTATGTTAAGCACTATACCCGTATAGATTAACAAAAGCTAGGAGTACAATAAGGCAGTAATCACGATAGCCAATGCAGAGCCGAAAATTTTCAGATAGAAAACTGGTGCTCAAATGTAAACACTTAGACTTTCATTTTAAGACATTTGTGAAGCTCGGTGAAAAAATGATCTAATACATCTAGAAATATACATCTGATTCAATAACGACAGAAACTGTAAGTCAATTGTGAGTAGAATGAGAGTGCTCTACTAGTCATGCCAAAGGATCGACATTAGTTTCATACTTTAATGACTAGCGACCACTGATTATCATTCGACGTCAGTTTAAAATAGGATGTTTATGGCGCTGAAATCATCGATCATTATTGCATTAGTCTAAAACGTGACTGTAACAGATATTATTTGTGCTTATATTTCTTTTTTTCCCGGTGTGGTTCTATGATCAACTTGCTTAGTGATTTTTTCTTTTTTTTTATTGTTTCACTACGTACATTCTATTACCCATGTTCTACTATGTAACTGTACATTTTAAACTGATCTTTTCATCTTTTTTTTAGATCTGGTTGGATTTCATCGAGCAATTATACGAATCGAATTGTATTAAATACTGACAAAATTGTCGATTGTCATCAACCATTCGATGGAAATTATAATCAACATTTTGTATTGAGTAGAAAATCATTAAGAAATGAGACATTGTATTGAACATAAATAGGAAGTGTTTCATATTCGTACGAACCATGGTTACTTGCAACTCAATTCACACACATACTAACTGGCAAAACAAAATATTCGGTGAAAACTATTATGAAAACATAGCTCGAGACTACTCTTGGGGGCAGTCATAATATTTTAGTTTAACCAAAACGAAACGAAACGAAGCCTTCACTTCGATTTCAAGATGATAAGAGACAGTTCTCTTGATGCAGTTTTATCTTGACTAAGACTGATTCAACATTGCAATGTGCTATCGAGCAAGGGCTCATCAGCACGCGACTTAAAAGTGAAAGACATACAAGAATCTGAAAATTCTGCATGCAAGATTGAGTAGAAGTTTGTAAATATACGTGAAAAACAAACAGTAAATGAATGGATTACGAGAAGATAGACTAGAGAAGCACAAATATGGCACATTCAAAATTTTATTTAGATCTACTTCCTGATAGCAATGAAATACAATCTTTATTTCGTGACTTTAGATAAGACCAATCTAATGGATTCTACTAAAAGCGAATCGTTAACGTTACCACAAACATCACCTGTCCTAATACAAAACAAGAAGACATTGGCTGCCGCTGATAAAAATTAGAGCATTATTAGTTTACCAAAAACAATTTCAATGGCATTGAATAAAGAAAAAAGGTGAGTCGAAATCATATTACGCTTTACGTATCTATCACTTCAACATTTCACAAAAGAAGTTTCTGCCCTAGCTGACAGCTAGACATCGTTATGTGAAGGTCTAGGTCCATGATTGTCACCAAGACTCGAAAATTAATATTTTCTATTTTCTTCTTGAAATACATATTGCAATATAAATCTTTTTGCGAATTAGTTGCATCTCTTATTAGAAGATACAAATTCAAATAACAATAAATTTTATTTTTACGCCTGAATAATATTAGGATTAAATTCAAAAATATTATCTTTTTCTGTTCTAGTAATTGTAAAAAATATATTTTATATTTGTGCGGACTTGTCGCCGGTGCCATTATATTTTATGGATTATTTTCGAGTTCAAAGTTCTATATGTTGCAAATAGTGCAAATATATCACAAACCTTCTTACACCAAGGCTCCTTCAATATCGAATGTCATTCAAAAAGAAACAAATAGTTCAAAAATTGATTTGCAAGTTGCACAACCATTATTTCAATCACGTACTTCTTCGTACTATCCGCATTTACCAATACATATTTATAATCAAAATCTATCATCTTTAAGAAATCGATCAAAACTTATTTTAATGGGAAATGGATTTTTCGGTGATGGAAGTTGGGGCTTGAATACAAAAACAGGAACCTCAACCGAACTTAGTAAAAGTAAAATCTTAATATAATTGAAAATCTATTTATCATTTTTAGTGAAACAACTTTCGTGTCCATATTTGGGTGACTATTGTGATATAACAACCGATAAAAATCGTTTTTCAGAGGCTGATGCCGTTATTTATCATATGCGTGATAAAATTGATAGGAAAAAAGCTGAAAAGAACCGCCGTCCACATCAACGCTTTGTATTCGCTCTCTGGGAGTCGCCACCACATACGCCTAATATAAAATCTTATAAAAAGTTTTTCAATTGGACAATGACTTACCGATTTCAATCTCATGTAGTAGCATCATACTATTCAAGCAATGCTTACATACATACATCTAGCGATTATTATAGGTATCTTCTAAAAGAAAATACTGCAAAAAATCTTAATTTAAATTTAAGAAAAGCTAATTATCAACTTTCCGATGAGATGCTAACGAATAAAAACTTAGGTACAGCTGCAGCATTAATATCAAATTGTGGTGGTAAAAGTGGACGATTAACTTTTATAAGACGTTTACAACGCCACATGGATGTTAAAATTTATGGACGATGTGGTAACCAATGTCCTGAAAATGTCGATTGTCGAGAGTTCATTGGAAAAAGATATTATTTTTTTCTTAGTTTTGAAAACAGCCTATGTACAGATTATACAAGTATGTGTAAAATGTTTCGATAACGAGAACAAGAACTGAATTATTTTTCTTTTATAGCGGAAAAATTTTTCTCCGTGCTTGAACATCCCATTGTACCTATTGTTTATGGACGCACAGATTATTCTACTTTTATTCCATCATCTGGTTTTATAAATGTAAATAAGTTTTCTAATTTTACGGCGTTAGCTCAATATCTTAAAAAAGTTCGCTATGATAAAGAAAAATATTTATCATATTTTTCATGGAAGAAAGATTATGTGTGGGGCGTAAGTCAATTGTTCACACCGATTTGCGATGTTTGTTTACGTTTGCATCTTGATTCAACACCAAATGTAATCGATGATATGGATGCTTGGTGGAATGCAAATACATGTCAAGCACCAAAATTATGGAGATGGTAATAACTCTTTCAATGTTCCTATTGGTTTGCTTTGAAAAACTACGTATTATAATCTGCTCGATCTGTTTGTATACAATTATATTTGAATCTCATGTGACATACGACTTGTACTAGTGTTGTAAAATTGTTTTGTTTTTCTTTTCAACTAACTTTTACAAGAATTGCTAATATAACAACGAAATAATTTACTTCAAAAGTATAAAAAGAACTTGAAATCTTTTTATTTCGTTAAAATCAATTTAAATTAAATTTTTCTTCAAATATGGCGACTTTAATGAGCAGAGGGGTGAATCAAGTGAACATTGATTTTCTAAGTACTAACCATGATCACTATTTTATTCATATATGAAAGAAGTAGAATACGGGTCAACATCATTAGATCGATTAGACAAGATTCATTGAGTCGATATCCATAGATATATTTTTAACTATGAATGAATAATTCTAATCATATGGAACCGTTTTTGTTTTGTTCTATCGGAAGTATGCCGGTTAAAAAACAATGGGTCTTACCGTTTAAAAAAAAGATTTCAGGAATAATTCAGCTTTCTTTAACCAAACTATCATCTATTCATTTCGAATCGAATTTTTAACTCGATCTGTTCATTTAAAAGACTTATTTGGTCCACTAAGTTTCATAAAAAAAATGCCAGATGACTTTAAGCAAGATTTAATTCTATTAAATTTTCAAAGTTTGTATCGTAGACCAACACAGGTTCGTTTTCTGCATTGGATTTTAAACGAATATAACAAGTTTTTTCTTTTCTTCTAAACCCTATTTGCTATGTTGTATGTTTATCAATTGTATATAATAATGCAATAAGCTTCATGAAAATTTGTACACTTCAGTTATTCCATTCGAATCCATTAGTAACAGAAAATGTTTTGTGATGCCGAAATGAAATTTGTACAATTGGTATGACGTATATCAATTATACGAGCCTAATTTTCTCAACTTGAAATTTTCTTTCTCGTCATAGCATTGAGTAGTACATAATCCTGACATTGACTTGTATACAGTAGAAGTCTCCATAGAAATGAGTGCAGTCATGATTATATCCGTTCGAATTTGGCGCCTATTATAAGAACATTTTATTATATTACTCTCTAGAACCAACACATATTCATCAAGAGTAATTAGTTAAAATATGTGGAAAACTGCTCAGGTTGTGAAAAAAGTTATCAATTACAATTTTGTTCGTCGGTCAACATTATTCTTATCTTCATACATCTAATAGTTAGCGTTTCATGTAGATTTGATAATTAAAAAGAAACATTCAAAAACAGAACGATGGATATAGACTTATTCAATATTTTTAGTGATACAATCCAGATAAGAAATGAATGTTAAAATCATTACAATTCTGATTGTAATTCGATAAAAGATTCAAAGATATTCTTTTCCGATGAAGCTATAGCTTCACGAAAAAGATTCACTTTGGATATAGTGTGTATGAAAGCAAGAAATATATATCATAATTACCATTGAGAATAACAGATAAATGTTTATCCTTGTTTGATGCGCATACTATTTGCGCTAAATCTGTTACTATCAAAAGAAGAAGCGTGTAATCTACTACGGACAGCTTCAGGCAAATTTTATTGTAATCAATACAATCTTGAATCGGAGCAGTATTCGACAAAAGAATTTCTTTAACTTTCTTTCTACCAGAAAATGCTGTCAGAGTGGCACTGATCATGCAAATTTCAACCTATTCAATGAAGAATTCTAAAATAAAAAAAATCACTATTATTCTTTTATGTCACAGAAAATTTACTACTGTCATCTTTGATAAAATCTTTTTCAGTGGGCTTCCTTGACTGTTCTTTTCTTGAGATAGATTCTCAACTGAGTATCTATAGATTGTACTAAAGCTATCAACTAACTAACCATTAACATAAAAGAATACTCATAGGCTTAGTTAAGCAAAAATGTCTTCCTGTTTATCTCTGCGCACTTGTTGGCTACCACGAACAGTGTCTTTTCTGCAAATCTTTTTACACACTAATTTTTTCAATAAATCAATCAGAAATGATACATCATCTCGTCGCTCAACTTCACGGTTTTCACTTAAAATTGTTCGGTTTCTATTTTTAAAATATCGCATTAAGCATAATACATCCAACACAACGATTGCTTCAATGTCTACGAAAGCTGATCATCTAAAAAATGAACCCCATAGACATACGCATTTATTAGCACGAAGTTTTCTGCTATCACTTGAGCCAGGTTGATTTTTAAATAATCTTAATTGTTCAAAAGCCAAGTTCTTTATTTAAGAACATCGAAGAATTCTTCGCGATGCATTAATTCATGTGGAAAATCCAACACTAGCCAGTAGGTCAATCAAAATAAGTCCTTCATATAACTAGCCGTTGATAAAAGAAGTTGATAGGTGACTTATATTATAGTTTTTCATGAAACTGGTCTTTCATATATTGGTTTTGGTTTTGTTGATAATTTCATTATTCTTATTGCGGTAATTCTAGATTATATTTTTATTTAATTTACCAATATTTTATAATGATTAGGGCGAAACGATTGAAATATTTTTTAGTGCTGCTTTCCCCCGTTCTACTATGGCAGGCAATTGAGTATACGCAATTAAGAAACAAAACAAAAAGAAATCGTTCGTACATTTGAAAAAGCTACTGGTCTTGGAAATGCTATTAGTGATGTTATGCGTATTGAGTAAGCTAATTAATTTCGGTAAAAATCTACGGATTCAGGCTCTTGAAATCTGTATTCTATACAGTTTTGCGGATCGTATCGAACGAGCATCTGGGCGAATTTTAGCTTTATTCGGTATTGATTTACCAAAATTAATGAGAGCTCAATGGAGATTACGATCCGTACATATAACACAACTTTCAGTAAGAGATAAATTGAAATATAGTTTAGATATAGATTATTTTCTATAATTGGTTTAATCACTATTTAGGCAAAAAATTATTTATATTTTTTTTGGTAAATTTTTAATTATTACACAAGTTTGATTTATCTATTTTTCTCTATTTCGCAACAAAGATGTTTATTAGGTGAGGGATACTAATGTCTCTTTTTTTCTTCTTCTTCTTTCTCTTAGCTAATAGTGACTTCGTATGTCATAGGGATGTATCCATTACCTTTTCGTGGTAATTCAGCAAGCAAAAATAAATCAACAGAAACAAATGAGGGCTAATCGGAATCTAATATAAATAATAGACGGCTAGCAAACGAATATGTTAGAACTATATATGAATTTTTTATCAGTACTCCTCTCTTATACAAAATATATTTTATTTATATAATTCAAAAAATTTCAAGCTAGTTCTCATTAGCGAACGTCAATTTATCTGCGCCGAAGAATATTGTACTTGTGTGTATGCAGAAAAACAAATTATCTTTTTTCTTTGTATTAAATGTATATTTTCTTTTAAATGTTATTTAAATAGGAAATTTAATAATAGTTAAACATTTTTTAAACTGTTTACTATAAATAAATTTCTCATCAAAAGAACCATTACATATGCGAATATATCGTGTTATAATTTTATTTAGATATTATGTCAAAAATAAACAAAACGAACACAAATTTTCTAGAACTTGACTTAATTATTATTTAAAAATAAAGTTACTAAGCAAATAAAAACAAAAGTAAAATTTGAATTTAAACAATCGATATGATTTTTGGATGATTTTATAAATTTTTTAAAACATTTTTGTATAAATGCTTGAATATGTAGAATTTGTTCATCGTTGGATAGCATATTTTGGCATTTCATTTTCAATGGTGATAGACATTGAATATAGTGAAAAGCATGACCACATATTGTTCGATTAAGAATCGATAAAGATTCATTCCAAGATCCACAGGAGTCAACAACAAGTTTTTTTCGACAATGATATTCAACAGCCACTGTTGTTCGACGTCTTTTTGATTTGCGTCTACGAGGTTTTTTAGTTGTTGAGCGTCGTGTGCGTGGTAGTCGTCGTGGTATTCGTATTGAATCATAAAGATTGTGACAACCATGTGATGTCGCTTGGGTCAAATAAACTTTAAATGTTAGTTTTAAAGTTTCTATAAATGAAAGAAAAAACTTTATGGCAATAGAACTGCTATTATATACAAACTGGTTGTCGACTAATGTATGGTTTATAACAGAGACGTGCACAGGGCATAATTTTTTCTCCTGCCCTTGCCTGCCATGTTGGCTACCTTGGTTCTAGCAGGCGGCAGGGCAGGGCAGGGAAAAATCGAAACCTTATCCTGTGCGCGTTGGCACCATTGGTAATCTTCGTCCTAGCGGGCGGCAGGACAATACGTTAAAGTCATGTCCTGGTTAGCGTTACTGATTTATTCCCATTTTTCTAGTGACTGAAAGCTAATTATGAGTCCGAAGTTCGGACTCCAAACCCTAGCTGTTCTCGATCAAAGTAAATATTAGTACTAATTAGTAATCTTAGGCTTAATTTATTTGGCATCATTTTCAAATACAACAAATGCACTTTAAATTAGCACTAATTTATGAATACAATAAAATAGAGAAATATCTTAACTTTCGCGACAAGAAAAATATATGAACAAGATTGATTGTAGCTGAATGTTTTATCTTAAACTTGATACTATTTAAAGAAACAACAGCAAATAGGCAGTGTTTAACTACGAAATAAAAAAAACGGAAAATAAACAAAACCAAGTTCCTACCAGAGACGTGCACGGGACATCATTTTTCTCCTGTCCTTGCCTGTTCCGCTGGCTACCTTGGCTCTGACGGGCGGCAGGACAGAACAACATGACAACCGGACCGCCCTGTCCTGTGCACGTCTCTGATTTATAATGAAATTCTTGCAAATCGCATTGAAAAAAGTCAAATGTAGAGCACCTGGATTGATTTTCGATTTACTTTATGGAGAAAATATCTTAATAAAACTATAATTGAACAAGCACGTAGTGTTTTCACCTGAAATTTTATTTTTTTAAATTCAAATGAATTAATTCCTTAACTAAACAAAAGAAAAAGACAAACGTTTTACTTCAAAAAACAAAAGTCTGTGTTCTCGACTCTCATCTAAAACAAAACTTTTTTCTCATGCATTGGTATCTTGAAGAATCAATACTAAAATTGGATTTGATGAGAATCTTATATAATCCGGTTGAATCCTATAGGAATGTTGTCGGAAATCTGGTAACGCAATTGTATAGGGATTCCGGATCCATAGTACTGTAATTTAATCGAATTCTATTTGGAGAATCTTTTCAGACCCACTTAAATCTCACGCTCGCAATTTAGTAAACATCGATTACAGATAACCAATATTGTAGTTCTATATTTATAAGTGAATAGTAATTTAGCATGCTGAAATTTAGAAAAATGTGTAGATCTTATCTCTGGTTCAGCTATTCGAATTGCATTTTAGTAAATTCCAACTTTTCTAAGTCCCAATGATTGTGTCAGTGAATTTAACACCTATCTACATTTAAGCATCGACATATTTGTTCACCCATGGCGCATCAATAAACGTATAGTTAAGTCATCCATTCATTTCTCATCTGCTCACGTTCATTGCATGGCAGTTTTCCTATTTCATGAAATGTAATCTAGAATCGAGATCCCAGCTATTTTTTTAAATTTTGATTATCACGACATTTTTCTCAGTTGATGAGGTCTGATAGAACTCGACCAGTTTCATATTCCTACATTCTTAAACTATTTACCTTAAACAAACGCTTATAAACAAAATTTTCGGTTCTCATTTTTTTCCGTTGTAATGGCACAGTACATAACCTATATCGTTCATTCGTTCCCTCGTCGTGCTCACGATAAGACGCGTTCTATACTATAACTTCACTGTCTACATCGCTTGTCTTTGTTCACAAAGTGGTGGTGACTCATCGTTTTTCTTTTTCTTTTTTAAATGATGAGTACCAAGGACAAAGATCCTTATCAAAATATTACAATGAATATCGAGCAAAACAGCAGCTCAATGTTGGAAGATAACACATCCGAGAATAACCAGCAAAACAANTTTTTTTTACGCTACAGGGGCGATGTTCGCTCATAGCAGGTGTAACCACTCATGTGGTACTCACCAAAATAAAGCATTATAAAAAAAAAAAAAAAATAACCTATATCGTTCGATGCAGTTTTTCACGCTGCATCGAATGAGCATGTATTTAAAGATCCTAGGTAACGATAATAATGGGGGGAAAGCTGGATTTTTCAAAAAATTGAGTGCTTTTTGTCATAGAAAAAGATTTTAAGTTTTTTTTATTTTATGAAAAACGCTTTGAAGTTTTTTGATATATACAGTTTTGTAGAGCTCAACGAGCTCGATCGAACTATGCCAAAAAAAATCAACAAAAAAAATTCTACTCGATTTTTGAATTACGGGCACCTTACGTTTCAGTCAATTAAGTTTTTTGCTTTTACTTTTGTTTCTCCTTAACATTGAAAAATGGTACAATGCTTGTTCTCTGATTGGTTCTTAAAAAATGTTTTTCTATGACACCCAACATAGAATATTTCTTTCTCATCAAAAAAATCATCGAACACTTTTCCTTTTAAAATCTATCAAAAATAAATGATAAATATTTACTAACTTTATTAAATTAAATAGAATAAGCTTTAACCTACCTAAAGCTGGCCCATATTCTTGAACTTCAGTGCAGTTTTCCAAACGTCTATTTACGCAATCAACATGTTTTTTAGCGTCTCGACAAAACTCGGCAATATTTACTGTTATTGTAACTGGTGGTAATGGACACTTTGAAAATTAAATACAAAAAGCAAATTACTTGATTCGATTAACAAGAAAAAATTGGCCATCTACTTTATTATAAAAAAATATATCGCATGAGCCATGAACAAAAACATTTGTGAGGGTTAATAAGAGTAAAAAACAATATAGTAGGATACTTTTATACATTTGTGTTTGTGTGTTATCTTTATACAGAATTAACAAAAAATAAAATAACCGAGACAATAAGTTACATATTGCGACATGTCTTTCGCTTTCTTTATGTTAATCCTTCTTTGTTTCGTCGTGTCTCATATGAAAGTAAACATATGAAATCGTTCAATTACGCTACAAGCTTCATTTCCAAAAATAAAACGATTTCGTACTTGTTTTCTATTTTATTTCACATTATCTTTCAAACTATATGCGTGTCGTGCGTATTGAAAAGACAATGACACGATAGTAAAAATAAGAACGAAAGAAAAAAAGACTGATCATTGCAGAAGAGAAAAAAGAATTGAATAGACTAGAAGAAGAAACACATAAAGACACAATATTTTAACGAGTAGATTTATTTTGACGCAAAGAAACAACAAAAAGGGCACAAGTGTGACAATCATTGTATTACTTGATCTTCCCCAATTGATGTTCTTTTCAAGGTTTTCAAATAGTATAGTCATACTTTTGTTATTCTATGATTGGATCTTCTGTTCTGTGACAACTACAATTGAAACTGATTATTTTAGTCGAAGATTATGGCTCACCGGTGGTACCATTTCTCATAAACAGCAAGCAGAATTCCAAAATATAGCTCGACAACATGGAAATCTGACGAAACAGTATGTGAAGAAACCGTTTTTCGTTTCTCATTTAAAAAATAAATAGAAGGTTTTCTTCATAAAATAGTGAGTGATTTTGAGATATTTTGCACTGTTCTAGTGCTTTCTATATTGAGAAAAAAGCAGTTCAGAAAACCTTTGCCAATAAAATTTTGCTGCAAAACATCTTTTGAGTACAAGACTGATGAACTTTTATTGACAGCACGTTCTTTTTTAGCTCTCTGAAATATTTAATGAGCTACTTCAACACTCATATGAAAATTGCTTAGAAGTATGCATTAGATTTTCTTTATTTATTTTTTTTCGAAATCTTCAACCTATTACATAAGCCTGTAAAACATTTACTTGTTGTGTACTGCTTTTTTCAAATATTTCTTATATTAAGATATTCTAGAGTGTTGTTTCTTTCATGATTTTATTTAAAATTAGTTTTTCAAAATAATACATGCATTTACTATTTTCTCTCTCGCTTGCAATCCTTTCAAACAATGAGTGCGCACTATGTACTATTTTTAGATAAAATAAAAGCAATAAGTAATGATTCGCCAAAGTTGTATTCTAGTGAAGTATGGAAAATAAAAATCTTGTTGAAGTGCCTGAGAAGAACTTTTTGTTCCTATGCGTATCCGAAGAAACGACGCATCGAGGGTTGTATGAGACTATTTTCTTAATACGATCGAAAATCGTATTTGAATTATGTTGCGTTCTAGTCTATAGAATATTTCCTTATTTTATGCCCGAAAGAATAACTAAGGAAATGGTGTAGATATTTGTCTCACTGGAATGGGGAACGAATCAATGTTCTTTTAATAGAAAAGCTTCGAATGATATTGATTGAAATTTGTTTTTTTAACTAGTCTCACTTGGCTTCATAACGAAATTTCATCACTAAATCGTCAATTGAAGTTAGTAAAGGCTCAAATTAAAACTATTAATTACAGCCGAGAACATACTGTAACAATAGGTCAACAAGAACCGACAAATAAAATACAAAATATATTATTAATGAACGTAAATAATACACAAAAGACTATACTAAATCAACAGAATGTTTACATAATAAAATCACTTGACGCTGAATCACTTTTTGATGGTTATCGAGATAATCTACTTGATATATATGGATTAACATTAAAAATAACGATAGAATGTATTGCTGTTTTTATTGAAGAACATTCTATTGAAAAACATCTCTTTATTAAATTATCTAATGGAAGTATTGCTAAATATCAAATGAATAAAACACAGCCATTGCAAGCAACATACGAAAAGTTTAATCGATCTATGTCAGAATGGATTGGTGATAAAAAACAAATTGAGTATTATCAAAGATTTATTCATGATACTAAAACGAGTGATGCAATGAAAAATAATCAATTGATGAAAATAAAAAGTGAGCGTAAAGAAATGAAAATTATTTCCCTTAGAATCAAAAGGATATTTTCAGAGAAATATAAAAAACTTATTCGAACGAGACAAGTAATGAAGTTTTATTTATTTAAAATGCTTTTACAAATAAATTATAAATCTACTTTATACTTTATACTAGTATTCCATTGAGAAGTGTTTAGTAAAATTAAATTCAAGGTAAATTTTTTTCATGTGCAAAGTGTATCGGAAGTTACTAAAAGTAAACAAAAGCTCATTTTGTCATTTATTTTACGATTTTTTTCGAATACTTCTCGAGCTTTCTATGTGTACTTTCGAATATTTATATTAACGTTTGCTTCTTGTCAACTACCTTGAATTAAAGTATAGATATTTGTTATAACTGAAATTTTCAAAAAGGAAAATTTCGAAAGTATGCGGTAAAAAACCATTCTAGATATTATTTGTTGTGTTTCCCAATTAGTTTTACTTTTGCTATAATTCAGATCGCCCAAAATCAAATGATGCTCAAATGTTCACTACAATCAGACCAGTACTTCAAATCAAGTATAACATTGATCCGCAAAGTATTTCATGTCTATTGGAAGATTTTTTCGGCAAAATACATAGTATGCATTTTGCGATTAGAATGATCTCATTTCTTTGTTCTTCTTATCTAAGCTTGCGATGGCCGATTAATCTATCCTAATGAATTGAAAATTTTATTTAATGATAAACATCACGTTGTATTTTATGCTATTGTGTTAAACGTAAGAGTTCTAAAGAAAAACCTTTGTTAAATTTTAAATGCATTAATTTCATTTTTAGGCAACTAAAGAAACACAAATTCATCCTATTGCGGCAAGTCACCATGCACGGCCTCACGAGCAATTATTTTTGATTTTTAACAATGATCCAGAACTACACTCTAGACGATCCTGTCCAGATTGCATCCATTTTGAACAAACCTTTGTACTTAATAACGATCTGAAAATCATCGAAGAAAAAACAATTCAGTACGAAACATGTAAAAGAATGACTTTTTACAGTTTTCTATTCTTTTCTTTAGTGTAATACATGAGCCTCGACAAGTCGCGAAACCTGAGAAAAAAACTTCTTCTATGAATTCACAAAATTATTTTGTTTATATTATTGTAGCCAGTATTTCAATTTATGTATTATGCAACATTTATTTAGTTCGAAGACAAGTACCAATGGCACGCTTGGGAACAAGACATTCGATGTCATCACGTCGTGGACGATAACTCTAAGAATTTTATTTTCAAGCGAAAAAAAGATAATTTTTTTTATATAGGACTACTACTTGATTAAACTACGAAATAAATTTTCATGTAAATGTGATAAGAAAGAAAAGAAAATGAAAACAGATATATCTGTTCAATGAGCGGATACGAAAAATGAAAATATTATGAACGAATATTATTTGTTGGTGCGTGCCGTTCAACTAATACATTATTATTAGGATGCCGAGTTCGATTGGTACCAGTCGATGGGCGTTTATTGAAAGTTACATGACGATGTTGATTGTTAGTTGTACATGTAGGCTAAAACAAGGACAGGAAAATGAAATACTTCTTTCTCTTACAAAATGAAAAGCATACACGAATAGAACGGGCTTCTCCGGTGCGATAAATTGTACTTGGCAAATGTTCTTTGAAAACATATGTTGGCAATGAAGGACAACAGTGTGAAGGTTTTAAATCATTTTCTACATCACCAGTTAATCGAGTACCTTCATCAATGAATTGCTCATCGCCATTGGCACGATCTATCATATCAATTGGCAAGAAATAAAAGAAATAAAAATTTCATTCAATGCAACCTTGTAGATCGTTTCCTACGGTTCATAATCAGCTGCGGGTAGGATAAATTTACTTAAAAAATCAATCTCAACAAAGGAATCAAACGTGTTAAGTGTAGGTGAATTTTCTTATTCTTGAATGAGATATTTCTCATTGAAATATGATCGGATGAGATATATGTCACTAACACTAGAAACAAATAAAATTTGATTTTCGATTTCAATCATGCCGATTGCATTTCGAAAAAGAAACTGCGCTATCAGCGCATATCGTGCATGTCATATGTTGATTGATTCATGCAACTTCAAAGTAGGATTTTCAAGCTATAAAACTATATTTAGTTCATGCATTTTCTATCACATATGCAACATTTTTAGTACTGATTATGAGAATGTTTTTGATGTCATTTAACATCAAGAGAATCAGTTTCTATGGTCTTTATTTTATATTCGAAAGAAAACATTTGACGCAAATGGTTCTCTTGACTTATTTTGCACGACTTAATGACACTTGTTTTCGTTTCTTCGATTAAGAACAATTTTGAGACACAACGATTAACCCGAAGGCTCAAGTTATAATTAGCTCGATCTTTTGAAGTGAACGAATGACATAGAAGACATAAAAAGTGCTCCAATGTTTGCGTCATGTACAGTAAAGTAGGTATTATTACGACAGATCAAAAGAAGTAGAATGAACGCTTTTTTTCGAGATGCGATAATAAAACACTTCAATATAACCAGCAGATTTCAGCTCAAATATTATGTATGATCTATTTGAAAGTTGATTTTGACAAACGAAGGGTTCTAGCTGATAGATGGGCTGTTACAAATTTTAATTCAAAATTCCTTACGAATGCAACATCGTCGTGGTTTTTCGTCGTTGTTTGATGTTGTTGTTTCTAATTCATTTTCATTTTTAAGTAAAACAGACATGGCTTCCATATTTAAGGCACAAACTCCACGCATAAACGCTTTTTTCAAAGCTTCATCTTGATCACCTTTGTCAATTTTTAAACGTGCTATTTCTTCATTTGCGGTTAATAATTCTAATTCTAATTGTTTATATTTTAATTCATATTCGTTGCCTAATTGAATTAAAACATCTTTCGCTTTTTTTTCACAAGCATTTTCAAAACGTTTTCTCCATTCTTGATCAACTGTATTTTTCCAATTTACTAGTGCTTTCTAAAAAAACAAAACAAAAACTTTGCAACAAAAAATATATATTAGCTTTTAAAATTCAACATACACGTTTCATTTTATCTTCATAGAATCGCTTAGCAAGCATCAGTGCATATTGCTGTCGTCGTCTTTCAATATGAATTATACGCCATTCATAATAGCGACGATAAGCAACTGTTTTATTATACAATAAATCTAATGCTTTATTAAGATTCTTTTCTGATTGATCTTTTTGATCGATTTTGTTTTCATAGTGTATTAACATTTCACGCATTGTTTTTATATCTTGATTTAAACGTACATATTCTTTTGCTTGACTAAATAATATATAGAATGTTGGTGTCTCGGGCTCCTAGAAAAATAGTTTGACTTACGCTTGTTTTTCACGTAGAGCACCTTGTTGTGCGTCTTCAAGAAATTGTAATCGTAATTTATCGAATTCAGCCTTTTGAAAGAAAAATCAATAATATTGTATTAAATTAAATTAAATTAAAAAAAAAACAGAAAATATGATTTACCATTAAATTTTTCTTAAGATCTAAATACCAATGATCCATTTTTTCCGTTATTGGTTTTGATTCTAATTCGTTCGATACTGATTCCGTATAACGAAAGAGTTGATGCACCAATGGATCATCACATTCATTCAACATTAACTGTTTGTCTGTGTTTTGTTGTTCATTGATGGAAAATGCTGCTGTACTAAGTAGTTGGTTAAGTGATGGAATATTGGATAATTTTTGTCGTTGAGTTTCTGTAGAAAAATACGCTATCATCTCTGAAATAATACTTCTATCAAAACCCAAAATAGAGCGTAAACTAACTTGAACTTTCTATTTAAAAATACTTTCAGGCTATATGCTATGATAGAAAAAAACTCAGTTGCACACTTCTCCAATATTTCATTGTCTATCTATTAATGTTGCAATCTTGAAATTTCAATTAGACCTAATCGTGATTAATATTGAGATTAAGGGTACGCTCATCCGGCTCGTTGTTGTATTGATAGAAATTATTTAAAAAATGAGTGACCCAATGCACTTATATATATTAACAATTTTCCATATTTGATCAAATAAGAACTTGAATTCAAGACGAAGATATACAACAAGAGTAATATGATCTACTACTATCACTGTCATATCATATGACAACTGGCTCCATTCTGGATTTTATTTGAATATGTTATCGATTGTTTTTTCGTTGTCAAATAAAAGATCTACACTTTTCTTACCAATTTCAGATTGTGTCATATCAGTACGATGGGTATTTGGACTATTCAAATCGGTAAGATCTGTTGCAGCTACGTCTAAAAAAGGGAACGAAAGACATGTTTCGGATTGCAAACAAATTATAATTTTGAACTTTTTTTATTTGTTGCACGTTGTCCAGGTCCGAATACAGATTGATTCATAATAACATTTGTTTTAACACCACTTTCAACAACGACAACGGCTCGCCGCAATAAATCATCATATTCATTCTAAATATAAATAATTATAATAACAACAACAGCAGAGAAACTAATTTATTATTTTCTTTTTAGATTAAATTCTAAGAAGCAATAAAATGACGCAGTGTGTAATATATGTTAATGTGAGTACATAGCAACAAGCCCTACTACATCCAACCTGTAAGCGTGATGATACTGAAGAACCAGGAGAGTCTGGTGGTAATTCAGGTGGATCGGATGAAACTGACATTTTAAATTATCTTAAAAAAATCATCTACAATAAATACAAAAGTTTTTTTTTATCGATCCACTTCGCGTGTAAATATGATTGATTTAATTTCTATTCTTTGGTTTTAACAATGAAAAGTATTGTTTAGTATATGACCATTGAAGTTGTAATCCGAGTAAAAAGTAAATAAATAATATTTGATTATTTCATATTTGTTTGTAAGTGAGAAAACTAATGAGTTCGATTAATTAATTCTTAAAAATATTAGAATAGAAAATAAAATGAACGAGCCGTGAAGCGAATCTAGATTAGTTAGTTCAACATTCTTTCAATCTAAATCGATTTATTGTAGTGGTAACTAGAACATTTTACGTACGAGAAGAACTTCACTGCATCGAAGACTGTATTTCTTTAGATATGTATGATGAAACGTCGCACATGATGAAGGTTTTCTTCGTCTTTTTTTCTCTTTAATAAGAATATTAAAATAAATAAACCACAAGAAGAAAATCAAGGTAATTGTGATTCATCAATATTCGAACATCTATCGATTGTAACCATTGACGGTTGCTAAGTAACTATTGTCAAAAGAGGCCGTAATGATTCGATTGCAAGAAAAACAAATTTCCTTCTTTTGTGAAATAATTAAGAAATTTAAGCAATAATGTTAGAATTGAAATTAAAATTTCTTAAGCTTAAACATTAAACCAATATTAAACATAAGTTTCAATATGATTTTTTGACTAAAAATCATTTATTATTATTTTTATCTTGTCGAAATTTATTAGTAGGGCCTTAAAGAAATCAGACGGTATAGTGCCAAGATTAAAAAATCATCTATCAAATTGAAACACTTTTAATCAACCCTTCAATTGATCTTATTAATTAATTATCAACAGATGTCGTCTTAGTGATATTCGTGTTTGAAGGAGGATGTCAAGCAACATGTACACAGTATGGGCGTTTTTCCAATTTCTTCTGTGGTATTATATGAAGTACTTATTTTTTTTTTTTGTCATTCGAAATCATCATTTTCCTCATGGCACTTGCAGTGCAAAATGTCTCGTCAGTGTCTGCAGGTGGTACTCCAACTCAATCATCATCATTACGAGCTGCACGGCCAATGACAGCTGGCACAAATCGATCTGTGAATTCGAAATTCGTTGTTGATTGGACGACTGGTTCAACACCATCAAATAAAACAAAATCAAATGATGATAATTTACAAGAAGCTTTTCGCCGTTTTCGTGAACAACGTATGGTAAGTTTAAAAGAATATTTATAATCGTCGAATGAGCGTCCTTAGGCCATCTTTACCGGACAGTATTAGCAAATAGAAATATATTCGAACTAATGCTGTTTGGTAAGATGACATTCAGCTGCTCGAGAATAAAAACAAATCCATTGAAACCTTTGAAAAATAAAATGACTTACTTCAGCAGTTACACATCAACTATCCATCCGAAATTGATATGATGAACACTATTGAAAACTCCTGCCTATTTATATGCGAGTTCAACGTTGACCAACAACTTTCTCTCTTTCTATTGTTTGCTCTGTTATTTCTTTTTCGTTAACGGTGGTAAAGGGCGTAGTTTAAACGAATTATATATTGACGAAGGATTTATTCTTGATGAACACGAGTTTGTCCGCCTCAATTTAATGATTGGATCATTCTTGTTCAATCTTTCGATCCTTTTCCTGCCATATATCTTTATATAAATAGATATATAGATAAATGACACGTGTAATTAGTTTGCCAATTAGGTGATGAACATATATTTGTATTTCTACGGATGTAGAAGGATATCCTGTTTACAAAGATGTCACATCCATGTGTATAGAACATCAATTTTTGTGTCACAATTCTTAATATTTGATATTTATTTTCATTTCGAAGTGAAGAAAAAAAAACCTTTTTTCTTCCTCCCTGAAATTCAGTACATTTTTCTTTTTGATGTATAATTTTAAAGAAATACGTACACTTTTGAAAATTAGAGCTAACAATTGGCAGAAAATTTTCTTTATCACGTATTTTTATTAGAATTAACCATGTTTCTTTCTGAATTAGATACAGAGATTATTATTTTTTTGAGATATCAAGTCGCTCTACTTTTGTTAGATAAGAGTTGAATAACAAAAAAAAACCGTAAGCAAGTTTTATATCTTCAATACTTTTTTCAAAATAAAAACTAATTGAGCGTGTATTAATGAAGAATTTTCAGCGAATTTAATTCATTGATTTCGACATCATTGAAATGGAACTTTATTTTTATTAATTACGGGAAATGCTTTCATTCGAATAAAGAAACATGACCACAAAAGAAAAACAGACAATATCAAAAGATTTAACTGTCGTTATTCACAAGACAAAAAATTTTCTTTCGGAAAGAAAACATCTTGAAATATATTTTATTTACTCTTATCCAGGATGAAATCCGTCTTGAACAACGAATACATTTAAAAAGGAAAAAGAAAATTCGACGATCTGATCCTGCACGAATGTATAAACTACGATTAAAATTTGTCGAACAAGCTAAACGATATCTAGGAATACCTTACGCAAAAAAATATTTCGAACCTGGAAGTAAGAAAAAAGCAAAATAAAAACATCTGTTCATCTTCTAAATAAAATCTGTCTCTAGCATCGGAATATGAATCAAAATTATTTCTTGATTGCTGTGGACTCGTACGACGTGTTATGTATGATTTATCGAAAGAATTCGGTTTTGTCGTGGGCCCATGGAATCAATCGTATATGTATGATACACTACCAAGAACGATAACACATCTGTCTGATGTTCAGCCTGGTGATCTTGTTTTTATATCAGCTACATATTACAATGAGAAGAGTGAGTAAGTCTAATGTTTGTTTGTTTTTAATAGATAAAATCCCATGACACTGTTTATTTTTATAGTGAAAAAGCAACGACATAATTTAACACATGTAGAAATAATGTTAGGCGATGGTGAAAAAACGATTGGAGCACGATGGAACAATGGAAAAGTACAATTTTTTGATAGTTATAAATTTATATCAAAAAGTTATCATTCACAAATTTATACTATTAAATCGCTTGATCCTTGGCTCAAAGGAATTTGTAAAAGGTAGTGTTTTGTTTTTGTTTTGAAAAATATAAATAGAATTTTCCTATAAACGAGTAATTTTAACTGCGTAACCTCTGGCATTAGTGTATACTCAATCGTAAAAATATTTCCTCCAGGTTTTAATTGTCATAAGATGAAAATTGAGGAAAACTATTCCACTGTAGAGTTATAGAATCGGTCGTTAATGACCCATTTATCTTCAATGACATGAAAATTGTTGTTACAGTTCATGTGATTTTTTTTTCTTTTATGCTTTTACTTTATCTGTATAAAGCTGAAAATCTTCTTATCGTAAATTATTTTCGAAAAATAATTCATTTTCCAGTATGATTGATGGATAGATGCTCGCAAAAAGGTAATCATTTTCGGATTGAAATTAGTTCTGCCGTTTCCTGCAGCGCTTCGGCATATTTAATCTCCGTGTTCTACTGCTTTTTTTTATTATTATAGAGAATTACTAGGTCTGATTCGTATTCGATAGGCATAGAGCATGATCGTATCAAATAACATCTATCGATAAGAAAATTAACAGCGATCATGGAATTCTTGTCTCTGACATTTTGTTTGGTCTAATAAAATTCATAGCATGAAGATCACATAAGAAAACTATATTGTCATTCAGTGAAAAGTATTGAATAATAATTTTTTACAGTACGAATGATAAACGGAATCATGCTGCAATTGATAATTTAATAGTAAATTATTTTATGAGTTTCACCGAGCGCTGACATCATAATTATCGACTAGGCCGAATAATGATAAATATTTAATGATGTTATTAGTTCAAACGACTATAGTAGCATTCTATTGATATTCTCATTCTGTTTAGTATAATTATATTTAACAGTTGCATCACATTGGCTATAAAATTTCATATTTCTCAATTTCTCCTATAAAAAGAAAACTCATCATCAGCTGTCTGCTTAAACAAACATCTTTTGCAGTTTGAATAGAATTGCCAAGGAAATGTTATCAAATGTCATTTCAATTATCTATCGATCATACATCCGATAAGTAGACGATCCTTTTAACACATCTAGAAAAATATATTGTGTATGCTATTCTTGATAATAAAACACATTGATAATTATTTTATTTTCTTTATAACAATGCCTATTAACTCGCATTGATCATGTTTATAATGGGCATAGTAATTAGTTCTTTTCTATAGAAATTCTATTCCATTGATCGCCATCCAAAATTTGAATGACAATAGTTCGATTAATCAAATTTTGATCTGTATTTATATTTTAAGTTATTGTTCTGAACATTCGTGGCGTCGACGACGGCCAATAAAAGTCGATAAAAAATCAATATTTTATTCATTGGATCAGCCAAGTGCCGGAAAACGTCGTCGTTTACAAAGTAGTAAACCAAGTAAAGGAACGACTGGCTCATCGACAACATCAGTAACTTCTGCGAATAAAAAGGTTCATCACCGACGAAAACGACGACGACGAACAGCACGTTCAAAATCACGTAGACGTTCAAGTTCAGTTAAACTTCCATACGAAAACACAATCGATAATCCGAATGATGAACAAACACCTTCGTCAGCCGGATTAGATATTAAATCTCTTAGTGATAATGAACTTGTTGTTGGTAATGATGATGACGACGACGACGATGATGATGACGATGATTCAATTGAAATTATTGGTAATCAATTAGCTGAAATGAATTGTCAAGCTGAACAGGAACAATGTGATGATTCAGATTCATTAGACGAAGCTCTTGATGCTGAACTTTTAGATGATGGATGTGAAAATAATCTTATTTAAAACTAATACTAATACAACGAATATTCATTAAGATATCAATCAATAATTATAGGTTTTTGAATTTTGAATAGTATGTTGATAAATAGGAACCTTTATTAGTTATTGTTGCTTGTCTTATTGCCTTATGATTATTTTATTTTTATTTTGTATATTTTATTAATCATATAATCATTTTATTTTATTTTATGCGTTTATATTTAATATAGATTCTTAATTCTTTTAATAAAAAGCTTGAAATTCCATTCAATCTATGAGAATTCTGTAATGAAGATTAGTCGGATAAGCCTAGTTTTTGTTTCATAAAATCATTTGACTAGAAGAAAAACAACAAATATACATCCTGTCGTGATACATTGATACCTTTTAGCAGCCGTAGATGTTTATTAAAGCGAAACTCTTTCTTGTTTCGGCTGGTGTGTCACATGAAAGCAAAATCTCCGAGATTTCTTCATGCGATTAGATTGTAGATAAAAAAAAAATGCCAGAAAAAAACAAAAAACTTTGATCCTTTATTAATATATTACTCACACCCGTTCGCTTCTCTGTTATTTTCAACAAATTATCTTGCTTTCATGTGATGAATATTCAAAAGTCATTACTAAAGCAGAAGAAAAAAACAATCGTCTAATGGCCATACTGAAGAGCACTTCGTTTTCCTTATTGAATTTTTTATGTAGATCTCCCGAGACATCTCTTTCTTTTTGTTCCTTATTTTCTTCTTGCTGTTTCTATTTGTTTGATAAATTAGATTGTCCAATTTTAGAAAATAGAAACAAATATTCGAGTGGATTTAACTTGCTTTATCATTCTGATCACATGTTATTGTTTACACTCGTCATTCTAAATGGCATTCTACAGGAAATTTCTCATGTTATTGAATTATAAAACTGACGAATAATACATATTTACAGACTAGATACTCATGATGATAGAACGGATGCATATTTTCCTATTGCCAGCCAAATTACACATTATCTAATCAGTCTAGTAGAATGTTATCGAAGGCTAAAGAAAGTAATAGAGAAGGCAAATATGCTGCTTTTTTTTTCGCTACATCCATATACATCATAATAAACATTCCCGGAAGCAAAGCATACATCTTATCATAAGCCGTATGAAAACTTACTGACTATTGCAGTTAGTTAGCTTTCTTTTTGTTTGTCACAATCTGGTAAGATATTATATGGATGTTTGATACAACTGTCAAAAGTTAGATATCTTATGTAAATATTAAGTATTGTGAACGAGATATTATTTAGCGAAATTAAAGGATACGATGTACATTATTCTAACGATTTTGTCTATGACGTTTTTCCTTTCTTTGTTGCGGAAGTAACAATACTTCTCGTTTGAACGGTTACACAATGAACAAAAAGCAGAAGAAGAAGAAGAAGAAGAAAAAGGGGTGGTTTTTCTCTCTTTTTTTGTATTTGATATGGAGCAATGTTAGCATTTTTCTCATTTCATTTTCTATTTTGACCTCACATACATCTACTCTCCTTGGGTTATTTGACGTTGAAAAAAATGAATGAATACATCATATGCTAGGTATTGCCGATGCGTAAATCGTGTTTTACTCTATGCTATAAGCAAATAATGACTGACTTCATTATTTTACATCAAATACCCTTAAGTCTGATAGAAATAACACGTACGAGAGCCAATTTGTTGAGACATTTTTTATTGCTTTGCTCAATTATTTATTTTACATCTATTTTTCTTTTTGATTGAACACTACAGAAACAAGCAAGGCAAAAGAAGAAAAGAGACGACATGGCATTAAGAACATCTACATGGCAAAAGACAGAACCGAATACGCTTGATCAAACAGCAGGAAAACCGGATTTCATTTTGTATGTATGCTTGAGGAGTCGTGTTTTTGTTTATGTTAGATAATATCAACGTTTTGCTAACCATATAATAACAAAAAATTCATTGCACATATTATAGCGCCTTTCGGATCATGTTATCTTCTTGTAAACGATGATTCTGAGCCACTTTTTTGAACTATCACATTCACTGTCAAAAAATTACGTTGACAAACGCTAATAGCAAACCATTATTTTCAATAGAACAAACAATTGTCTATTTTTCTCGTTGATTTTTCTTTTTCCCTTTTTTTTCTTCTTTTTTCCTACTCTTCTATTCCATCAATGACACAAAGCATCAGACATTCTTTTCCGCGCGTTTACTTTAAACTCAACTTGATGCGTACCACTTTTATAAGCACTTCTAATTGCATTCATTGCCGTTTGCTTGCAACTAAACATAGTAACTAGACGAACGAAATCTCTCTCATCTACCTGCCATTATTCTTACATTTTACAATATTTGATTTTATTTGAGACACATAAAAAGTCATCATTATTATTTATTGACAACAATCATAGCTATTCATGCAATTGTATAGCAGGTAGTTTATATGTTTTAAAGTATTTAAAAAAGCACAGCTTATTGTTGACATATTTCAATTTTGCTATTCAACTAATTGTTCTGTTTTTTCTTCAATTTTTCTGTTAAGAAAAAGTAGTTGTGGTGATTTACAAAGTAGACTTAAAGTTCGAAAAGTTCTCGGCGTTGGCGATGCCACAGGCTCAACATCTGGCTCAAAAATCAGTCAAATACTTGGACAATCGGATAGTTTAATTTTCAATTTATCACCAGAACTTGCCACCTGGTTATTTTTCGTAGCAGCTTTGTTTAGTTGCTTTTCTGTGATGGTAAAAGAAGAACGAACAATCAATTTTTTTATATAAACAAAAAAAAGCAATAACTTTTCTACGTCTAGGGAATACTTTGGCCATCGTGTCTACGTATTATTCTATCTGGTGGTTTTGAATCAGCGATGCATTTAGCTGCGTCTTATGCTTGTATGTGCTTTCTAGTTAGTTATCATTTACTCAATTTGTTTGTCTAGTTTTGGCTGCTGTACTCGGTCTAACACTTCGGTCAGGTGACAAAACATCATTACAACTTGTCCTCTGTTCTCTTATTTTATTTCATGGCTTATCTTTTTTTAGTAAGAATTTTTTGTCCTCTTCCATTATACGAATTCCATAATATCAAACTATGATGAATATTTAGTTTCTCTATGGTTTCTCAAAACTGGCGTTACACCAGTTAAATCAACAATAGCAACTATTCTTCATCTATCTTGTTTATTAATCAATACACATTTTTATCGATCTACTAATCGCACAGTAATATCGTCCTTTCGATCTAATCAATTAAAAACGTATTTTAGCTCAATGATCTCATTTCCAACAGCACCTGCAATGGAACGTATGGTTGGAAGTGAATCTTCTTAAAAGCAAAACGAACTTAATAGAACTGTATATATGATTCAAACTTATGTATTTTAAAATAAATCTGAAGCAAAAAGAAAGAAAAGTATTCTTTATTCTTTAATGTAACCATTACGTCTATGATTCATTTTTATGGCTATTTAAAGTTACTACTATAGCGTTGATGGAACTTGTATTGTCGTTCATTTCCTTTCATATTTTATGAGAAGAAGATCGTACGGTATACTACTATTAACGACTTAGAGAAATTGTCAAATTATGCTTAACTGAAGAGTCCCTGTGGCCGATAGAATTATTCTCGATGAAATGAAAACGATCTAATTAATAGCGAAGAATATACTGATAAGCGACAGTTTCATTCTTATGATTGAAGTTGATTGACTTGTTTTTAATTAGGAAAAAAATTCATCTATTCACAAGAATAATTCTATAGTTAAGAAGAAAAAAAGAGGGGTAAATATAAACCAATATCTAAAAATATAGCAATCTATATCTAATTTTAAAATAAATTCATATCTAGTACACGATGAATTTATATCTAATTTTAAAATTTATTTATATCTAATTTATTAAGTAACACTAGGGGTGTGGATGTTCTTATCTCTCTTCGCACCCACACCCCACCCAAGATATTTTTTAAAATAACTTTTTTCTTATCACTTATCGTGATTCCCAGCTCATATACACTGTTTCAATTAATTGATAAATACTTATCAATTATAGATTACGTTCAAATTAATTAAACAGACCGATAAATTTATTGGTAGTCATTTGTTAAAAGCGATAATATATTGAATTAAAAGACAGCACATTTTTTCATTCAGATATTTAATGGATTTAAAAGATGTTGAATTACAAAATTAGATTAAACAATTTTTTTAAAGGCATCCTTTCACCAGAATAGATACTACTGTATTAAGTTAGGCAATATTGATATAATTTAGATATGAATTGCTATATTTTTAGATATTACATTAAATGCATGCCAAAAAAACATCTATTCATTGCGTGTTGCGAAAGGGGACAATATATGAAAAGGTCTATTGAGATTTCCGACTTGAATAAAATTCTTTAGGTATAACAGAAGAACTCTCGATTTTGCTTTCATTAACAATGGCTCGAAATTAGATGGAAAAGATGCTGAAAATTTATTTGTCTATTTCCAGTTATTTCAAAAGACCTTGAGATAATGTTTTTTAAACAATAATAGAAGTAATGCTGATTTTCAAGTTCTTTCATAATCTATTGATATACATGTATGCTCATCAAGAATATTTTATCACAATTATATAATGATTATCATTGATAATTTTTGGCATCAAAAACATATTTGATGTTTGTCATTGATTTCATAAAATAAAAATCTAAAGACACTATTCCATCACATGATTTCAAGGTGCTCGTATACCATGAGATAAAAACGGCAATTTGCCTTGAAAAAATCTTTTTGCTTTTTGGGCCATTTGGCAAACAAAGAAGAAATGTTTATTCATGTATTTATTAATAAATTATCGTATTCAATGAATAGGCTATTGTATGGAATTATAAAAGTTTTTATTCAACCCATATGCATCACACAATAGTGAATTTATTAGTGTATAATAAACTATATCGTCTGCTATTTGTATTTTTTTTCCAAAAAACCTAAATCGAAATCGTATAACCTTTGAATATCTTACATAATACATTCTGACAAGACATTTATATAATTGATCTAACCAAGCTAGTGAAAAAGAATTTGACGTGAAAATTTCAAGCCCATTCATTAACTCTATTATGCTGAAGTGCTCGTACTGACAAGATAGATTGTTCATCTTCAACATGATGTGCGCTTCTTCTTTCGCTAATCTATTTATTATAAATATATCGTGATTGTCGTTAGATATACGTATAACATAGGTCAAGAGTTTGCTTGCTTTCATGCGTTCATACCCACACGGTTTTCCTTTCGAATTTGAATGGCACGGTTTTCTTCGCTAAGTCTAGATGATCAATTCTAAAACATATGGTGCACTTTTCAGAAAGATAATCATTTAGTATTTAAAAATAAACTTTGTGAGAGGGTGCGTAGATTTGCTTCCAGGACTTTTGTTTTTATTATTATAAACGATTCATAAGAATCGTATACAAATATTTATTTTTACAAATAAATGTTGAAATATAATAACAATAAATCAAGCGCACATATGGATATAGATCAACAAAACAAAAAAGTCAAACAATTTGATTTTCATTAACGTTTTGCTTATGCGAACACAATTGCACTAACTAGAAGTTAAAAAAAAACAAAGAGAATAACCAGGCACAACGATGAAATGATAAGGAAATAAAACATAGCTAAACAAAAATTATCAATAGCAAAACAAAAGAATAATAAGACAATGTTTCGAACGAGCACAACAATGAACAGATAGAACAAAAGGCATTATTCACTTAGATAAACAATGTATTTAATACATATTTGTGAATTTTTCGATGAATTTTCAAGATAAAATGTACGCGTTTTACAATTTAAAGATGAAATTTCCATGGAATGATTTGTTTTTAATGAATAAATCGATGATGCATCTTCGTATCGTACTCCTCGTTTAACTAAAAATCGAATAGGAATTTCAATGGAACCGAGAAGACCTTAAATAAATGATTATTAAACAATCGTCAAGTTAATTTATCTCTTACGATCGTTTGTATATTTCGACCGATTGTAGATCGAACATTTTATAACATCATTATTTATATTACAAATTAAAAATCGAAATAAAATATTCCATTGTAATTTTGCTGTATCACAAAGAACAGGCGTTGTCTGGCGTTGATGATTATTCATTTCGATTATACAATACGGATTATGACCTAAATATGTCAGGAGTTTTTTTTTAATCTAGACTCAGAAGTATTCAGATCGTGAAATGAGGCTACTATTAAAATTTTCAGCTCTTCAACAGATTAAGTCGACTAATACTTTATCTGTTAATTAGTATTCTTTTTTCTCATCATTTTTACTTATATATATATCACAACTTTTTGTGATGTTTCATAGGGCACTACAGTTTGACGTGCTGTTTTCTTTTGCGTTTTACTGGAGTATTGTTATCTATAAAAGTAAGGAAGCTAAATTTATAAAAGAAACCAACTCGATCTTGAAGTAAACCTTGACATACGTGATTACAAGAATATAATTAGTGCAGGGAAAAAAATGAAGACTTCCTGGTTTTTTTTGATGACTGAATATTTATGCTGAATTAGGCCATGAAAGCAATCTTCCAAAACTTTTCTCCGAACAAGAACACGCTGACTTAATAATGATACCATCTGTGAAAAATTAGACGTCAGGCACTTCTTCTAAACATATGAAGTGACACTTCAAACAAAGATGTCGGATACAAATTTCATCATTATTGAAGATTACAGGAGTCTTGGCAGATTATTTGAATGATTTTGACCCTGACCCGCCAATAGAACTTTAAAGAGAGAGAGAGAGAGTCTCTCCATGAAATCTTGAATTAAGTCATGTAGTATTTCTAAGAAAGCAGTTCCGGAAAAGTTTTCTTTTAATCAAGATGTTGTAGTGGTATGGTATAAGTGGCTTCACAGTACCGCACCATTGATGAGATACAATCGAATGATAAATTTGATATCAGTACGGACTTCACCCTATTGATAGATTTGGTTTTATGTCCCAAATAGTTACAAATCAAAGATTTCAATGATTTTCGTACGAGATAAATCCTAAAAATTGGCAAAAGATATTTCTTTGCCTAACGTAGATACGTGAATCATCAAAACAAAAATTCTCCGCATTTTGAGTTCGGAAACGCCTAGCTGTCTATCAATAATTCTGAATTGACAACAACTCATTTCTATCGGCTATTAAATACCATATTGGGAAACTTTTGTGAGTAATATGTATTGTGAGATAATGAAATCTTTGCTAATTTGTTTAAGAGAATCTATTTGAAAACTATTAAATCAGTACAGGAAGTTTTCTCTGAACATCCCTCAAATTTTTTCCACTTCAATCTTGCTAAATATTTTAATCCGTTGCAAGTGCTCCGCCTAAAAATGTACCTTAAATTTTCTTTTCATAATGCACGAGACATTCTCAAATTGCTTCTCAGATAGCAATGAACTCTCTGAGTTCATATATATATACATTAATAAGTAGCGAATCCCTTTAGAAAACATCATTTCTAAAATTGTCAAAATCCAAGAAGCAATCAGATAATCCCATACGCCATACATAATTCATAAATTTTTCATGACTAGTACCCAATATATGCATAACAATAACTAACCATTTTTTTCTAATGAAATTAATGGTAAATTCATGGCATTGATTTCTCGAATAAATATCTTTCCAATTGGTTGACAAACAACTGAATTCAAATCTAAAAGTATTTCAATTTAACACATCTAAATCAAACAATTATGTGTACTTGATTCCGGTGCACGAAGCATTGAAGTAACTAAACGTTTTTGACGGCAAACATGAACTGCATCATTTATATTTTTTATCCATAAAAGTCTAAAGAAAATAAATAAAAATAGAAATCGATTAAAATCTTATTTACCTTTCATTAATATCATGCGTCACGAAAATCATTTGACATCCATGATAATCAAATTGAAAAGCTAACGGATCATTTTCAGTTATTCTTACGTTTCGTATATCATGTAACATGATAGGCTAAATTGAAGTTTTTTTTTAATTTTCTTGTGTGGAAGGCAAAAGAGAAAAACTTACTTTTTTATGAACAACTAAATACAAATGATTAGCTTCAGGTGAATCAAACCAATCCTTATTTGTTTGCGCCATGGATGGCTTGTAAATATATTGATGCTGTCGATAATTATATCGTGTTTGATTAATAATTTGAAGAACTTTTGTTATTAATGGTCGTTTTATACGAGTTAAAAGTAAAAAATCATTAAATAACATTGCATATAGAAGATGATTAGTTGATTTCGTCTATAAAATGAAAACTCATAAACATGTCCAGTAATAGAAAGTCTATACCATTCGTATGTGACTATAATGTAATAATTTTCTTTGTTCACCAAAGTTTGTTAATGAATTGAATATAATTGTCTAAAAAAAAGCAAATTATTTTAACACCAAAAATTCTTTCTTTCTACTTCATTAATTTTTGTACAGTCAACATGTTTTTGTAGCCATTCAAATTTCGCCCTATTGATCTCCTCGTCAATAGCATTATTTATTGTTTCACGTAATTCATTAGCTTCTTTTAATGAATTATGTAATTCAATATAATCATGATGATTATTTGCTGTATTTTTTAAAATCTATTAAAATAAAAACTATTGATGCAATGATTTCATTAGCTTTATTTAGAAATACTTGATAGATCATAAACGGATATTTAGCGATACGTTGCAATGGTAATGTTAAAATATTGGCATCACCCATAGTACCTATTCCATAACTTTCTTGTTTTGTTTTCTAATAAAAACAAAATTTAGATCGATGATGAAGAATAGTAGAAGATTATCTGACCTGCATAAAAGTGCGAAATTTCGAAGAAATTTTTAAGTGTTCACGAAAACATTTCATAGCTGTTGGATGGAAACGAAAATATATTTCGTATTCGGTAACCAATTGAGGAATCTAGGAGAGAAAGAAATATTGTAGTGCATGGCCCGAGGGATGGAGAGTAACAACATAGTGTAGCGTCTGTTGCTAATCAGCAATTTAATAGAACAATAGTTTCTATTTTATATTTAGATGTTATTAAAAACTTTTGTTACCATCGAAATTTTCACGTTTGATTTTACTTACGAATTCACATAAAATTTTTCCAATTGACATATCTTCTCCATCGTTTTTGAGAGCATTGATTAGTTTACTATGCAAAAAAAAGATTGGAAAGTTGGAAGAGTAAATAATGATGATTAGTCTTACTTGGCAAGTTTTTCATGAGTACGCGTTAAACTTGGCCAATTAAGAAAAAGTGCATCTATATGAGATGATGATAGAATATTGGTTTCTGACATTGGTTTTATATATGTCTAAAAATAAATCAATAGACATGTTTATATTGCTTAAAACGACTGCGGATGAAAGCTCAAGGCTCGAACAGATGTTTCTCCTCTTGTAGATATTAACAAGTAAGATGCAATACGACATATAAATTAGTGATGTTTCTGTCTAGTACTGTCAGATAAGAACTACATTGTCTCGTAAATCAATTTTATCAAAGTATGTATTCTTTTCTTGATCAACTAAGAAACTCTTCAAACTCAAAACACCTGATATCTTGAGATTGATTCTATACAAGGTGACTTGTCAAGTTAGACTTACACATACATAATTCCTCGTATGAACAATATTCAAGAACTTTTCCAGAGTTTTTACATTTTAGACATTTCAATACACCAATCTCAAAATTTAAGATGGAAAATTCAAAAATCTGCGAAACACTACAGAAGAACTCAGATAATGTTGTTTTTATTTTGAATCATCTTCTTTTATCCGGTCCAGTACGTTCATTGCTACGCAATAGATCCAAATTGAAAAACCCATGCACAGTTAGCTCTCATCACTTTGCCTAAGCAGAGGACATCTGACTAAAACACTGGATAGATAATAATAATAGGCTGCACATATAGATTACTTTTAAAATATTTTTCATATCATGTACAAATCGCTGTTCTGTTGTTATTAATTCAATCATGCTAATATTTCTTGGTGTTAAATTCAAAAGATTTTGTAATGATTCAGTAGTCTCATCTTCTGTTTTTGTATTTTCGGACGTTAATTGTCCATGTTCAACCGATTCTGTTGTAGTAACTTGTGAAGAATTTTCTTCTTAATTAAAAAACGGAAATTTGAGATTTTTTGCAAAAATATTGTCAAGCAAGACAATTTACTTCGAATTATATATTCTTGACTAACACAGTGAACATTCAATGTACGATATAAAATGGATGAGGATGAATTTTGATTTAATGTTGTTAGATCATCACTAAAAGTTTCATCATTCATTCTTGATTGGAATGAACGTGATGACAAACGTGTTCTAATCATCATTTGATTTGAAAAGGATCTTTTCTGATTCAAATTAAAAATCCTCATTCAAGTCGCGCTTATAGATGTCGCTAATTGTATTCATTTTGTATGCATCGCAATATATTCTATTTAAGAAAACGGAGAAAATAGAAGAAAATTAGTTAAATTATAGTTCGATAGAAATGAATAGATTTATTTTCTAAATGTAATTGCCCCTCATTAACGTTAAAATCTGAATGGTTCAGAATTAACAAATGAACAATATCTATTCTTCGTATATACTTTACCTTTTTCCTAGATAACGTTGTTCAATTTTGAGTTTCTTTGTCTATTCGACAAACAAATGCTGTCAACTTGAAGACAAATTCAAGAAAATCGAAGTATTTTTATTTCTATTATTAAGCGGAAGAGTTGCTTTCGAAAATTCGCGACAGTACTGAGTCATATAATTGAATAGAACATGACAGGAGTGTATTCCAAATGGGCTAATGTTGAAATTTTGAATCTTTCAGTTTTAGAATATTGCCCTCACATATGTATGTTTATATTATTTTACAGATAGATATCAATGCAACCACCATGTGCTCTCTGCAGTACATTACTACCAATATTGGAGAAATGTAAAGAAATATTTTAGTTGCCTATTCAAATAATAAATGTTTCGTATTTAGATGCCTCATTAGAATTAATTGAAGCAATAGATCTTCAAAAAGATGACATATGCACATTTGTTTCATATGTTAGTAATTGGCCTCAAACGTAAGTTTATCTTATCTTGAAACGAAGAAATAATACAATTCAGCTTATTCCATGAGATAGAAAACCCATAGAAATTTAACGATTAGAATAAATATCCTTCTAAAATTTCTTGCGTACGTACAGCGTGCAGTCCGTCAAAGTTGTCCAATCAGTACTTTGAAGGCGAACATTTCTCACAATCCAGCAATTATTATGTCTGCATCGTGATGCTAAATGCTCTATTGGAATTGTTCTCTTTGACATTCCGATATACCGGCGTTCATTCACAAAAGGATGTACCTAGTAATTCGTATGTGAGCTGAGAGATCCGATGAAAGGGAGGATAAAGTTCGTGTAATATTGACGTACGCATTTTACGGATACATATGGTCGATAATAGTTGCAAGTAAAGAAATATGATCAAAATTCGAAATCGATTGTGTGATTAGAAAAGAAACACTCGTATAGAAGTTCCTTATAGAATACGCTATTCTTTATTTTTTTCCTACTAGCTATGCAACATGATGTAGTATTCTAGATCGAGTTATTTGCGTAACTTGAATGTCTTTCATAAATCCTATAGTTTATTTTGAGAAACTGATAGAATTCAGCTTACTCATGTTACACAATTATTACATAAATCGAAAATTCAATCTTATCAAATAAAATCGAGATGCGTAGTATTTTTAACTATTTATAGTATCAATAACGGAAACTACAAATAATTGACTGGGTGTAACAGCGCCTCATGATTAGATTTGAATCTTATCAAAATAAGAAATAGCCGAGTTTTCCACAAATAAAGTATTGTAGAAATTTACTAAAAAACGCTGTTGATTCAAGTCTTGATTATTCAAATATTTGCCGATAGGAATCTATTGAATTTTTCATCTATTTTAGTCGGTGTGCATGTTTATGTCGTGATGCCACAACCATAGAACGTTTTTCGTCTCTAGTTGAATGGTTATTGCTCTATGTAATAAATTTATTACAAACATTTACAATCGCGGAGAGTTTACCCGATGAAGACATTTCAAATCAATTAAATGAATCAGATTCATTGACACAAATATGCAGTATCTTAACAACAACAGATCAAGAGCAACAACGCCAATATCGCCAATGGACATTAGAAGAAAAAGAACGTCTATTATTATGTGTCGCTCGTTGTTTTACACTTAATCTACCTATATATTCAGCTGCACATCGCAATCCATCATTGGCACATCATGTTGCCTATTATCAAATGCAACATGCATCAGCTGATTTTAAAACATTTCTCTCATCATATTGTCATTTAAATTTATCATCAAATCATGCTAACGGAAATAATGATTCTCATCATGTATCACTTTATTTATATAGACAAATATGTTCATTTTGTGAGAATCGTGGTTTGATTGTTATACGGCAAGTATTCGAATCAGCGAAAAATACTCGAATGTTACCATTATCAATCGCTCATGCATTATTTGTTATTTTAACTAATTTACGGCATCATCTAAATATAGGTAACTATGACAAACGGAAATATATGTTAAAAATTTCACTCTATTCATCAAATTTGTGAACAACAGAGATGAGCGGAAATTTCCGACACGCATTCTTTTGCGTCAGTATGTGCAGAATAGTTCTGTAGATTTTTCGGTGAACGTGCCATTTCCATATAAATTCGATGATATAAAAATAACTAGGATACCCATCGAGATCAGTCTTAAATACTTCTAAAATGTACGTTTCGTCAATTAAATTTCTCTATCTATTTAGACATAATAAAGAATTTTCTTCTACCAATTCGGCCACATGCAATACGTTATATGTGTTTATTATCTGATAATGAATTACGTTTATGTGGACAAAAGAATACGAATGACTTACTATATGCGTCATTAAAAGATTTATTTTTAACAACAACATTTCGACAACGTTCAACATCATCAACCAGCGGCCTATCGCCATATAATCCAAAGCATCATCATACAATACAATTTCAACGTTATCATTTCGATCGTTTAATGTTAACATTGGCCTTAAAATATTTAACATGTTCAACATTAACAATACGTTTAACCGGTTTATCGCATATAACAAATCAAATTCAACAATGTCTAGATTATACACAATATCGTCGTCATCAATCGATGGCTGCTGCAGCCGCTGCTGCTGCTGCTGCATCGTGTTGTTCTCATGCGAATACAACACAGGAAATTTTTACTGTTAGCGAATCTGATGGTGAAGATGAAACATCACAAAAAATTACGAACGATGTCACATCATCATCAGCTAGTTCAACTGACGATAACGATGAGTATTCGTCACATAATCATCATGAACGCAAATTAGCCAATTGGATTATTGAGAATAAAATTATTGATTATTTATTTGGACCAAATCTTCATACGGAATTACTTAAACAATGTCTAACAATATTAATATTTCTAGCATCAAATAATCGTCTTACTGTTGAACATATTGATTTAATATGGTCTTGTGTATCATTAACACATTGTAGTCGACATATATTAGATTTATTAATGAATTTAGGACAAAAAAATTTAAATATACATTTACTTAATCATTTATTACAATTAATTGGTCGAAGTGATCGATCTCAATATACAGAATCAACATTAACATTAATAAGTATATTAACAAAATCATATTGGAGTCAATTGATACGTTCATCGAATACAATTATGCAAAATAAAAAACAACAAGAATTAACTATGAAACAAAAATTTCATCAAAGAAATTCTTTAAATATGCAAAATATTTTAAGAAAACAAAAAACTTTAAAACGACAACAAATATCACCGTTGAAAAGAATTGATAGAACAAAAAATGTCGTAATGATTCGGCATAGAGGTTTGAAATGACGATTTTTTTGTTTTTCTACAGATACTGACAAGCTCTAATATCTATTCATTGTAAGGCGTTTTTCAATAGATCGTTGAATCAAATTGAAACCTCGAAAAACGGTGGCATACTTAGGATGCTCAGTAAGAATAAATTGCACTCGTGAAGGCAGACCAAAGACTGATTAATACTAGGATAATATTTTTTTTAGATAGAATGCCTGTGATAAATAATGTTGACATCAAGGCTTATGAAAAATTTCAAAAACGCCGTTTTTTTTTTTTCATATGAACTTAATTTATCAAAACTTATAGAGATACTGACTAATTAGAAAAAAATGGTATTTGCCTCATACAAGTATGACAGAATTCTCTCGGTAAAGAAATATTTTATGGCTCGTTAGACTTTCAACTACATTTACTTAATCCTATAATAAATAGTCGAACATGAGAGAGTGACTAAAACTATGGTTCAGCATCGATTCGGATGTTCTCTTCCTAAATCTAATAATTGTTTTAATCAATGAATATTTTTTGTTTTGTTAATTTTAGCTCGAGTACAACATAAAAACACACCTCATTTAATTCGTCAAACATCGCCTTCATCTCCTCCTTCAATGCCACGTTCAATTGCTGTTAAAAAACAACCATTACAACAGCAACAACAACCCGTCAAAGTAGGATCGGTTGATGAGGATTCAGCTGAAGAAGTTATCATTGTTGGTTCACCTCAACAACCAACATTGACTGAACAAAATGTTCTAAAATTGATGGCAAATAAATGTAAAGAATTTCCATCGCAAAACATTCTTAAATCAAATCCATCATCTGGATATGTTCTACGTCCAGAGAAAAAGACAGATGATCCTAACAATGCGAATACTGTTGACGAATGGACTGATGATGAAGATGACGAAGATGAAGATGAAAATAATGATGAACAATTGCGTAATGCAAGTGCAGCTGTACGACGAACAATACCATTCAATCGAACAGGTTTGATCATTAAAGTGTAGAAATAAAAAAATTCTAATCTTTTTCGATTTTCATCATACAGTTGAACCAACATCAAGTAACGATGAAGAAGATGATGATGAATCGGAAACTGAAACACATCTAATATCTCGAGAAGTATTGATGGTAAAAAAAACGGTTTGATTATGAATCGAAAAACTAAAAATAGGAAACTTTCTTTTCAGCAACATCGTGAACGATTTCAACGTGGTACACCTGCTAATCAAGAAGAGTCTGATGATGATGAAGCAATGAATAATATGAATCCAAATTTAAGTCAGGTAAATAAAAAAACTGGATTGTTAACTAAAATTTTTCATCTTCCTAAAGATGTATAAACCCGAAGACTTATCAACACCGACGAAACGTCCAACATCAGGTTCAGGTTTTATAATAAATAATTCAAAAACACTTGTTCTTCCTGATGATCAAATGGATATTGACGATGACGAAGATGATCAAAATGAGATATTTGAAGAAGATCTTCGCGGAATGGTTTTACCAACTGTTGTACAATCATCATTAAAACAACAGATCAATCGAAAAGCTAAACAGCAGCAGCAGCAGCAGCAACAGCTTGCAAAAGAAGCTCGCCAACAACAGGACGACGAAGAAAACAATACAGATCATGAAATAAATTCAACGAGAAAAAAATATCAACAAAAAGTAGAAATTCAACAAAAAGTATTTCTTTTGATTTCATAGATTTTTTTCGTTTATTAAAGGTTGGCTCACCTGAAAGTGCTGAAGATGCATCTCAAGCTGGATCATTACCATCGGAAATGGAAACCGAAATCTATGATTGTAGAGAGTCGATAGGACCAAAGAAAAAACGGTAAGCAGAAAAAGAACTAGTCATTAAGTTTTAGTCTAAAAACAAATGTCACGTTTTCATTAAATAATCACTTGTTTTGGAATCGTTCAAAATTGTTCTTTGAAATTTTCAGTCCTCGCCCTAATATCGACGATGGTGATGATGACGATGAAGATGACGAAGAAGAAGAAGAAGAAGAAGAAGGTGACTTTGGTTCATCGGTTTCCGATGTACTCAGTGGAACAGGTTCAGCGAAAAATATGGCTGATTTCGAAGACATGAGCGAATCGGAACAACAAACAACATCGGCACGTCGCATTCGAATCAATCATCAATTATCTGATATAGCATCGTCAACTCCAACTGATCAACAAACACGAAAACGACAAGACACTGAAACCAATCTCGGCCATCATACATCGTCGTCTTCATCAGCGTCATCGTCAACAGAATCAACGAATGGTTCGAGTACCGGTGGTAATATTGATGATGATGAAATAAATATTTCGAATTTATCTTTACCTGGTCAAACACTCCTGTGGGATTTATTGCAAGATCAAACAATAATTAATTTAACACATCTACCTGATAGTTTACTTAATGAAACTGAACGTTTATTTAGTCATGTACTTAGTTCAATTGAAGATAAACGTATATTATTACATTTTATTCAAGCATGCTTAGATAATTTAAAAAAGTCTACATCAAGTTTAATCTCATTACGTTTGTTACCAAAATTATTTTTAATATTTCAACAACATCAACAACGTGCTAATACACACATATTCCTATTATTCGAAGAGAAATATCATGTATTAAATGCATTTTTCAACGATCTAGAACAATTAACAAAACGTTTACAAGCAAATACATCATTAATATCTATACATAATGAAATAACAGTACGTTTTCAATTTTTATCATTTATTTTTTCAATATCTGCATCACCAAAAGACTTCAGTAAGTGAATTGAACAAAAGCAAAAGAGATATCTTGTGAAGGATTGACTTTTATTTAACATAGATCTAACACAAAGTCAAGCTGATCGATTGTGGGATTGTTTAACAGCTGTCACTGGCTCAACAGGAACAAACCGTGAAGAACTTTATAATTGGTTATTAAGTCAATTGAAAAATCGAGATGGTGGACATGCACTTTCATTGGAAACATTCAAACATCTTCTCACAGAAAAGGTATTTAATACTTTAAGAATACAATTTTAATCACAACCACAATCGCTACTGAAAATAAATAGTGAACTAGTTGCTTTCATTGAGGCCAGAATTAATTCGAAATTTAGGATAAACTATCTTTGCTAGAATCGCTAAAGTTTCGTTGTCAATCTCTCACTCGTCTTTCATCCTATGGAATCAATCGAATCCAAATAAGCTTACTCCCGTTTTACTGAACAAAAATAATTTTTTTGATCGCATGCGATTTTGTTTTAGCTTTTAACTCAAAAACCTGAACATGTATGTGGTCAACAATTAAATCTAATTCAAGAAATTCTTCAGCAAAGTCGTACCAATTGGGTACATATTCTTCAACAGCAACAGCAACAACAAACATCGTCAACGACAAATTTAACGCAACAATACAATGATTTTCAAACATTTGAATTTCTAATATTAAATTATGTTAATGATGTTGCTATGCGTGCACTAGATCAAAATGTCAGTACATTAGCAGCACAAACATTAAATAGTTATCAAATTCAAAATGAAGATGGTACACTTGATCGTGAAGAACCATTCATAGCACGTTGTATGAATTGTTTAAATGAATGTATAAATACACTCGATGATTTATCATCGTTGCGTACAATTAATCGTATATCAGTTTTACTACGTTCACATTTAGAATTATTTATGCGACGTTATTCATATGTGATACGTCTTTATCAATATATATCACAAACAAATAGTACGACTTCAAATAATTTATTTTCATCATCGTCACTTAAACCACATATTAAACAGTTGACACTACCCGACGAACGTGAAACAAATATGCTTAAGCTAATATGTAACGCACCGATAACAAGTGGTGGGACAGAAAAATATATATTAAAAATGAGTCCAAATGAATTTATAGGTGATTTACGTGCAGAATTAACACGTTGGTATTGCACATTGAAACCTCCGATGACCAATGTTTTAACGCAAACACTATTAACTATTGAAAAGAATGATTTAACAACATTAAATTCGACTAGTTCATCAGCATCGTCATCGGGATCATCGTTCGATCTTCTTCATATGTCGAATTTACCATCGATACGTGTTTTAGCCAATGGACAAGAATTGGATAGAGATATTGATGATAAAACATTAAGTGAATGTAATATTAAAGATAATCAAACTATATTAATAAATGCATCGACAAGAAATCGAACGAAAGATTTATATAATATTGATGAGCGTCTCCTTAAAAATTATATACCCCACAAAATGCCAATGATGTTACTGTTGAAATATATTGAACAATTTTTTTCAATACTTGCACAACTACAAAACTTTATTGAAACATCATCGGAGGTAATAAACGGATATTAGACTTGAATCTCAATAGAAAAAATGATGCCGAAATGATAGCGGAGTTTTATATGAAAATCGAATTTCTGTTGTATACAAAAAATAAATCTCTATATTTCTATTTTAGCATGCTGAAGCTCGTCTAGCTGTTAGTCGTTTATGGGAAATTCTCCTATTGATTCCAACGCACAGTGGTATCTTTCAAAATTTATCTCAACTCAATGAATTTAAAGAGAATGAAAACAATACTGTGCAATGGGCAAATTGTTTAAAACGATCGGATCCCTTTCGTTTAACATATTCATTACAGATAATCGATATGCTCATACGGCGTATGCCTGCATATAAAGATATATTTGTTAGTAAAGGTGGTTTAAAATATTTATATGATTTGTTTGTTTCAAAATCATTCTTTACTGAGCCCATTGACCGCTCATGGTGTTCAGGATTGCCTGATGCACTTCTATATACGCTTAAAATACTTTGTTCTTGTCTATTGAAAATACCAACACCATCAAGTCAATCTTCGGGTCAACAACAACAGCAACCTCCACCGCCATCATCAGCGCCGCCATCAACAATTCCAACAGCAGCTGATGAACAACATTCACCACGTACACCAGTGAATACAAGAAAAAAAGTAAGATTTTAGGCTATCTGTTTTTACTAAGAAACATTTTCTTTTTTAATTTGCACATTTAGACTCGACGTGAAACAACAACACCAGCAATAATGGCTGCATTATCATCAAGTGATTTAATCAATATTGATAATTCAACGTCGACACCCATCGTTCATCAGCAATCACATTTTCATATATATGAACCACATTGGGACAATGTTGCATTAACAGATAAAGAAGTTCTATTAGATACTTTGATTGATATACAATTATCTATTGTTACAAAAAGTACACGTTTATGTTGTCCAGTTGTTTTATTACAATTTGCTAATCGTACAGATCTATTGCATACATCAATGATATTGTTTATAACATTATGTCATTCGTATGATGATATTCGTGCTAAATTTATTGAACATCCAAAATTAAGTTTATGGTTAAAAATTTTATTACTTGATGCATATGATTCAATTCTTAAACGGGAAGCCCAACTGAATATTTATCGATTGTGCATAGTTTCAAGTAATAATAATAATAGTAATAGTAGCAATTCTTCAGGTATGAGAAAAATTGATTTCTTATTTTTAAATAAGGATTATTGAGTCATATTCGTTTCAAATCGAAGTGAAATTTAAACAGCATGGTTTCAAAGAGTTCTCTATTGAATTGAATGCTTACTATTTTCTGACGTCTAATATATATATATATATGTATCAAAAATATAATAATAGAGAACAAGTGTTAAAAGTTTTCAATGAAAATCTTTCCGATGAGTTAATAATGAAGAATTAAGATCTCCGTTTTCTGTACACCCAATTTTTTTTTTCAAAAATATACAAATAGTAGACGCGTCAATGAGCGGTTTCTTATCGGACTAATCTATAGCTATTATCCTATTGACGATTTTCAAATAAATTTTGCACAAACAAAAATTTTCTCCTTTCGATCTCATCAATTAGAAAAAATAATTTTCCTCTCATTCTAGGTACCAGTGAGGAACTCAGTCTTCAACCGACGGCAGATTTTCCACCACCACCACCCATGCCAACTCAACGTACATGCCCAATCGATGAAGAAAAAGCTGCACAAACATTAACAATATCCTCATCCATCGAATCTACTAATGAACCGGCTGTCGAACGTATTTGTCTAGTACCAATTCTTACAAATCTTCTTGAATTGATTCCCTATGCATTGAAATTCACGTCATCATCGTCATCATCATCTCAAAATAATTTTGAAACAAATTCAGCGATAACATTTCAAACATTAAATCTTTCGTCGACGCTAATGGCCAAATATGATAGTCATTCATTGTTTCTCAATCAATCATCACATGAATATTTTCATTTACTAACCTCAATAATCGATCGTATGCATTATGATGAAATCAAACAGATTAAAATCAGTAAAAATAAACTTTGTAATATAAATAATTCAAATCAAATAATACTATTCGATCATGAATTAATTGAAATATTAATCAACTTCATTCATGATCACATTCCATATGAAACTCAACGAGATAAATTAATTGAAGATGAAGTACTCTATGGTTTGCTTTGTCTACTGACATCGATTGTTAAGCAATACAATAATCTGTATTTAAAACAAATTAATATCAACAATAATCCATCCTATAAACAATTAACATTCACTTTAATCGATCGTGTATTTAAATATCTATTTGAATTGCCAACAAGCGAAAATCGCTTCGTGCCAAAATGTAAATCATTATTAACACGTGCAAAATCCTATGAATTTCTCAACGAATTAATTAAAGTTAATCAGGAAAATTTCATTCAATTACAAAAGAAACTTCTTGATCAACATAATTCAATCGACCGTCAACAGCCGTATATATGGGATTATTGGCCACGTGATGATGGCCGTTCCTATTCCGGTTATGTTGGTCTAACAAATCTAGGTGCAACATGTTATGCTGCAACAAGTTTACAACATTTATACATGATTCCGGAATTACGTACGGCTATATTAAATACTGATACGGCCGATAAACATGATTTGATATTATACGAATTAAAGCGTATGTTTGCCTATTTACTCGAGAGCGAACGTCGATCGTATAATCCGAAAAGTTTTTGTAAAGTTTATACGATGGACGGTTTACAATCATTGAATACAGGCGATCAAAAAGATATGACGGAATTTTTTACTGATTTAATAACGAAATTAGAAGAAATGTCCGATGATTTAAAACAGCTTGTACGTGATTTATTTTGTGGTATTCTAACAAATATTGTGATTTCTTTTGATTGCCCACATATATCGAGAAAATTAGAAGAATTTTATACTGTACGTTGTCAAGTTGCCGATATGAAAGATGTACATGAATCATTAGCAGAATTAACTGTTAAAGATACATTAGAAGGCGATAATATGTATACATGTTCGAAATGTTCGAAAAAAGTTCGAGCTGAAAAACGTGTTTGCTTTAGAAAATTACCGAAAATTTTATGTTTAAATACAATGAGATACACATTTAATATGGTTACAATGCAACGAGAAAAAGTGAATACACTATTTCAATTTCCAATGCAATTGGATATGAGTGGTTATATGGAAACAAATTTAATTGATAAGAATAAATTAATTGGCGATGGAAATCCAGAACATGATGAAGAAAAAGACAGTGAAAGGTAAGGAATATGGATTTTCTCGGAATGTTTCTCACTGATAGTTGAGCTTCTCGTTATGCAGCAAAGATTTTCGAAGTGACATTTCTCAAGAATTGAATGACAGAATATGCCTATAAATTAAAATACAAGACCGCTGATTCGAAGTTCTGATGATAAACATACCAGTAGGCAAGCATTTAAGAGCTCTATATTGTCAGGATAAAATTCTAGAAAAATGTGCTCAACTTAAACAACGAAGCTCGAAACATTATTTTTCTATCTGTGCTTCTTCACATGAATGTTATGTAAATAATTCAAATTGAAACTAATCTTTTCTCATGTTTAGTACAAGTAAATATCCACCAGCATCTCCATCATCTGGTAATGATTCTCATTTATTTGAATTAATCGGCGTTACAGTTCATACGGGCACAGCTGAAGGTGGTCATTATTATTCATTTATACGCGAACGTGTTAAACGTTCAACAGATAATAATAATTTTTCAAGCAACTCCGATCTACTATTAGATAATCAGCAACAATGTCAACAGCATCGTTGGTATTTATTCAATGACGCTGAAGTCAAACAGTTTGATCCATCACAAATAGCCAATGAATGTTTTGGTGGTGAAATAACATCAAAAGGTTATGATCAAGGTTCCGATCGTTTTCTTGATTTTCAATTTGAAAAAACACATTCAGCTTATATGTTATTCTATGAACGTATTGATACACCTTCAACAATAACAACAACATCAAATATACCAACGTTACAATTAAAAGATTCAATACCCTATGCAATACCAAAAGATATATCCGATTGGATATGGGAAGATAATCGACGATTTGTTCGTGACCGACATTTATTCGATCATCATTATTTTACATTTATGTGGACACTTTGTCATCATCCAGCACCAGTTAATACATTAGTAATAAAACAAGATGACCAACAAGAACATAGCGATAAGAGTGGATCAATCACAGAATCTTATGATATGTTGCCCATGCAATTAGCAATTACATTTGTTTTTGAAACTTATATACATGCAAAAGATAAACCAACAATGACTGGTTGGGTAGAATATTTATGTAAACAATTTACAGCTTGCAAACCAGTTGCTGTTTGGTTTCTTGCGCATATGACACAAGATGATACATGGTTAACTAAAGTACTTGTACGATGTCCTAATCATACGATACGTCATATGTTTGCACGTGTGCTTATTGATGTTTTACATAAAAGTCGTTTTCGGTAAGAAGAATAGTTCTTGTATACAACAATTTAACTCGATGAAGAGTTGAAAACACGTCACTGAATAGAAAGGTTTTCTCGTCACTCTTATCGAAACGATTGAAGATAATCGAGCCCATCATTTTTGTAAATTATGTATTAGATAAAAATGAAATCTTCAATTTTATGAAAGTGTTTTCATGACTTTGTTGTGCTGTTTTTTTTCACTCAGATATTCACATTTAATCGAGTGATGAAATACTATCAAGATAGGTCTTATCTTATTAGTCAGACATTATCTTGCAAAGATTCACCATTTTTACTTTTGAGTTGTAGTCATTGTGGTAAGATTTCTAATCAAAAACGTATTTCTTTATGTATATTCACATAACTAAATGTAAATTCTAAATAAGCTGATTATTATGACTTTTTACTTGTGATTAACACTAGTTTTTATAATTTGAAAGCTTATTTCTAAAACAAAATTCAATGAATTATTTTAGTGATTCATCAAATGAAGATTCTCTTGTTGTACAACAATTTATTCGTAAATATTTATTGATCATAAGCGAAGGTGGTGCACGTTTATCAATACGTTATATGTCCGAATATTTTGTCTTTCTTCATGATTTTGCTCGTAATGGTATTGATGAATGTTATCTATTACTTGATTGTTTATGCATCCAACAATTAATTACATTTTATATGTTACATCGCGGTCGGCAACCCAAACAATCGTCATCAAACAATAACAATAATGATGATGGTAATACAAGTTCCGACGATGAAAATCAATCGAGTACAAATTTATTAATGACAACCAACGTCATTGATGATGACATAATACCATTAAATACAATACGTTTACCAGCAAATAATAATTTAAATCGCCCCGGCATATTTGAAAAGATGTTTCCATTAATTGCTCTATTATTAGAAACTGAACGAACACGTTCGAATCTTGAAAATTTCGATTTACATTTATTTGTTGAAAATGATTTTGCTTTTATTCAACAGCAAATTCTCGATAATATTAATCTGAAAGCTACAGCACATATTATACAATTAATATGCTATAAAAATGATGTTTATGCAAATAAAATTGTTAATCTTCTCTCGCAATGGATAACCAACTATAAAAATGATATGAACAGTGTACAAGCATTATTTAAAGTTTTAACCTATTTAATTGAACAAAATCCAAATAATATCACAAACGAGAACAATGATCAACAACAAGTATTATCAACATTGAATATTGATAAAAATTGGTGTGATTTTGCAGCATTAATTGTTATACGCATCGGAAAATTAATTGATATTTGTCCAACACAAGTATTTGAATGGTTCAATAATGTTGTTAATAAATCATCAATTATACATCGTTGGATTTACAATAATATTAAACAATGGTTAAAACCATATCTATTATATAATACATATACGAAAGTGCGTACACTTATGGCACAATTATTAGTTGCACTGGTGCCATCAGCAATATTTCGGCAAACATATAGAACAGGAAAATACTTTTTAAATCTATCGAAACAACAATTAGCATCGGCAACACAAACAACGACAACACACGGAACAATTACGTCTTTATTAACATTGAATCAACAAGTAATTGAGAATAGAATAGTTTTCTTATCGACTTGTTAAAGATAAAAATGATTTTTCAAAATCGTCTTTGTCCTTGACGCGGCAGAAAAATATATAATTACATGAATAGAGTTGAATCTATTGAGTAAATTTTGCAACGTATCCCAAATAGTGAATAGTAAGTCTCCGTTTTTATGAATCCCGGACCGACAGAGTTCAGACAATGATCTGGATGAACCTGCAGCTCTCTCTCTGTCGTTTAAAAGTTTTTCATAATAGATTACTTTCGTAAAATTCAAATCTATAGGAGAATTCTACGCGTAACTCAACCGCTTGAAAGATTTCCGCCGTTTATCAATTATTCCGACTGTAATGGACTTACGTTAGTTCTCATGTTTATAAGTTACTCTTCAGAAGGCCAATATGCTGAAGTTCTAATTCAAACATATCTTTTTTTCACTATTAGATATCACCTGTTTCAAATACAACTTCATTCTCCGCTCTATTTGATCATCTACAATTTGCGCAATATCCATCGGATTTTACAACTGATACCTATTCAATACTGCGAACGCTATTATCTCATCTGCTCGAACTTCTCATTGAAATTGGTCATGATCAAAATGAATTACATATGAATGATAATCAACAACGTCTTGTTCAATATCTATCTGTTGTAATTCATTTTACACGTTATACACCTGAAAAATGTACTCTATCAGAAAGTCACTATTTACACGCATTATGTACATTAATTTCGCACCCGAAATTAACTGAAGATCATACAATAAATAACGGAAATAAATTATTAATATTTATTTTATTACAACAATTGTTAACTGAAAAAATCTTCTTAACAAATACATTAACTTATGAACATGATTTTAAACAGCAATTGCCCATGTGTTTAATTATTGTTGATCATGAAGATCAAGAATTAATATTATACAATCGTTTATTCTTATTTATTTATTATAATATCTTAAAACAAATTTGTCAATATTCATGGTTATACAGTAAAGAATTGGCATTACATAAAAATATGTCATGGGCATTGAAAAATGTCTTGCCCTATGTACATTTATATCCTGATGCATGCGAACAATTATCAACCATATGTAAAATAATTTCGCGTGCAAACCGTGATAATCTCACGGTGGATGATCAACAATTAATTATCGAATTTAAAAAAGAATTGTATTCATTAATATATCGTTTTAATGATATACGTTCATCCTGGTCGATTATACTTGATTTAACACGTGATATGTGCGATTTACAAGCTTCACATGATGAACGTTTTCAAATATTAACTCGACGTGGTTTACCTGTATTAACAACAATATTTTTAACGATATTTACTTCATATCATGATCAAACGCAAACACAAATTTCAACTATACAAAATGATTTAATTTATTTATTATGTTTAATTGCTAATCTACTCGATACAGCTGATATACATATTAAAAAGCCACAAACAAATTCAACAACAAATATGCGTAATATTGTCGGGACACAATGGAAAGAAAAAATGGAATTAGTTGCAAAGCTACTTCTATTACTGAACTCTTATAATTCCAGTGAAATACGCCAACGTGCTTTTGATCTATTAAAGAAAGTTATTGTACAATTGACGATACAAGATTTAACACAGGTTGCATCCCACATTAAAACAACACACGAACAAGCTGCTTCACAATCACATCCACAACTTGGACCATGTAAGATATATTTATATAAACAAAAAGAGAAATAAGAATAATATTCGTTTTCTATTTTGAAGATTTTCCGCGAAGAAAACAACCAATAAATAATTCACAACAACAAGGTAATCTTTATTTATTTTTTGTTTGTTTGAGATATTAGAGAAGTGATTTAATAGCCCGATAGTTTTCCTATCTTGAAGGAAGAATGCATTGAATTTTAAGACAATGTTATACATTTTTTCAAACATTTCTTTTAATGTTCGAATATTCTTTTAGGAACAATCGACCACATAGGTAATCAATCAGTTCATACACCATTTCGGCCGCACTTTGGCATGTATTTCAAAACTCAACTGCTTGAAACATCGAAAGGTCGAGATTTAGGTTTGTTCAATTTGAATTTCTTTTCTCTATTAAAAATCTATTCGAATTTTCTTCAGATTTCGATCGTGCTGTTCATGCTTATTATTCTCCATATCATTTTTTTATCGATTCTCTAGCACGTTATGCTTATAATCAAAATTCTCTTAGTGGCTCTATATTAAATCTTGTCACACTTGTTGCTTGTGAAGGCGTTCAAAGTATGCATTTATGTTTATTTGCTAAATTATGTCTTGAAATTTCTAACCAATCAACAACAAGCGCACAAACTTTAATTCATGATTTACTACAAACATCATCATCGTATTATTTTCATCATTTTATTGAAATTGTTTTAATTGATGAACGAATATCTTTATATCAAATCGATAATTACTCTTTTCTCTATACGTATTTACCAATGATATTAAGCATGAAAAAGTCTTCAGCACCAACAACGCCAACATCTTCTGCTACCGCAGCAGCAACAGCAGCAAACATCACAACTGATTCTATACAGATGTTTATACAACGTCTCGAACAATTATTAAATAAAACCTGTGAACATTGTTTGCAATCAATCTTTAATGAATCACAAACAAACTTAGATTGGTTACAATCATATAAAAAGCTATTAAAATCAATTAATTACTCTAATACGCAGATCATTGGTGATGTGAAAGCATTAGAAATATATTTACATTGTCAATTAACAAATGATAAAAGTAAAATACAAACTATAATTGAACAAAGTATTCGATTTATTGAACAACATTTACAATTGCCATTATTAATTGATGATGAACTACAACAGCAGCAGCAGCAGCAGGAAAGTGAATCAACAACAATCGTTGATGATGAAGCTAATCCTGTTAAAAGACGACGATTAGATGATAGTAATTTAGCCATGGATATAACGAATAATGATCCTAAACGTAAAACAATTGTGGATACATTACAAATTTTGCAAACATTTTTGACAAATATGAATAATATAACTAATGAATCAACCACGATTGAACAATAATAGTAGCTATTTAAAACTTCAAAGTACACGTTGTCTCGTCTTTCATTTATTCTCGTAATTTTCTGGTCATTGATCGTTACAACGTGTTAAAGTTTTTCGCTTTTGTTTTAGCAGCATTGCGTTGTATTATGTAGTGAATCCGCCTATGGAAAACATTCATTTCATACATACTCTATATACATATATATATTTGTTGTTATTGTGCGTATTCCAAACTTTGGTTATTTTTCTTTTCTTTTTTTTGGGGTTCTTTTCTTTTTCTCATACGTTTCATTTTTTTTTGTGTAATTTCAAAGAGCAAAAAACTGCTATTTTCTATGTATATACATGGAAAAGAAAAATTTAACTCAGAAAACATTTCGAACCTATTTATAGATATAATTATTGATTGGTACCATGGATTCGCAAAACTCTGTAGAAAGTAAGGATGCAAAACAGCTCACAAAAATGAATCGAAAAAACTAATCACATTCGAAATCTTGATTGTTTTCCTTTTGTTTAGCATTGACTATTGCTCTGATCGATACGCTTTCGGATAGAAATGATAAAGTACGTGACAGCGTGGCTCAATCAATAGTTGATACTGGTAAAAAATTGCCTAAGCTAACAGTAAAATTATGTACGAATTATCTTGATAAACATCAAAAATTGCCTGAATCACATCGAGCAGCTATTCTGCGTGTTATTCAACGTATTCTTAGTTATCAACAAGAAAAAGAAGGTGAAACACCATTTGATGGTGATACATTTCCATTACTTACTCGTGTTACTGTCAACGAATTAACAATGCCAAAAGTTTGTTTTCTACTTATTAAATCGTATCTGTTCTTTTTTTGAAAATCTCCTTGTTTAATATAGGAATTAGTTCCCTTATGGCAACAAGCTGCTTCCGATGTCTTAGTTGAAATTGGTAAATGCGAGCCTGATCTAGTTTGTACAGCTCTCTTACCACATATGCAAGCTGGTCAATTACCACAATTTTTTGTTCTACAAACCGTTGGTAGTCTTGCCGAAGCCAACCGTAAGCTTATTTTATTTATAAAATAATTTAAACTCAATTCGAGAAGCACAGAAGAGAGGCCTTTTTTGATTAAGGATTTCTTCGAGCTCCAATTAGTTAGCGTCTAATAGCGAAATCATAATTTTAGCACGTGGTATGGTTCATCAGTTGCGTCCAATGTTTACTCGTATATTACCAATGATGGGCATGGTAAAACAAGAAAATTATCGTTGGGTGTATACAGCAGTACTATATAAATTTTGTTTGTCGCTAATTGATTTTCAAGCGAACGGTGATGAAACAGCCCGCGCAGAATTCGCTCCACAACAATATGAAAATGATGCTTTTGCTGCCTATGAAGTTTTTCTTACATCAGCTTGGATTGGATCAAAAGAACTTAAAGTATGATAATACACTAAAAATCAAAACAACAAACATAGATTTCTATTCATGTTTTCTCTCTCTTCAAAATGAATAGGTTCGAAATATATGTGTACAAGCAATAGGTCGCCTTGCCTATTTATTTTCTTCAACGAAATTCACAGAACAATTTCCACGTTTAATTCAAAATGTACTTGGACTTTATCGAAAAACTGTTGATCATTTATTTGTCAGTGAAACACTAAATTCTGTTGTATTGTTGGCTCACCAATATAATGTTGCACAATTAAAACTTTCAATGGATGCTATTTTAAGAGAAGTTTTCAACGAAGTAAAATCCAAATCATACTTTTTATTTGAATTCACTATTTCTTTTCTCTATGTTAGATTCAAATTAATTACGATGCATTTGAAAATGGTAATGAACAAGCTATTAAAAATCAAAATGAATTATTACGTACATTATCAATACTTGGTACGTGAAAATTTAGGAAAACTATAAAAAAACTAAATGTATTTTGATTGTAGGCAAACATGCACCCCAATCAATATGGCCTTGGCTATTACAACGTATGGATCAAGCTGGTACGAATGATAAAGTTCGTATTGTACTTCTTGTTATTTATCGTCATCTTGTCTATGCCTTTGGTAATGATGCACCATCAACGCCATTTGATTATAAATCATTGCTTGTATCAAGTTTAAGACCAACATTAAATACAGCAACGCTAAAAGTAAATTCGTTCATAGGGATTTATTTTATATCAGGTCTCTTTCATTTTATTTAGATTACAAAATATTTATCGCAATTAATTGTTGCAATGGCTTGTCATGGCTATTTGCAATTAGAAGGGCGAACATTCTTAATTGAATATATTGTTCGAAATTGTACATTTCCTTTAACACTAAATGAAGATATTAAAGCCGATTCAACAGCAGTACCTACTGTTGACGTTCGAATAATGTGTCGAAATATTTTAAATGCTTTTAGTTCAACTATTGCAGGAATGGAGGACGTAAGACATTTTTTGTTTTTGAATTATCTCATGAAAAATATATTTCTCCATTGCAGGTATTATGGCCATTATTAATCGAATTTCTCATTCCAGAAATGTACACTGGCGCATTCGGAATAATTACGAAAGCATTAGCACAATCGGGTCAACAACAAATTGCAGCAAAAAAAGATTCATTTTGGATTGATTTTGATGCTTTAGTTAATTTACCAAAACCCAATGAACTTATTGCACGATGTTTTGTATGTTGAACTCTGTTTTGTAAATGACTTCTTTTTATTTTTCCAAATAGGTTCTTTTGGGTGAACCATTAGTTGAAGAATCACGTGGTGTATCGATACTTAATTTTCTTCGTATAGCTGTTACAGAACTTCAGACTGATTTAAGAGAATTATGGGAAAAAGTCATTCCACGTTTACTTCAAAATTTAACTGATGATGATGAAAATAAAAAATTCGATTCAGCCAATTGGCAAGATCTTATACTTAAAGTAACGGAACATTTGTTTTTATCAATATGAAAAACAAAAGCAATGACTCTTTTCTATTTAGTTTCTTTCCAAAAGTCTTGATGTTATTGAACGTGAAGATTGGATTAGTGATATCGGTGCTTGTTTTGTTAAACAATTACCTCTATATCTAAAATTAGAGCGTGAACGTGGTTTTGCTTATAAATGCATTGGTATTGTATTACGTAAATCAAAAGTGAACGAATTCGTAAGCCGTACACTTGAATCAATGACAACAGCAATTAATTTTCATCATGAAAATGAACGAAATGGTTGGGCAACAATGTTTGGTTTTTGTTCAACAACACATCTTGATATTGTATTACAACGACTTGATCTGTATTTAAAACTTGGTGATTCAAAAAGTTCAAGCTCAACATCAAGTGGAGGTGGTGGTGGTGGTGGTCTCTTTGGTTTTCTTAGTTCAAAAACTGATACTCATTCAGATTTATCACGTGCTACAACTCTTTTAGCTTATGCTTATGTGTCAATATATGCAGCACTCGATTTAATTATTTCTCGTATGGAAACAAGTATACTTATTAGTGCAGTTAAAATAGCTCGAACGATTAAAGAAGAAATAGGTAAATCAATTGTTGCGAAATCATTTGTTATTCTTGCACAATCGATGAATAAAAATCATTTGAAAACTGATTTTACATTTGCATCAAGAAATGATCTTATACACGAGATGGTTAATTATATTACAAATGAATCATCTGCAAAATTGCAACCAACCACATACAATCAATGTATCAAAGCATGCCATGCACTTATGTAACCAAAGACAAAAATAATGACTTTTTTGTTTCTGTAATAATTATTTGATTCATTTATTATTTTAGTATTCTGCAGCCAGAACAAACACTTCCCGAGAAATATCAGTTAGCTCGAGCTGCCTTATATTGGTACTGTTCGGCAAAGATTGTCAGTATTTTGAATCTTTTTAAAATTGTTTTATCGTTATGAGTTGTTGTATCATTCAGGAATTACCATCAACTCAAAAAGAAGAGGTTTCTATGTCACTTGGTGCACTTATGATTGAATTGCTTAGTTTGGGCGATTCACAAGAAACATTTCCTAATCTTATCAATGTAAGAGAACTAAAAGAAGATTTCATGTTTTCTTGATTAGTCTATGAAAAAAAGTGATATATTTTTGTGACGAAGCCTATAACTGAAGGATCAAATCCGGAATGATTATTGTTGAATAATTGAACATACTATTTTTATTTGCAAAATATGACGTTCACTCGTTTTTTTCCTCTTTTATAGCTTCTTGAACCTTTTTGTTTATCACTTCATGGTTATGAACGTGCACGTGCTTTTGATATTCTTAATCAAGTTATTCAATCAAATCCAATGAATAAATTGAAAGAACAGGTACGATCATGTGCAGTGTTGAAATTATCTATTTTGCTGATTATCAATATAGAATTTGATTGATCTTGGCGGTGTTATGGCTATTTGTCTCATGTATTTAACGGATACTGAAACAACAGTCGAACTAGCAACAAATGCCAGTCTTACTCGATTATTACGTCTTCAAGCGCAACTTGCAACAGGTAATTACTTTTGACTATGCTGAGTTTAATGAATTTCATGATCTATTTATTGAAGGTGCCTTGGAAAATTCAAATGACAGTCAGAGTGCTAATGAACAAGACAAGTCAGTCAGTGATGATACGATACAAGTGAGTATTTTTCTTTTCTTTTTAAATGGTTAGATTTATTAAAAAGCAATCTATAAACAGTGCTCTAATACCATTAGACACGCCAGAATACATGACCAGGTACTGTTTTGTCTTTGGTTTTATTTCGACTCGTATATAATGTTTCTGTTCGTACTGCATGTATTTTTACGCTTGTTTCACTTCTTTAGTAAACTTTCTATTATTTCGAATCTATTCATATGACTAGTACTGATAGAATTAATATTAATAGAAACTACTTGCATTAAAACTTAGCTTTTCACCTCATGTAATCATCTTTAAAATTGATAAAAAAAAAAGATCTTTTTTCTTATACATATTTACATAGAGTTTATCAGGGAATCTCGAGCCAAGTTGTCTTCTTTCGTTTATCGAAAAATCTACGGAAATTGTTGCTGATACACGAGCAGTGGGCTCAGTCGTGGTATGCAATGTTCTTTGTAAAATATTTGATTGTCGACATGGTGAATTAGTCGATCAGGTAATCAATTATTGTTCATTTTTTGACTATTTTACTAGCGTTCAGCTCGTTTTTATTCTTGATTTAGATTGATTACATCTTTAGTATTATGCTCAATAAATATAATCAAATCACCAATGAAGATGTCTTACGAGCATTAAGAGGTGCTTTTAAACAACTTAGTTTGTCATGTTCAACACGTGTATTTAGTACGCTGATGAATTTTGGTGTACCATTCACTAAGTAAAATTATTTTGATGAAAATAAATCTGAATTGATTGCTACTTTTCTTTATAGAAATCTTGTGACTATTATTCATGATCTTGCTGATAATCGACCATTGACTGAAGCTGTTCTAGCACAAATAATGGAATGTTGGTCACGTTCATTACCTTTTGAAGAAAAAAGCTCACAACGATATGCTACGGCTCAACCGTTTATGGCTCTATATTTACTCAATCAATGGTTTCAATCAGAACGTATGTGTGATCTTGGTGAATATGCTTTTCCACGTTTGTTCGTTGCTCTCTTCATACGTATGGCTTCACATGTTGATACCTCACCACCACAAAATGTGCCACCATTGCGTCGTATTGCTCCACCACATGGTAGTTCTCGACGTGATTCAATAGGAAGTAGTACAAATAATGTTTCTGTGCCTAATGCAACAGCTACTAATTCGAGTAGTGCTAAAAAACCGACATCACGTCTTGGTCTATTTGATTCAAAATCATCTCGTAGTTCATCTAAAGCATCAACTACTACTGAACAATCTTCAAGCAATACAGGATCGTCGAATAGTGAACTCAAGAAAATTGATCCTTGGCGTTTATCAAATGATTGTATGATGCATTTTCTAAAAGTTTATAAGTGCCAATCAGAAATTAACAGTTTGATGCCTTGGGAAAAGATGGCGAAATTTGATACAGCTGATTCAGCTCTTGAAGTGCTTGCTCAAGGTCTCTCACGTTGTAATCATATAAATCAAAAACAATTAAATGTTATTATTGAATTACTTGGACAAATATTGGATGGTCCTTATGATATTCAACGTGTATGTGTATCAGCATTTTTTGCTGAACTCATAAAATGTAATCCTGATGATAGTGATGATCAACGTTTTGTTCGTGAACTTATTCGTTACTTATTGGGACGTTTAGTCGATCATAATATTTATGTACGAAAATTTTGTTTACGTGGTCTTGGCTGGTGGCGACCAGTTCGTGATAGTTCAGATGATAAAGGTTTACCAACTACTATTCTTGCATCATTAAGTAAGACGCTACAATGACATTCAATATTAATTTGAATTGTATTTCAACATGTTTTTAGTTTCTGGTTTGGATGATCGTGATGATAAAGATGATCTTCTTACACTTGAAGCCATGTGCTCGTTATCGAATGTAATTGCTGTGATGAATGAAGATGAAGTACGACCTATTCTTATGAATGTTCTTCTACGTATTCGACCTTGTTTTGAAAAAGTAAGAATATAAATATTTAAACAGAAAATCTTCATCTTGTTTTCTTCATTATCTCTAGGAAGAATCCAAAGTACGCTCAGCAGCATTTACATTGTTTGGAAAAATGGCTTCAGTAAGTGAAGGAAATTCACGTGAAGCATTCGTTGAACAAATATTTTCATCTTTAATAACATTAACACTTCATTTAAATGATCCTGTTGAAATAGTACGTGAAAGTTGTAAAACATGTTTTCAATCTATTGCACCTTTACTTGATCAACCAACATTAGTTGAATTATTTAAAGAAACACTTAAACCAAAAATATCTCTTGCATATCCTGAATTTATTAGTGATTTCGCTAAACTTTTAGTTCAACAATATCCTTATAAAGTCAATTTTTTTATTATGAATTGTATCATCTTTTTTAAAAATCCTGTATCAGAATTACGTGCCAATGCAGCAATCGTAGCTGGTTATTTAATACTTAATTTAACCGAAGAACAAATTAATAATCTATCCAAAGAACATATTTTGAATGGTAAAAAATTTTAATTTTGATGAGAAAAAAAAGCAAAATCTATGTTCTATATATTTTCGTTTCTAGCCTTTCTCATTCTATTAAAAGACTCCAATCCTGATGTACGTTCTCGCGTAGCTGAAGCTATGCATTTCATGTATAAATTCTAGACAAGCACAACGACGAAATACATTTTTATTAATCTATTCGTAATTGTTATCTTTCATACAAGTTATTTTATTTTCGGATTCAGTAATTTCTTTTGTGTGCATTATTATTTTATTTTATTTATTGCCAATCGATGGTTCCAAAGTTATTTCTATTTTTTGATTTTTCAGATAAAACGTTGCTTTTTTTCTGGATTAAATAGTTTATCGATTAAAAACTTGACACATATTCAGCAAAAGTCTTTGATTGTAATTATCTATTTTAATACTTTTTTCAATAAAATTTATTCAAATAAAAAGAAATAATTCGTTTTATTTTATAATATTTATCACAATTCGAATATGTTCTTGCGTTCTGCCAATATTCATTTTAGATTCAATATTTTATCCTCATGAGTTCCCGATATGCTGGATTCGGTAGTAAAAATGATGACAATGAAAGTACTGAAAATTTTGTTACTATTGGTACTCATTTCGATCCAGCTGAACCCACTAATAGTACATCAATTCTAGCTACTTTAGGTAAGTAAAGAAGCATCGATGCGATTCAAATCATTAATAACCTTTTGTTTTTCTCAGGTAGAAAAGCATCAAAACTTGTTGATCTTTCTTCATCTAGTTATGGTTATGATGGAAAACGTTTTCATGGTGCATTTACTGGTGGTTTCAATGCTGGTTTTTATAATACAGTGGGATCAATCGAAGGTTGTTTCAATTTTTATTGTTTAAAATAAATCATCTATGATCATATATTTCTAGGATGGCGACCCAGTGAATTTAAATCATCTCGAACAGAACGTGCTGAAAAACGTAGCTTTGAACCAGAAGACTATATGGATAAAGGGGTAAGATTTACTAATTGATTATAAGTATGATGAAGAATACTTTGCTTTTGGTTTTCCCTATAGGATTTCGGTGAACATGGTATTAATCCAAAACAGATTAAAATTCGAAGTACATTTGATCAAAATGAAGCTGTAACACGTAGCGGAACGAAACAACCAACAGGAACATTAAGTCAACGCACCAATGAAGATATATTACGTGATATGATTCGAGTCAAAACGTAAGCGAAGTTCTATTTCGTGAAGTTTTCTAATCAAAATTTTCATATAGATTATCTATTGGTAAAAAAATTCTAATGAGTATGGGTTGGAAACCTGGTGAAGGTGTGGGTGCAAAAATGTCTCGAAAACATCGAAAAAAATTAAAATGGTCTTTAACACAAGAAGCATCTAAAGAACTTCCTCCGTCACCTCCAAAATTAGATCCACAACAAACACCCGGTGTTAAAGTTTATGGTGTAGCAATGCCACCGCCTTCTTTTCAACAGAATATGCATAAAATATCACGTTTAGATGATGACGATGACGATGACGATTTTGATGAGCAACTTGTAAGATTTTTTTCTTCGTTTATTTATTCAATGATCTATTATTGTAGGGTTTTTGTTTTAAATTTTAGTATGCGAATGTTAGTCTACCTCCACTAGATTATGAAGTACATTTTCAATTACAAAAACGTGAACATCATGGCATTGGTTACAAAGGACTTGAATCATTAAATTTATTTGGGCATACTAATCTATTCGATCAACCATCTGTTGAAAAACAAATAAAAAATGTTAAAATTCGTGGCCAAGTACGTTAATTCACTTATGAGCACTATTTCATTTCATTGATGATCATGTTTGATTTGTAAGGCATTTGGTGTTGGTATTGAAGAAGATGAAGATGATAAAGATTTATTTGCTGAAGATGATCTTAAACAATATGATTATGAATTAACAACACCCAGTGATAGTACGACAGATATTATGCGACAGAAAGCACAAGAAAATAATTTTGTACTAAAATTCGTTCGCTATCAATCGATGTCAATGCCTGTTGTTTATCCACCACCAACATTACCAATGGATTTTCGTGTTGGTCATCGCTTTCCTAAATCAGCGATGCCACCACCACTGCCTCCTCCTCCTGTTCCATCAGCAGTAACATCTACCAATGAACAACAACCGAGACAGCCATCGGTTCAACATGATGCAAATACTCGTGGTCTTCTCCTTGGTGATCTTTCATTTCTCTCTCGTCCACCGCCAAATGTCACTGTGCCACCTTCACCAAAAGTAGAGGTGCCACCTGAAAAAGTAACACCAGCTCCAACTCAGTCACTTGCATGGGATGTCGAAAAAGAACGTTCAGCAAAAATAACTCCTGCGCCAACAGACAGCGCACGTACACAATTTCTTGAGGGTGTTAAAAATCGATTTACACCTTCTTCGGATTATATTCAATTAACTGAACGTCAATCGTTAGAAGTTGCTCTCGAAGTATAACACAAAAGAATATTTTTCATTTTAAGTACCAATAATGATATTTCCTATATTATAGAATGATCTGAAAAAAGCTGTCTCAATGAATCTCTACGGTGATTTAACTCGATCTACAACTGATTGGAAACCAAATCCATTACTATGCAAACGTATGAATATTCCAAATCCATATTCAGAGTATGTGTATCGTACAGGAAAAACAACGAATCAATATTATCATATAATAATTTCTTTTAGTGACGCTTATGATGATTCGAAAGAATCGAAGAAATCACGACGACAATTATGTTCAAATCTTTTTGAACATCTATTTACACAATCAACTACAGAACCAGCCATTTCTTCTGAACAATCTTCTCCAACTATAACACTGCCAATAATAACATCAAATTCAACTGAAACAATGAAACCAGCACAAACAATTCCACCAATTGTTCCAAAAGCACAGCCTCCTGCACCTCCTAAATTAGAATTCGCTACTATTGAATCATTTGAAAAAGTAAACTATTTAAATATTCAACCTTTTCCGTTGCCTTCTTGGTATTCGTATTGAGTCAACTATAAGTTTTCTGCCAATACGAAAAGAATTCAAAAATGTTCAATCCATTTTTTTGTTTGATGGCTTAGTCATTTATGTACTACTAATTAGTTTTGAAAAATTGAGTTCATACGGAAAATAAAATGATTAAATAGAAAGATGATCAATAATTGAACTGTCTTTTTTTCTTTTCAGGAAAATCAAGAACGTCCTCCATTGGATTTGTTTTCAGCAATTTTCGATAATCAAAATTCTGATGAAGATGAAGATGATGACAATGAGCAAGAAGCGCAAGAAAAAAAGCCTAATGATATTATTTCAAAACCAATCAATCCACCAAGTACTTTTGTGTCAAATCCATCGATTACAAAACCATCAGCACCATCAAAAACAATCCATAAGCTTGATAGTGATACTTCCGATAGTTCAGATTCAAGTATTGAAGAAATTGAAGTGACAGGTAAAATTAAACATCGAAACTTTCTGTTATGTATTTTTTTATTAATAATTAGCTGAATCGTCCGCTATGTATGGACCAACTGTCCCCAGTGCTCTTCCGTCTCGGCCCAAAGCCGAGCGTGACAGTTCAAGTGAGCGATTCATATTTTGACAAAATATTTGATTATTTTCGTCACTTTTTAGTCTGGATTAAAATAGCAAATACAAGTGAACAATATGAAGAATTAAAACAGAAGAAAAAACACAAGAAAAAGAAGAAACATCATAAAAAGGTATAATTTCTTGTTGTGATAAATTTCTTACTAGTTGCTCCTTTTCTCTCTTCTAGAGTAAAAAACATCATCATTGATACTTGTTTATTTGTAAATATTTTAAATAAAGAAAAACAAGAGCTATTAGTTTCCAATACGGTCAAGAATAAAAATTGATCAGTAAACATCCTATGTTGTTTGTTCATATGAATTAAATATTTTAAACCGGATTAATGAAAAGAAAAATGATGTAAAACTTGATCGAATCATTTATTTATAGCAATATTTTGAAAGTATAGAGCATACTTTAGTGACTAAAATAAAAAAAAATTCGTAGTGAAACAGGCTAAGAAATAACTCTTGAAGGAAATTCTGAATGTTTTAAAAATCTTTTCTATTATGTGAGGAATAATTGTATCAATCATGCAAAGTAGTTTCATATGTTTTATGCCGTCATTAGCATGATTCATTTCCGAAAGAAAAATGTTTTTTTTGCGGTATCGAAGAGACTAAGAATAATAAATGAAAACGGCGCGTAGCGTCAAACATGTAACAATACGTTCACTGTCATAGAAGCACATAAAATCAAGAAAGATATTGTTAATCCAATTGAGCTCTGATCTATATAAAGTAAAAATGGCGAAAAAGCAACCATCATTATCATCAACTCATACGATGGATTTAGCAGAGTTGTCTCATGAACATTTTCATGATATTCCAAATCCATTTGAACGACGACAATTTGCTTTTCGAGTTCTACCCGAAGAAAAAGATCCAATGAGTCAAGCTAAACATTATTCATTTATCATGCCGACATTAAAAATTCGTCTTCAACAATTAATAACTACACGTTTATGGGAATATATTATGCTCATATTATCTATTTGGTCGTTTATTTCTTTATTACTTGCACACGCCATACCGAAAATGAGAATATTTTTAGAGGTAACACATGAAATTACTCAAGGTTTGCGAAATTTCTCAACTCTAGAAATCATTTATACATATCTAACATTCTAGCGGCACTATTTATTGAAGTATCTAGTAAATTATATATTGATTACCGTTGGCTTTTCTACGACGTTTGGAATTTGTATGATCTCATTTGTGTAATTCTTAATTCTCCAGTGAGTTTTATTTCTCTCCTGTGAAAAATCTTTTTCTTTCGCTCTTAAATTTATTAGTTGATCTACAACTGTTTTCTCTCGGATTATCTCGGTGTACCACAGCTTAATAGCAGTCAACGTCTATTTCGTGCGTTACATGCTATTCGTATAATACGTATTCACAATCTATTACGATTTGTTGTTGAAACCATTCTTATTGCTCTATCCAGTATCTACAATATCCTTTTGCTAGAACTAGTTATTGTGACAGTATTTGCATTACTTTCAATTGAATTTGAAAGTGATACGCCTGTGCGGGATTCGAGTAAATACAATCCCTATGAAAATTATACTGAAGCACTCTACTCATATTATATGTGCATTACATTGGAAGGTGTCAATGAAGTAGCTGAACAAATTTTACAATTAGACTCACCCCAATTTACAACTGCTATCGGATTAGCATTTTATATATTTGCCGCGTTAGTTACATATAGTGTAGGACAACTTTTAGCAGGTACAGTAAAATTAAATATTCATTCTTCGATAGAGCCTACCGGGTCGCAAATTTTCGGGCTCTACCCTTCGGAAAGATTTTTCACTAGAAAAAAAAGGCGCCAGATTTCAATGCAACTGATTTTCTTATAGAAGGAATTTATTCCTGTCCTATATTTCAATTAATAATGTGCCTATTTCGGTTAAAATCGGTTGTCTTTCTTATTAGCTGTTATTGCTGCAACTCTTGGTAAAGCAATCGATCGAAGGACACGTGATATAAGTTCGAAATCGATTAAACATCATACTACAAAGCTTCTTGGATTAAAACGTCCGTCAATAAATGAAAAGAAGATTCCGAAGTCTCGTTGCAATACTATGGATGAAATTGATAATTTTTCTCGATTGAAGCCTGACGATCTTGCATTGCTGATACTACTTTTTCAAACTCTTGATAAAAATGTAAATGAATATGATAATATCTTACGTGATATTCGTCATGTTGCTGAATTTATCTCTAAGTTTAACAGGAAAAAAACTTCAATTTCATCACATTAAATAATTTACAATTACACATTTAGCAACATTGATTAACCATAGTGATACGATGAAGCAAATGGATAGCGAGCAATTGTGTTCAAGAGTAGATGAAATAAATCGTCTTTCCTATGATTAACACCACATCAGGGTTCTCTCTGATCTTTTTAAAAAACGCCTGTATAAAATACGTTACACGTCTATTTGACATAGAATTTTAATTATCTCGCTGATGAACATGAATGATATAATGGAATGTATTGATTTGTTGTTGAATGGACGGATGAACTCGTACAGAGACGTTTGTATTATCGTTAAATCAATAGAAGATTATAATGAATCATGATTGAAACAAGAAAAAAATTTACAAAACAAAAATAAGTTTTATAATTTATCTTGTATATTAATAAAAATGCAAAAAAAATAGACATTTCACAAAATGAATTACTGGTGTAGAAAAAAGATTAATAAATAAAATAGATGTACGCTTCAAATTTTGAATTTCATTATTGAATCAATGGATTATCTTCACCATCGTCATCGTCGTCGAACAAACGGTCAGTCGTAAATTCTTGAATATTCGATTCACGACCACGAACTATTTTCACTATACAACTGATGAGAAAAACCTAAAAAACCAACAGCAAAATGAGTGGTTTTCATTCAATAATATATACGTACAATAAGAAATAACCAACTAAGTAAAAAGTAGGCAGCTCCAAAAAACCAAACTTTATAGAAAAATCGAAGTATTATACGACCCATTACTGTCATTTGGCAGTCATCTACAACATTATAAGAAAAAACAACTAAACCTATAATTTGAGTCAATGTAAGTCATACCTGTCGAAACGAATTGTGTACACATTTCAACAGTCTGTGTGCCGTTCTAAACAGATGAAAAGCATTTCAATAGAGAACAAACCGTCGAAAATACGACTGGTTTAGTTTATATCGTAATTAAAATCAACATTTATAAGAATGGCAGAGTTACTAGTGTCTCTTATAAGATGGTCTCTGCATAGTCACAGCTACAGAGAAAAATTGCATAAGCTCGAACTTTTTCAAAATTTTTCTGCATCCAATAAGATTTAGTTAGTAACAAAATTATCAATCGCAAAATGTATCACGAGTCAAAAGAGATGATTTCTTAAGAAAAGCAAAGTCGTCACATACATTCACTACTGCAGAATAATACTGATCACCATAGATTGAATATTGAGGTATAAGAAGATAGACAAAAGCATTAATGGCTACGACAATAAACATCATTAATGACGAAAGCATTAGGATAGCTTGTGGTTTCGTTCGTCCACGAGAAAATCGATACATCTTTAAATAGAATAAAATCAACAAAATGCTAAAAATGAACATCATCGATTTACTCGAATCCACAGAAACCAAATGCCAAGTTGTTGCAAACCATAAAGTGATGTGACAATAATATAAGCCAATAATAATGATAGAACAATATAACTTACTGGATAAAACTAGAAAAATGAAAGTATTCATTTTTTTATTTCTCTAATTGAAATTATTCATCTTACTTTTCCAGTCCATGTTATAATAATATCAATGGGATTCGGTAATGTTTTATTACCTTGTGCGTATATTTGTTTAAAGTTTATAAAATGTATACATTTATTAATATTACTTAATAATAACGATATAAATATAAGTAAAGCAAATAAAAGTAACAAAACGCCAAGAACAATTTGTAATGGTCGATAGAGGAAGCGACATTTAAAAAATAAACTGCGACGTACAACTTTAATCGATTGTGCATTACGACTTAGTGCTTCTTGTTTTTGTTCAAGACTCTCTAGAAAAAGAAAATGATTCAAATCATATAAATCGTGTTTTAAGATTACATACCTAATCGACGTTTTTCCTGTGGTGGCATTTTTGCATAGCGCGGATACTAAGAAAATAGCAATGAAAAGCTCTTTATTAAGTAAAAATACAAAGAAAAAAAAAACGAATTACGTTAGTCTTTATTGTTTTTATTTGATCTTCAATATCTGCACGTTGTTCTTCAATTGTTTGTTGTTGTAATCGTGCACTTCGTTTGCCACGAATCATAGATAATGGACAAGCAATGGAGCCATAGCCCTGAACAAGATCACACATACACATTTCGTATCTATTTAATTTTCAATCAGATTTATTTACCGTATAAATTGTTAAAAGCAAAAAACCAATAATACTTAATGTAAATATTGAAAAAGATATTGAATCTTCTACTCCTAAAATATGCTTTGTTTGTTTTTAATTAAATTCAAAGAATATATGTATATATATATATATATTTACTTGAACTATCAAAATGATAAATTAAATATTTAACATTATCCCATTCACTTGTTGAATTATCCGATGGTAATGTTGCCAATTGTGGAACAAATATTCTAATAATTGATAACTAATTATTTAACGAAACGGCAATAATAAGACGAAAGACTTACCCAAGTATAATTAGCAAAATAAGAAAAATTAAAAATCCTGCTGTCCATTTCAGCGCTGAGCAAATTCTCTAGAGAATCAAAAATTTATTATTTAAAAATAAAAATTACTTAATTTTTCATACTTTTGATAATTTTTCTCCTTGTTCTTCTCTTTCTTCATAATAGAAGAAAAGAAATGGATTGATCAAGAAAGCCATAGCAATAACAAGAGCATATAAAGCTAAAAGAAAATAAAAATACATTGCTCGTTCCTTGGACTAAAAAATGCACTAGAGACTATCGTAGTAAACTCTTATCTTGATCTGCCGGTTAGATGAATTCCTTTAAAAATTAATAATATCGACTTACTATAATATCCAATTTCGACATATTTTTGAATTTCATCACGAGATGTTTGATTTTGAGTCCATTCCTAGAGAGAGAAAAAAAATCAATGGCGAATACTTCTAATCTTTTTTTCCTACTTTAAATGTTCCATTAGGATTTTTCATAAATGACACCAGAATTACATCTGTCGGTAATAACGATGCTGTGAATAAAGCAGTAATTAATGAAATCGAACAAACGACTGTAACCAAATAATCTCGATTTCGTTTCTGTTGATAACGTAATGTAAATGTTATTGAAAAAAATATGATCAACTAATAATCCGAATAAAAACAAGAAAAGATCGAGTATTAAGTAGACAAAAAGACAATGTTTATAATACATACGAAACCAACAATAGCAAATGGCAACCAACTGCCAAGTGATGCTAATACCAACATTATTTGTTCGACAATACAAAAGAATAAATCTTCAACAAAAAATAAAGACGATTATGTAAACAGATAAGATTATACATGTGAATTAATCTACGCATTCGTAATCGAACGTGTAGAAAGGAGCCAACTTGATTATGTGAATCGTTATAATGATCATAATCATCGAATACGTAAAGATAAAGCTTCGACGAGACACAAAAGAGTGGGCGAGGTATTTTTTGAAGATAGTCAATTGAATCTTATGTGTTAAGACATAAATAAAATAGAACAATAGTTGGATCAACACGGATTTGAATTTTTTATGATTCATATCATCAACTATAAAAGGAACGAAGAAGAACAATTTATTCAATCATTCATCTTCGTTTTATTCTACAAACTACAATGATGAGCAGTCGTCGTGTTCTTTATTTAACTTTGTTCTTCTTGTCACGTTTCGATTTAATAAAATCATCGACTGCTAATTGTCCTGTTGAAGGTAGAAGAACTTTTTTTTTGCATTAGAAAAGAAACAATCCTAAGATTTATTCGATTTTTTCAGCTGATCCAGCAACTATTCTCAGTTGTGTTGCTATTGATGCTGTTGGTTTAGTTCAAGCAACGAAAGGTAACATTAGAGTATTTTGTACAATGGCTGAACGCTTTATGGAATGTGTTAAAACAAAAACACGCGGCTGTGTTGGTGAAGAGGTAAGCAAGAGAACAAAAAAGGTCTTCTGCGCACTTCAGTTACAAGATAATATTCTTCATCATTAGTTCGTGCGGGGATCTCTTTCAGAACTAATTGAATTATCACAAAAATGCTGTGTCAATAAAGATGAAAAGATGAGTGAAGAATGTCCATTTTTTTGTAAGTTCTCATTTTCTTCTGATTGATTAACAAAAAAACTAGAATTCTCTTTTTCAGCAAGACCTCAATGCTTTTCTTTAAATGATACGGCAAAGAAATCAAATGGAGATGAAATATCTATTGAAAATCTTAAAATTGGTGAAAAAGTATTGGCTATTGATCATAATGATCAAATTATATCAACAGAAGTCGTTGCTATTTTACATTATGAAAAGAATTTACCAGGTAGATCTAATGAAGATTTCAAAAAGTTTCTCTGGTTAATAAAATTTTTCTTCTAGCCCTTTTTTATACCTTCACAACTGACTCAGGACATCAACTTTCTCTAACACCCGAACATCTTGTTTACATTGGTAATCAGAAATATATTCAAGCTCGTCATATTGATTCTAATGAACATCAACTATTTATTGCTGGAAAAAATGGTCAATTAACATCGTCTCGTATTCTATCGATCGATGTACAAATAAAACATGGCTATGCAACACCCATTACTCAACATGGCACATTACTTGTCAATAACGTTAGTTCATCATGCTATGCATCTATTTATCATCATTCTATAGGACATCTGGCCATGGCACCTTTACGTTGGGCTCACCAAGCTAAACAAATATTTGGTTTAATTAATACAAGCGAAGCGAATGAAAATGGAATTCATTGGTATCCAAAAGCTTTAAACAATCTTGTTCATACGTTTGTTCCTTTTCCTGGTCTATTTACATCGACGTCAGGCAAAATCTGAACCCTAGAAGATAAACGGCAAGCTGTTTGTTCTCATCATATGCATGTAAATAGATTTGTTTCAACCAAAACTAAAAAAATATTGAAACTCAATCGCTCAACTTCATTATCAATGAAAGATAATATATTAAATGTAGAAAATTGAAAGCAAATTATTTACTAACCCGACAGTTTTTTTTATAACGTAATAAAACGAATTCTTTAAAGATGGGTATCACATCGTGTTCTTTTTTGTTTTGACTCATAACTATATCTTTGAATATAGATGAAGTCAACAATACGGAGGACAAAGATGAATCGGAAAAAAGATAACCAACAGATGACAGTAATTTTAAATAATACAATACACTACCGTATAGGGGTCCAATTAATTTTCATTGATCAGTCAAATAAATAGAGAAAAACAATGTTTTCCGCTGGTTTTTAGATCCGACAATCGAGCTTACGGAAAGTATTTCGTCAGAACGAAAGCAGTCTTCTGTTCATGTCGCTTCATTCATTTTATTATATGTGACAAATTGTGAAACGTATAATTTTACGAGAGAAGCGTTTTTACTTCATCGAAGAAGAAGATTTGTGTCGAATTTGTTTAACACTGTAGTAATTTATCATTTACTTTTTTCACTAAACGAACTGATAAATGTGATATTGAATATTATAAAGACACGACGCTTTTGAAATATGGAGCAACATATCTAGCATGTCGAACGAGAGTAGATGTCACTAATCATATGCCATACGTTGTCAAAGTAACAACGCCAATCATGGTAGTAAGTGAAATTTTATTTGTGTTCATTCCTCTCATATTCTTCTGCTAAAAAAAGCATGAGTAAATCAAATCGAGATGAAATAGATTCTGAACTGAATCGAAAACCCGTTACATTTACTGATGAAACATTACCTGTTATTTCTTGTAAAGAAATCGTTGAAAAAGATCCTGTGTTTGTATATTCAACATTTATTTGTTTTTTTTTTGTATGAAAATCATTATGTATTTTATTTCATTGCAGCCATTCAGTCAATGCAAGTGTACAAACTAAATTTGAAGTACAACTTGCTGATGCTACTTGTCAAAGTATAAAACATAAAGAATGTGAAGTAAGATTTATTGCATTATTCTTTGATACAATAAATCCTTCTATGTCGATTAGGTTCAAACAGATGTTGGAGAAAAACCTGCTGACGATCATGTGGAAATTGATATGAGTCGTTTTAATAAATTTCTTGGACGTGTCGAACCCATCGTTTCATATTATCTCGATGATAATTTAGAGCGTCCTAATGTTCTGCGTATGTAAAATTAGCTTGTTTTCTCAAAACGCCTATATCATTCTTAAATTTATTTACTATAGGACATATTAAAATGAGATATACTGGCGACGAGACAGCACAAGAATTGTTTACATTAAGTTATCCAGATATTTTAATTGATAAAGAAATTCAAGTTACAAGTTTATCATGGTCAGCGAATGGTTCATCAATCGTTGTGGGCTACGGAAGTACGTCACATGAAGGTTTATGTATGCATAAAGGTGCTGTATGTTCATGGAATATTGAACGATATAAAATCAATCCAAATAAGCCCGATATAACTATTGAAACAAGTACATGTGTTACCACACTTGCTTGCCATCCAGAAAGGCCAGGCATTGTAGCAGCTGGTCTTTATAATGGTATGTCCATCGGGATTTCTGTTTCTTTTTCAAATATCTATGGATTGATTTCAGGTGAAATACTTGTTTGGGATTTTCGTGAACAAGATTCATTGATAGCTCGTGTTTTGGAAAGACAAGATTTACATCGAGATTCGGTAACATCGTTACAATGGATTCGTGAACCGAAATTATCAAAGAAAAAGTTTATTGTAAGTTTTTATTTTTTGCTGTTGGATGTTTTTTTTTGAAAATTAATTGAATAGCTTGTATCAACAAGTCAAGACGGAAAAATTCTTCTCTGGAATCCATTACCTAGTAAAAATAATTTAAAATTGACGGATGCTTATTTTGTTGCAATCAAAGGCGGCAATAGTAGATCAGTAGGAAAACCAATGGGAGGTAGAGAAAATTTATTTTAATGATCATTTTTTATTGATTAATTATTTTTGAATTAGTTACAAGTGTAACGTTTAATAATGAAGATTCAGAAACATTTATTTTTGGTTGTGATTCCGGATTTTTATACAAAGGTTCACTTAATTCTGTATCATCTGTTCAATCACGTAAGTTCATCGATTGTCATTGAACTATTCTCTTGAACTATAAATTTTATATGATAGGCGAAGAAGGTCTGGCTGAAATGTCTATTCAACCGAAAAATCCAGTTACAATGGCATATCAATCACATGATAGTCCAATTTATGCTGTTAGTTTTTCACCTTTTAATCGACATCTATTTCTAACGAGTGCACATGACGGACAACTTCGACTCTATTCTCAACTTTTTGTAAGAGAAATTTCACAGAAAGAAAAAGAATTTCATTGAATTATTTATTTAGGCTAATTTCGGACGTTGTTTTGCACCAGCACAAGGCGCCATTTTTACTTGTCGTTGGTCACCATCGCGTCCTCTTGTTTTAGCAGCAGGGAGTGAACATGGAGGTACATTGATCTATGACCTTGAACCACACGAAGGCACGCCAGATAGTCTTCTACTCTCAATACCTGTTCAAGAATTACCATCATCCGATAAACGATCATCAATAAATGCTTTGGAATTCAATCATAAAACGTAAGAAAAAATGTTTTAAAAATTATAATTTCTCTCGGTATGTTTCGTAATTTATTCTTTCTAGTCCTAATATATTAGCATGTGGTGATAGTGCAGGTGCAGTGATGATTTGGAAACTGGCTGAACGATTTACAACAGCGCAAAATGACGAAATAGAAAATTTACAGATATTAGCTAAAAGTTTTGGTGATAGTTAAAGTTGGTTCCGTTTTTGTTTTATTTTTATTCTTGTATCATCACGGCCAATCCGTGTATGTGTATTTCTGTAAAAAAAAAAGGGAAATTAATAAAATTTAAAAAAAATAGAATTGAAAATTCAATTTTGAAACAAAACTGCTTCTGAATTGTTTTAACTTTGTGACGAACGAGAACCTCTATTTCGATATTCATCTGCAGACTGTGTATATTGATCATAGAATGGTTGTGCGCGAAAGAACATCTCAGCTTCACGACGAAGACGTCGTTCTCGAATTGCACTTCGTACGCGTTCGTCGTCGATTTCATCATGTTTCATTTGCTAGAAGAATAAACCAAATTTTTATTTAATTATAAATACAATCGACGAAAACATACATGGACAACGAATGAATTGTACGTTCGTTTTTGCCCAGATTGTTTATCATTATAACGTCCACCATAATTAACAAAGGGTGGACGACTTTCTGATTCTTGCTGAATTTTTGTTAAATTACATAGAGCATAGGGTGTTCTAACAGCTAATAATATTTAAATAAATAGTTTAGATTTGAATAGAATTTTATTTCATCGTTACTTACCGTGTTTACTTTTTTTCCTCATAAAATTATCCCAATTACAATTATTTGATGTTCGTATCGATGAAACAGTTTTCGGTCGATTTAAATGTTCGATACGAACAGGTCTTAATGGTGAACGAGAGCATCGCTGTTGATATCGAACATTCGTAGAAGATTCTCGTTGTTTTAGTTTCGCTTCTCTTAAACAAGCACGGCACGGAAATGAATACGATAGCGAGCGGTCGCTTCGAACACAAAATACGAATGGTTCATCATAAATAGGTTTCGGCGAAGAATGTGAACATCTTACACGCGGTCTGTTTCCTGAGTAATGCGTATGTGACGATGATACATGTGCCATGTTCTGTTCTCAGTAGTAATCGAAATAGATTCAATACGTCAACCGCAAGAATTTGTAATTCTTCATTTTGGATGGTGTGTTGTTTTTGCCAGCAACCAGGAGGAGAAACGCAATGTTGATTGTTGGAAATAACACAGATGTCAGACGTTGATTAATCTTGCTTTATATTCACCACTTTGCAGTGTTTCACGAGTCATTAGATTGTTATTAGCAATAATTGTTCTGTTTGACTAAGAAAGACACAGCCTATCTATTATTTTTTGTTTCACACATGATAGTAAAGACTTTTATACTTAGTGAATTTATAAATAAATCGTTGTTTACTCATGGTTGACGTAAATCAATATGAAATTACAAAAGAAAGCTATCAACATAAGGTTGATTATAAACAAAACAAAACTGTGTGATGTAACCAATATTGCCTTAGATCAAATAAATCTAAACATGTAGCTACTTTTAATTGTAATAAAATGATTATTTACATTACCAACAGTATAACGAATCGTGATATAATCACTAATAATACCCGAAAATTAGTCTTATGAGACGAACGAAATAGTTATTAGCTAAAAAAAACAACGTTCTAAGAAATCGAGTCAAACTTTTCTTTTTAATTTCAAATGATATTCCCTTGTTATGGAGTTATTGTTATCAATCAAAGCTATTTAAATCAGATACGGTTTCATATCAATTGGGCATGCTACAAGAGAAAATAAAAAATATCTGATAGTACCATATCGGTTTATCAGAAAAAATGTTTATCCTTGTATGATGCACGAATTCCTTCTCTAGAAAAGGTCATTCATTCATCTGCATAATATTTTCTGTTAATTATCCAAATATACTCTCTGTTGTTCTTTTTCATGCACGTTTCTATCATTTACATATAAATGCCGATGGAAATATACTTGATATCGGTTGATTAAGTTTAATCACTGTCATTAAGATATTTAATACAATCCTTGAGGCCTTCACATAATCCGACATATACGTAGATAATACTATGCTCGAAAGAAAAAGCATCGACCGTTATTAAACGAGATTCTAAAGCACACGACATGTAGCTATATGTTTTACTAATGCTCAAAATTTTATCACAAAAAAAACCGAAGTTAAGAAGTAGTGCTTGATACTTTCGTTTTTTTTATTCATACATATCGGCAAAAGAAAACACAAGATTTTCTTGAAATTATTTCATCACACAGTAAAGAAATTGTTTACAAAGAGGTAGGAAATATATTTATTAAGACAAAACGGGTCATTTATTGAATAAAGCAAACTAATTGTTTACTTTCGTGATAGAGCCTGTAAAATTTCGACAGGAATAGGAAAGACGATTGTTGAATTACGTTCGGCAGCAATCTGTGTTAAAGTTTGTAAAAGTCTTAATTGTAAAGCAATAGGTGATTCGTTGAGAATATCGGCAGCGTCTTTTAAACCTCGACTTGCTTTCATTTCGCCTTCAGCCGCAATGATTTTTGCACGTGCATCTCGTGACGCTTCAGCTTCAGCTGCCATAGCTTTTTGTAATGCGACAGGTAAACGTACATCTTTTACTTCGACACGTTCAACTTTAACACCCCATGGATCAGTAGCTTCGTCAAGACTAGTCTACATTAGAAAAAAATATATTTTCCTTCAAATAATAATAATAATTATGCGTATAAAAATGATTGTCAACCTGAATGAGTGTATCGATTTTATCACGTTCAGCAAGAATTTCGTGAAGCGTTTTAGTACCCAAAACCTAGTGTAAAAAAACCCTTCTGATCATACACACACATCAAAGAATTAAATCGATTTTATTACATTTCGGAGGGTTGTTGCTGCCAGAAGTTTTGTTGATTTAGCTGCATCTTCAACATTGGTGATTGAAATAACAGCATTAAAAATTCGAAAATAAACAACAGCATCAACAGCAACGGTAACGCTATCTCGTGTTAAAATTTCTTGTGGTGGAACATCAAAAGTCACTGTTCGAAGGTCAACTTTGCTGTACGTATCAATGCATGGCAAGATAAAAAACAAGCCAGGTCCTGAACAGAAGAAAAACAAAAATATTTAAGCTCATGAAAATAGAAGTGTTAAATCGATATTGCAATCATCTCTGTTGATATTAGTTTCAAGCGGTTAGGTCTTTGTTATCACATGGATATATATGTTGTCAGCTCGATTTAAAGAGGCCATCTGTTTTCTGCTACACCGCTGATTATAGAAATACACCGTTACGATCATACATTTCTATGAAAGATCATTTCAAGAAAACAAAAATATTAGCATTAGAATTTTCGAAAAAAATCACATATTTAACCATCTGTATTGTCGTTTTAGACCTCAATTGAGACCTATGATTATGGATCTTTATAATGGCAACTTCATTCTGTTGTTAATTATCATCTTCGAGTTTATATGTACGTATATATTTATTTTTAGAAGTTACTTACCACGTGCTCCATTAGCTAAGATTCGACCTAGCCGAAAAATAACAGCTCGTTCATATTCTTGTACAACCTTGAATAGATAGATAGAAGAAACGTATAAATCATTTTGTACTGTCGTTATTGATCAATAATATTAACTATACATACTTTTAAACAAAAACACAATGACAATGGAAATGTAATGACGACAAGTATATAACTCAATATGATAAGAAAACAAAAAATATAGCCTGATTCTTCACGACTATCTTTGAGATCTAAACATAAATAAAATATATATTTTATATGTCGTGTATTACTCATCAACATAAATTTCTGCTCTATCAGTTTCTCTCTTATTTATAATAGATATATCAACTATGTATAATTTATTTTCCATTTAAGCTAATAAAAACTAATTCAAGCAGAAAATGAGCAACGATCGATTTATTATTAACTTATATCTACATCTATATATGATATAGACTTTTTATATACAATTCAATGAATAAATTCATAAAAAGGTATTTCAAGAACAAAAAATTACCATATCCGTCTGAACGAGAATGACCGCCTGCTGAAAAATGTCGATCCATATTTGATATCGATGACGGTAAAGGTTGTGTTCGTTGAGTTGTTTTAGATTGAATATCTTGTCGATTATGACGTGATGAATTACGATAATCATCACGTTCTTCGTTACGATGGCTCATGATTATGATGAATAGGTTTTATTTCTTGTTCTTCTTGTTCTTGTTCTTCTTCTTCTTCTTCTTTTTCTTCTTCTCTCTTTGACTTTCTTATTGATCCATTTGTTCTTCGTTCGACATCAAAAATAAGCGAAAAATGTCGTATACACGCTCTTACGATGCTAATGATTTTCTACTATAATTGGCGAAACGTGCACATTTTCTCTCTCAGGGAATGGGACAGACAAGCAGATATACAATACACTCTTTTTCCATCTATAGATCCTGCTTAGCGTGCTCAACTACATAAATATCTACATATACGTAGAGAGAGAGAGAGAGAAAGAAAGTTCGCCAGGCATCGTTTCAGCAAATGTCACTCTCAAATGGATATAGCTTTTACTAGCGTGTCCTAATTATTAGATTGTTTCTTCTTTATCATGTGGTAATTAAGGTAAAGACGAAGCTATCAGCAAACATGATAGAAAGAGCTAGAAGCAAAAATTATTTTATATAAATGATAACTCCTGATGTTTTTTTCTTTCTTTCTTTCTTTCTTTCTTTCTCTCTCTCTTTTTATCTAAGATCTATTATTACTTTGCTATTATGACACATGCAGTAGCGCATGAAATTGCTTAAACCATTCGTACATAATAAACATGATCGGAAATCATCAATATCAATTTATATATATATATATACATGTTGAGAGAATGTTTATATGTTATCAAAAGAAGATTAATTGCATCACATCGTTAACTTTTACGTAAACTATCAACAAATTATCACCCTTTTTTCTATTTTCTTTGATAAAACAAAATTCATTAAGAAACCTTCTTCGATTAAACGTTCAATATAAAAACAAAAAGAAAAACAACATACCATCAGTATGTCGACGTACTAAATTTTGTCGTGGAATAAGAAATGAATTTCTTGATAGGCGTCGAGCAACATTACCATCAGTTCGTTGGTTCGTTTGTATCATTGGCGTAAGATATTCATCAGCGCTTAACGATCCAAATTGTGTTCGATAAACATCAGTTCGCTCTGATCCACGTCGTACACCGTATTGCGCTGCATAATTAAATCCGCTGCCAGCTTCTGTATCTACCATTGATACATCAACCATACCAATCTAGATAATATGTACGAAACACTGTGGCACAAGTAGGAAGTCTATTGCTATCTTTCGTAATATGTTAAAAGGCAGTCTATTGTACTTCTCGACGAATATTAAACACCTTATGTATTCCCTTGCTAGTACTTTCTTGAATACAGTATCTTGTCGTCACCTGCTATCAAGGGGTTTTTCCATCAGCTATTCGTATATCTATATTTACGCATGTCTCGTGTCACACGAGGTTTCTCCGACAAGTGCCATCATCGTATAGATTGACACAAGGCTATAGGCAAGTCGTAAGTGTAATGGCACAGTGACAGAGATAGAGAAAGTGAGAGAGTCAGAGGGATAGCAAGAGAAGAAAAATTATACCGGAAGAATTTTGTAGCCAATTCGTTGATACTCTCAGACATTATTTTCTCGTATTTCTTCTTTTTTTCTCCTATCTATTTCGTCGCTGTGCTTAATAATGAACTTGATATATTTGTCAAATTTTTCTTATCTTTTTCTAGCTCTTATATTATCTTCCGGAGAAAATCACTATGAATGTAGTTACTTTGCTACCAGCAAGTTCAAAATGATGATTATCATCCAACCACTCATTACAACAGATCTATTCCTTTCTTTCATACATCAAAAGCAAATGAGAGGAAGGGAAAAAATGAGAATATATTTTCTTCTCGGATTTCTAGCGAAGCCATAAAATATTAGAATGGAAGTAATATGCAGAATAATCGTAAATCGAATTATTTATTCGTCAACATGATCACAATGTTTTCTATAATCGATTTTAATGCATTGAAATAAATCAACATGTGTTCTATTAAATCAAGAGCCTAAAAGAGAAAACTCTCTCAGAAGCTTTTATCAAACATACATAGATAGATACATTCATTTGAGAGGATCTACTTGATTAATCAACTTTATAATTTTTTGAAAGAAATTATCATATAAAAAAAATGGAAGAGGACACGATACGCATACATTTAGCCGTAATGGCTTTTTCTTCCATATGTATCAATCACTGTCGTATCAAATGTGAGTTTCTCTATCAATTTCATTAGATCAATTAAGAAATAGTCACATCAATTAGAATCAATACTGCATCAATTATACTTGATATCAATGAATGCGAAACAATATAAATACTGCGTCTGTTAGTGCAGTCAGTTATTATGAAAAATTTATTGATCATGTCAACACTCATCGTTTCTAGTAACACTATGTCAAATAATACCAGTCGGCCTTCGACACCTCTTCGACGTCGCTGCCTAGGATCACTTCAATGTAATATGACATATAATGTTAATATTGAACAAACATTACTTGACTTTATTGATCGTCTAAAAGATTCAACAGATTCATCAACACAATTACTTTTACGTTTATATCATCATAAATCTGTTCGTCTCAATGATCAACCTGAACAATTGTATTCATTTCAGCAAGAAATTTATTCAAGTCTTCGTCGACTTCATCCAACGATTGTCACTTCTTCTACATTGAAACAAGAAAATCGATTGTGTATTATTCCAGAACCAATAGTGACGGGTCGATCTGCACAAGCAACTATACGAAAACTTCATTGATTCATTTGTTATTTTAGTTTTTTCTTTTAAGCAGTTGTTTTGTTTTTTTAATAAAATGAAAAAAGAAATCAATTCTCATATTTTCTGTCTCAAGATTATGCACAAGTAATAGGAGGGCATAGTTAGGTTAGAGATGAGGTTGTCGATCAAAAGATTTTTTTCTTTATAAGATCGTGAAAAAATTCTTCAAATACTTTTTGGTTAACTTTCTTGTAGAAATGATCGAGAAAGAAAAAGAATTTATGACGAAGATTGTTGCATTTCTTTTGCTGGTATTTCTTTCATTCGACCTCGAGCAAATAAAAACTAACAATAATAAGAATTACTATGGATGCATTATAGACAAACTCTGTTCATGTTGTTTCGAATAATTTAAAGAAATTGAAATATGAATAGAAAAAGAAAAAGTTTCTTACCATGTTCTCATCTGAGGTAGAAGAAGAAGAAAAAGATTGAAGTTTAATCTTTTGAATTGTTTTATTTTAAAAAATATTCCTAGGTTTTAAATGAGATCACAGAAGATCCAAGATCGGATTTAGATGATGATCCCGATTTTGATGATGGCGACATCGAGGAGTTACAAGAAGTATCGGTTGGAGCTGATAGTGATCATAAAGACGCTGCTGATCAGACACTTGTAAGTGAATTGGTTCGGTCGCCAACTGCAAAATCGTTACTTTCATCAGCACTCAGCGATGGTAAACGAAGTCGAGCAAAACAAAATCCATTTTATAGTTTTGGCAGTGTGCTAGTGAAACGTGATCCAGCTATTGAATCAATAATTGAGTCGAGAAAATATGTTATTATTGAAAATCCTTATACACGCTTATCACAAGTTACATCACAGGCACCACGACCTTCGGACCATAAGACATCATTTGAGATTGCTCTCGTAACAGAATCATCAGAATTCAATGTGAAAGATCGAAATTCAAGTGCTCGAAGTACAAAAAGAGCGTCACCCATAGGATCAGCTGAATTGGACAGTGAAGAATGGGTTGACGGGTTTACCGAAGAATTCGAAAAAGGTAACTAAACAATTTTTGAAGAATAAATTACCAATATATCGACATTTTCTAATGGTTCTCATAGAAACAATGCTTGGAAGTGATAAACCATGTGTACAAATATATGAAGAAACGTGCGCACGTTTAAATATTTGCCCTTGTTCTATGATTGCTCGATCTTTAAATACAACGGAAATAAATTTAGGTAGCTATGGTCTAGGCCCACGAGGATGCTCAGCATTAGCGGCTAGTCTTGTTGTAAGCTTTCTCTTGGAATATATTTATTTTTTCTCACTCTTCAAATATCTAATTTCAGCGTAATACTGTTGTTGTATCCCTTAATTTATCAGCCAACAATATTGGTAGCCTTGGTATGTCATATGTCTATCAAATTCTTACGGAAAACATAAGTATTGAGGATTATGTACGTATTCGATTTAAATACATTGTTTGTTTCTATGTTTAAAATTTTGCTTATTATAAGTACACGTTAAAAAATGAAGTTACATACTGGGTAGTTTGAAAGAAAAAAACAACATTCATACTATGACTAAAGATATTCCATTTTGTTAACATCAGAAACGTTTTATCTCATAATTTACATTTATTGAATGTAAAAGTACGTTTCTTAAGTAACAGATCGTATTCTTTTTCTAGGATCTTTCATTTAACAATCTCGGTACAAAAGGTATTCATAAGCTAGCAGATGGTCTCACCCAAAATCTTCATACGAAAACTTTAAGTGTAGCTGGTATGTCATATTAAACTATTAGTTTGTTATTTTAACATTATTATTTGATGTAGGAAATAATTTAAATGCAACTGATATTAAAATTTTGCTTTCGAAATTAGAGGTAAATTAATTTTCATAATAAATAACACTATAAAACATTATAACACATAGGATCATCCAAACATGAAAAATCTCAATTTAAGTCATAACCAATTAGATGAAGAAGGTGGAAAATATTTAGCTCAATGGCTCGGTAAATATTTACGGGACAAAAAAATAAAGAAATCATGACTTTTTTTTTAATTTTTAGTTGATAATCATGTTTTACTTAATCTTGACATTAGCTGGTGCAGTATTCGTTTACTGGGTGCTAAAGCTTTAGCTAAAGCTATTGGTGATAATAATAAACTAGTATCACTCAATTTATCATCGAATAGTTTTACCAATGATACGATTGAACTTATAACACAATCTTTATCACGCAATATGACATTATACGATTTAAATCTGCATGGAAATCAATTCATATGTAGATATGACATGAAGTTTAAAGAAAATCCATCTGATTTAACCACCGGGAAAGAATCTCAAATTTATAAAATGATGGTAGCTGCTGCAACCAATCAATCATTAAAGACATTTGAAGTAAATGGAAAAGAAAATTTTCAATATTTCGACTATTTTTTTTTTTAGTGCGGACAAAATCATATCGATACACGTTGTTTAATTATTATGTTAGAAGCATTATCAGAATTGACTAATATTTCACTCGAAGAACTTGACCTAACCGTAGGTTTTTATACGACTTCGATTATTATGACTTGTTTAAAATAATTCAGTTGTTATTGTTTTTTTGTTTTTTGTTCTAAGGGTTTATCAATGAATGCAAAGCAAACATCAAAAATAAATTCACTATTTTTAAACCATCGGAAATTAAAGTGCTACATTGGACCTGTAAGATACACAGCGGAACATTTTGCAAATTATCTCTTAAATTTAATACATATGTATTGTGAACAAAATGCAGTTGCTCTATCTGACATGTTTAATCCAATTGAAGGCATTCGTACGACAATATCAACAGTGACACATGAACAATTTCTTGATGGATTAAGAAGAGCAAGAATTCCAATTCCAATGGCATACATCGATGATATTATCAAATATTTGGTTCGTACTTTTGTTTTATTTTGCATTCTCTTTAGCAATGTAAATCTACTGATTGTGATTTTAATACAGGGAGGCGATAGTGAACCGGGAACAATATCTCTGAGGTTTGAAAAAAATTAAATTCCCGATTTTTTATTTTTATTACTCATTTTACTTACAGATCAATTGATATTAGTTAAATTATATTTTTATTATTCGTTCTTTATGTATATTTATATATTAATATTTACGATATCATTCCTCATAACTCAATAATTAATCAGTCAACATGCTTTTGTATGACGTTATGGTTTGTTTGCTTCGTCTGAGAAATCTATTCATTTGATCAATATATTTTGACATGTTAATAAACTGTTTCGGCTATTTAACGTGTTCTCTAATATTCTTATTCATAAATCATAAAAACAGAACGAACGAAGAAACGAAAAATAAACGCAAAATATCACGACGATCATAACCGAACAATTCAAATTAGAGACTTATTTTTTTACCGTTGCATATTTGACATATTCTTTCTTTTTTTTTCTTCTTTTTTCTCCATTTTGCTATCTCTTTGACATAGCATACCTTCAATCGGTCATGCCTTTTTCTTACTTATTTACTCATAATGAACATATTCATATGTTTCATATGCTAATTTTTCTTTTTAATAAATAAATAAATTTTTTCATTGATGTATTGCCGAAAAAAATAAGTAATATTTAGTATTCATTATTTTTTTTTATTAGCGCAATTAACGCATGCGATTGATAAGATTTATCGTTGGCACATCTACATTGGAATTTTAATGAAAGGCATACTTCAAATCGAATCAGTGAGAGCAAGCGAAGCTATTTTTCTTCTCTTTGACAAATATATTACATATAAACGGAATACTCAAATGGAATGCGTAAAATCGATGCTTGGGTGTCTGTAGATTTTTCATAGACGTATATAAAGAGACTGTCTATTAGTTTAACCCACAATCGGAGACGAGCAACAACAAAAAACTAACGGTAAGATTTTGTGTTTATGCATGTATTTTTCTTGTAGTTTCGAAAGTGCAAAATTTTCGAACTTTATTTATTTTGCTCTATAATAGAAAAAAAAGTCTTAAAATAACTCGTCAGTTACCATGAACTGATGCAAATAATGTTTCGCCAGAAAGTAAATAGTAGTTAATGTATTTTTAGAACTCAAAGAATAAAAATAAAATTTCCTATTCTGTCATCTTATAAAAAATTGCGTTGTATGTCATTTGTACTTCATAATCATTTGTGCGTCAGTCTTTTGAAAAGATCTATGATTCGTTATGATATCTTTTTCTGCTAATAATTTATGTTCTTTGATATAATCGTCATAGTTTATCGAATGACAAATATGATCTTCCTTATCGATTGTTTTCTTTGTTTTTTTTCTCTTTCTCTCTTTCTCGTTTTCTACCATCTTAAATATTTTTTTTGCAAGATTGAGTTTAAGAGTGGATACCTGCTGTTACGCATATTAACCCGCCATAATATTGGATTTTTATTTTGCACTATTGGCGTTTACTGTATTTGGCGCTTACGATTTCTTTTTACTTAGTTACATATGGTATGACATTATTTATCTTGCATTTGTAGTCTAAAACATACGCATATGCTAATAGCAGAGTGTAAGAAGAAAAAGGCCAATAGTAGAAATCAGGACTCAAACGACGCCAGAAGAAATCTACATAGAAAGTTTAACGAGAACGAAATATGGTCATAGTGAGATCATTTTAGTTTAGTTTTTCATACAATATTGAAGTTTAGTCTAGGGTTTTTCTTCTCAGAGCTCGTGCAGATAACGAAGACGGAATAATTTCTTTTTTCTTCCTTATCTAAACGAATTAGTGAGAGAAGAAAAAGAAGTGCAGTAAAAGCAAAATATTCGTGACGATTCATTTTTCGATCAAGCTATGCCAAGAATGAAAACCATTTCAATAATGTAGATTCTATCAAAGCATTTTGTTTAACACAATGTCCCTTTGTATATATATATATAGTTTTTCTTTCTTTTTCACTAATAAATAAACAGAGACATCGATGTGTATGAAATTATAAAATGTCTTTTTTCTTTTCGTTTAGAATCTGAAATATTTCGACAATGAACGGAAATAACAATAACAACAGTTCAATGTGCAATCAAAATCAGATACCAAAAAATTTACCATTGAAAAAACGCCGAGCTTATATTATCGATACGCCAACGATCGACGTTGAAAATTCAAACAATCGTCAACAGGAAAATTATCAAACTCATAGATCAACAACAACCAAACAGTAAGTGAATAGTTTTGTTTCAATATTTGCTTCTGAATCATAGAAAATTATTTTTTCTGGAGTTTATTGACATAGACAAAGAAAATTGCTCATTGGTTTTTTTCCCCATATTTCAGAACACACCCGCAAGAAGATCTTCAACTTCATCTTCCTTCAGTTGTTACATCAACGCCGCCATCATCTCCTCAACTCGAGCTATTAAGACAACATTATGCATATCTAATTGCTAATATCGCAAATAATCAACATGATAATCGATTTCCATCATCAGCATCTTATGAATGTGTCATGGCACAAAAGGTTCTTGCACAACAATTTCTTGACAATTATCGAGCATTAGTTGAACAACAATATCAAAATTCGCAATATGGCTATCAATTAGCTGAAGGTATTTGTAGAGAATGTTCTGTTTTGTTTAAAAAAGAAAGTATTTTCAATTCATAGATAAACAAAATGCAACACATTTAACCATTGATGAACATTTTCGAAAATCTCTCGGTGATAATTATGATAAATTAACCGCTGGATTTTTGACACCAGATAATTCATCATCCAATAGTTCACCGAGAGAACGAAGTCCAGGTTCGACTTTTGAATAAGCAAAAAACAAAGCAAAACTTATGTGTGTTTTATTTACATTTTTCTTTACAGTTGATTCAATTGAAGAACACTTTGCTCGATCACTTGGCAAGTTTTGGCCCTTAACAACATCATCAAATGACGATAGAAATTCATCAATAGCCGCACCCGATGTTGATGATCATTTTGCAAAAGCATTAGGTGCAACAACATGGGAAAATTTGAAAGAAAAATCATAACTTTATACTCTATGCATATTTAATTCTAGCTGTATTTTTTGTTTATTTGTTATTATATCTCTTCGTTTTTTGTTTTGTTTTCTCTTATCTATGTATCCGATGACACCCGGCGTCAATGTGTACATGACAAATAAATAAAGAAAAAAGAAAAAGAATCAACGATTAGTTTATAAATGAAAACAATTAATAAATCGATGAATAAGTTCGATTCATACTTTCAGAATTTCTAGTATGGATTTGATTAGATCTATGTTTTGTTCGATGTTTCGATGGTCGTTTAGAAGAGAAATTCATTGGCTGTGGTTGTGGTGAATTTGAAAAGTATGGATTGCTCGTTAGGCCAGGAAGTGGTCGTCCACGAAAATCTGGTTGATTCAATGATGATTGACATAAATAATTACATTTGCCATTGTTCGTAGGAGATCGATTATGAACTAAATAAAAGCTATAAAAAATTAGAAATTAATACAAAACATGCTTACAAACACCAGTATCATTTCGCGTATTAGGTGTAGCATCAGTATAATTTGTTGGCCGAACAAATCCGCCAGACATCATCATATTAGGTGGAGCAAACATAGCTAAAAATTCTCACCAGTATTTATTTTTCCTCAACATAGACGAATAGAGACGTACGTTGAATAGGTGGTCCAATAGGTGCCTGAGGAGGACCATGATTTGTATGGCATGGTATTGAATAGTGAGGTGCAGCAAAAGGAGGAGGAGCGGGAACAAATTTTTGAGGTGATTGACTATATTGACTTATTATGGGTGGTTGTAAATAGATATTCGATGTTGGAGGTTGTGGATGCTCATTTTGTACGCGTGCAAAACCTAATATATGCAAAAAAGCCTTTTCTCTCCTTCTTATCAATTGTTTAGAATTAAATGCAAAGGTAAAGTGTGTCAGAACAGGATAAAATTTTAACCTTTTGCAACTATTTCAAGATTACGAGGCATTATAATTCCTGTTGATGAAGACGGCATTTTATGGTACGATTGTGAAGGAGAGTACCTGAAAACAACAAGTACTATCACATCGAATAGTTTCTTTCGGAAAGCATCAGAAACAAACGGTTTATTATTTTGAATAGTCGATTGATATTGATTACTATTATTATTCATGTGCTGTTTTTGACTTAATGCATTTACAGTTAACGTTATCAAAATTTCATCACCATCATGTGCCTAGAATATTTTTCTTCAAAATACTATTTATCTAAACGTAAAATTAACCATTTGTGATAGTGATTGTAATTGTTGTTGTACAGATGTATTATGTAGTTGTGTTGTTTTGTTTTCAAATGAATTTCGAGGATTCGACTGTAGCTGATGTTGAACTTGCGACAGCTGCGCCACTATAATAAATCAACAGAAGATGCAAAATTGAATTAATCGCTCGATCTATTCAATACTGGTACTTGCCATTGGATTGTTGTGAAATATGAAAAGGAGATGGATCAGGTGAGATAAAATCGTTGGTTGGCGATAAACCAGACTGTGGTACTGGTACAGACAGAGTTTGAAATTCAAAAGTTTCTGCAGGCGAATAAGATGGAGATTTTGGATTATTGAAATTTAGACGTCTTGGAGTCATTAAAACTGGTGAATCTGTAATAGTATCTGGATCAGTTGTTGTTATGGTTGTTGTATCTTCAACTTCTCTTTCTTTCTGTTTTTTCTCGTTTTTATTTTTTATTTCATTATCTTAAACAAAAACTATTATTAAAACTATTTCCTGAGAATACATTTGTTATTGATTACCATAGCCCTTTTTTTGTGTACTCAAAAAACGTGAGTACACTCCAGATTCGGTCAGTGTGTCCGTCCGGCCGTTAAGACGATAACCTTTGAAAACCTCATTCAATTGTCATGAAATTTTGTACAGATAATGACCTCATCAATATCTCAGTCGAGTTCAAAGATGAGAAGGATTCGTCGAGAAATGGCTGAGTTATCGAAAAAATTGTCATTATTGATCGGACCATCCCTGAGGAGGGGTACAGGGATTTTTTCAAAAAAAAACATTTTTTCTTAGAATTATTCACAATATATATATAAATCGACTCAGTTTTTGCAGTACACATAACAATCGGATGCGAATCCGATGTTTCCTCATTTCTTCTAGAATAAAATCAAACTTTTGTTTTCTATTGAATATATGTAATTACCTTTATTTTCATCAGAATTTTTTTTCTCTTTATTAGAAGACTTTTCTTTTCTATAGAACATTAACATATAGATAGATTTTACTTTATTTAAATTTCATCATTTCACTTATTCTTTTTTTCTTTATTATTTGATAATTGAAGATTTGAATTAAACATCGGTGTCAAATGATGATAATTATTGTTTATAGCTGAATATGAATATTGATTTTTATTTTGATCAATATTTATTTCGTGTGCTATTTCGTGAAGTAGATCAATTAGAACATTGCTATTACCATTTTCTAAATGTTCTTGAAGAAAATTTATTGCATTCAATTGATTATTAATTGTTATGGGTTCTATAGACGATGTATTCAATTGATGATTGTTGGTCCAATCAATGCAATCAGATAGATTTTGTTCTTTTAACATTAAATTGCGTTTATTGAGAAGAGTTTTATCTTGTTGATTTTTAATTGATGAAAATAAATTCCAAGAAATAGGTGTTGATGATTGAGAATTATCATCACTATTTATCGATGCTGAGATATTATTATTAACATCAGATTTCGTATTTGGATTGACAGAGGAAATTGTTGAATTAGTAAAAACCTTTTGAGTATTATTCTATTAATAGAATGAAATTATCTTTCATTTACGATTTTTGTTGTTGTCATATTAAAATAGTGTAACAACAGTCAAGTATTCTTGATAATTAGTTGATATTATTTTTAGAAAGTTCTTGAAACTTTTATGCTTCTCTCTTTCTTTGAAATATTTTGATTAAGACATACAACACTCAGATCAAAAGGTTGCCGAAAGAACTAGAAAGATTACTATGCTAAGATAATAAATAAGTGCGTGATCTATAATAACATGAAAAGCAAATCAAAGAGTTTGCTTGATTATCAATGCACCATATCACTATTAAGCATGTTCGGTAAATAATACAATTTACTTAATATATCTCAAAACCGATTTCTTAAAACAAAATCATTTATATTCAAATGAATTTATTGCGTCTTTATGTTTGAAGGATATAGTTGCATGAATAAAATTATGACTCCGAAGCTTTTTCATTCTAGACATAAATAATTTATCTTTTCAAATTCACAGAAAGAAATTCTTTTTCTTATCGAACTTAGTTAAGTCATTTTTTTCACGTACTTTAACCTTTGTGAATTGATTTGAAATCATTAATAAAACAAGTTATCGAATTATGTCATGCATCTGTTTTCAATGATGCATTATTTTGCTATTATTATAATATGACAAAAAAAATGATTGCTAATTCAAATTACTTTCTTCCTATTTTTTGCGCGCCTGAATGATTTCATAGTTTGTTTAATTTTAAATGAAATTTTTTCTTTCCTATTCTGTTTATTTGAGTGATAATGAGATCTTCAGAAGACAAAGCAGAAAGTAAAAGAATGAACAAAAAAAGAAACATCTTGAACGCAAAAATTGACTTTAATTGTATATAATATATGTATGTGTATGTGTGCGATCGTCGCTTTTTAAACAAACACATCAAGTGCACAGAAGAAATAAGAAGCGTGTGTTCTATACGTGAAAGATAGATATTAGAAAGGGGAACAAAGAGATATGAAAACATATTATGGTAAGAAAGAAAAAGAACACAATAGACAAACAAACAAACAAACAAACAAACAAATCATACGTGTATGTGTGTATAAATGTAAATGATTAAGATTTATTTGAATAGGTTAGAAAACAAAAATACCTATTTATGTTTCTGCGTTGTTTTATCGCCAAAAAAAGAAAATATACAGTGATCATGATATTAAATCTATCTCTTCTTTAGGATTTTTTTTTTAAGTTTTAATATGTGCCCTTCTATGTTTTATGGGAATGATTCTTAACAAACACTGTTTCAAAACACACACGCACAAGTGAAAAGAAGACAAGAAAAGAAAGAAACATGGCTGCTAGAAGACTAATGAATGAGAATTAGAGAGCCTATACTTGTGTGTATCACAGTCAGACGCTTCTTCATTTCGTTCTTGTCTCGTTTTTTCTTTTGTATTGGTGCGTCCGAAGAGGTTCGATTGTGATAACACATTATACAGAAACACATACATACACAAACAATTTATAACATTAAAAAAAAGAAAAGAAGAAATATAGACACACAAACACACATGCAGAGCCACCCTAATTTATCAATCATTCATCAAGCTCTTCTACACTACTTTCATCACCGTCCGATTGCGCATCATCATCATCATCATCATCTGATTGTTCGGACATGTCATCAGCATCATCATCTGATTCATCTGGATTGAAATTAACTGCACCATGTATGAACTGTGGATGTCCAACAGCAGTCGATAAGAAATTACCGTAATCAGCCGGCTGTCTACGAAAATCAAAGCCAACAGCGCCAGCTTGTAAAGCCGATGGACTATGTTCAGCACTACTACCACTAGCATAAGTTAATTGATCTTCTGAATACATAAAACCGTCAGCAGGATTACCAAATAAAGGTTCGCCAGTGATCCTATTTAAAGAAAAACGAAGAAATGATTGAATACAAAAACATTTGCTAGGTCATATCTTATCGATCTTTTATTTGATAAACTTACCATGGATTCATTAAACATTCAGCAGCAGTAGCACGTAGATTAACATCATAATGAAGCATTGGCTCGAGAAAATGTGTAAATTCGATAGCTTCATATGGTGGCCATTTATATTTTTCAGTTAATACATGAAATAAATCCCACGGCTTTAATTGTTTTATATTACGTAATTGTCCTTGAAAAGGAAATTCGACATGTTTCTTTTTTAATAAAAAAAAAAATGCGTCTCTTTTGTTGGCATACCTCGTTTATTAAAAAATTCTCTTGAATACCGACCCGAATGAGCTATTTCAATAGGTATCGGACCTAACAATTCAATGATATGTGCAATATGATCTTCATCTCGGCTATAATCTTCTCCACTATGTGGTTCGAATAAATAATCTCCTGTGACTAATTCAAATGCCATACAAGCTACACTCCATATATCAGCTGACGTATCATATCCTGCTCCAAGTATAACTTCAAGTGAACGATATTGACGTGTTTGAATATCTTCTGTAAAATGTTGATACTAGAAAAGAGAAAATGAATTCATAATAATTGCAATAAGAAGAATTTCATTTTTGTTCCTGTACTTACAGTCCAACAGGCATTTCCTAAATCAGCTATTTTAACTTGAAGTATTTCTTCAGGTACAATTTCAAAAACTGGATTTGGCGTTCGTTCAGCCATTGGTCGAGCTAAAGGTTGTAAAATAATAGATAGAAAGAAGATTTTGTAAAACAGAAAAGAAACTTACGTGCCGATGTTGCATCCGGTTCATTCGATGTTGCTTGTTTATTTGCATCACCTGAAATAGCAGCCGTAGCCGTCAAAGCAGTCTGCTCATTGAGTTCTTGTTCTGTATCATCATGATTATTTCCATTTGTTTGTGGTTTTTTATCGTGACCGTTACCAGGTTCAATAATAGGATTTTCATCATCACTTTCATCTGATTTATTGTCTTGTTTGTCTACTGACGAATTTTGATGACCATTCAATTTTTGTTCACCGGAAATATCTACACAGATTAATTGATAAGATTAGACAATCGAACGAATAATTTTTATTTACCTGGCTTCGATTGAGTTGTTTGATCAGTAATAATCAATTTATTTAAATTAACTTGATTAGGTGAACTTAATAGATTGTGTTTTTGTTTTTCTGCATCCTTAAAAACAGTCAAAATAAGAAAAATTTATATTGAAATCGAACATAATAGTTACTTGAATTTGTTGTTGAGTCAGTTCTAACATTTTTTGTTTTTGTTTTTCCTTTTTCTTTAATTTTTTCTTCTTATTTTTTGTCATCGTTTTAGGATCTGGTTTGTTTACAATATGCGCAGTAGCAACTATAAACAAATCTTTCGTTTGATACATATAAATACATACGTCAAAATATTCATACCAGCAGATCCAACTGGCTTAATACCAGGTTTATGCCATTCAGCAGCTTGATAAGACAAAGCACGTACATGTTCTTCATCAACACACATTAGTACATTTTCAGGTTTGATCTATATAAGAAAAAAAACGAAAAATTAAAAATAATCGAAATGTTAGATTAGCGTTTATTTTTCTATTACATCCGTATGAATAATCTGACATTTACGATGAAGATAATCAAGACCTTGTAGCACTTGTTTAATGATTGCTTTAACATTTGGTATCGGTATACCACGATAATTTGAGCGTATAATCAGTTTAAGTAAATTATGACCGAGTACTTCAAAAACCATGCATACATGGGTACCATTAACACCAGCTACTTTGAACTCATCTAGTAGTTGTACACATTTAAGACGATAGGGATCCGATGGATCACTTTCACGAACGTGTGTTAATAATTTTATTTCATCTAATGCAGTTTCAGTATAATGTTTTGCACTTTTAACTACTTTCATAGCAACGAATCTTGCAACTTTACGATCCCAACATAACCATACAGTAGAAAAATGACCTGAAAAACAAATTTACAATAGGAGAAGAAAATTGGCGTATTTCATTTTTACCCCATCCTAATTTTCGTATAACATGATAACGTTGATTAAAAATTGAACCAATAGTTATTGGATGATAACCACCTTTACAATAATCTTTTGGATCTTCTTGTTCATCGTCGTCTGAACCACGAATGTCATGATTTTCTTCTTCTTCGTTGTCACTTTCAACATTTACTGGAACGGGTAATGAATTATTTGGACTTGGCATATCTACTATTGCATTACCATTATTGCGTAAAACTCTACAGAAGAAGAAAAAAAGACTCGAGACGAATTAATTTCTTTTCTCTAAAATTTCTTTTCATCTTAATTACGAGATAGGAGGTGGAGCGCTGGACGATAGACCACCACTACTTGCAATTGTAAATGATGAATCAGATTGCGGTATTGGAAGATTTTCTGCTGTATTCATTGGCGTTGAAGCTGATGGTGAAGGAGTTGTACCACTAGCAGTCGTTGTAGGCCTAGGAAATTCAATAGAATAGTTACACGTATAATTTCGACCAAGGAAAAATAAAATGTAACATATGAATATTATTTTCTTTCGTTCTTATTAAAAAATGAATGTACTATGATTCAGCCTTGATGATTATATATCTCACCTACTAATTATTGATGACTGAGGTCGAAAAGGTGGCATATCTCTTATCAACTGTCTATTTTCCTGTATAGGCGCGAGACCACAAAAACATCTTGCATCAATTTTCTGTTGTTGTATTGTTTCATTATTGATTGAATTATTATTTTGGACTTTCAACGATTCCGATCTTAATAATTTATTTCCTGATGAAAATACCATTGGATTATGAGATTTCTGTTGTTGACTAATTAATGGTTGAGTTTTAAAATCAACAATATTTATTGCTGAATCCCATCTTGGATTTGTCGGTCGAAGAATAGTTGTTGTTGATGTTTGAGGATTGGGTACGCGATATAATATAGAACCTGTTGATGAACGTAGAAGATTTGAATGTATTGGATATGGTTGAGATGCATATGATGTTCGTATATGTGACCGTATGATTGGATAACGTACAGGTGGTGTTTGTTGTTTCGTAATCACAGCTTTTTTACTACTATCATTCGGAACGGTTAAACCATCAACAGCCGAATGATACAAAGGAATAGAAAATGTTCCTGTGGTAGTCATTTTAAATCTTCATATATATATTCGACCATTATTTAAAAAGATTCCCTTCGCTTTACGCGGATATACGTATATATATATACTCTCTTACTAAGATGATTTTTTTTCTTTCTTTTCCTTGTATATCATCATCCTCAATCATGCATATCCAACTATATTTATATATAAAGCATATATATATATATATATTTGTATGCCTACTTCACAATGATGATCATCACACCTAGGCATATGCTTCATTTCATTCTATTCTTTTGTCAACGTATGAATTTCTCATTAGTTGATAAATAATTATTATTTTTTTTTACTTACATTTTCTTTTGAATTAAATCTCGTCGTGGGCGAGGTTTCCCACCATTTTTAGGCCGACGTTTCTTTGCTTGAATTGTACGTGCAAGAGCTAAATTTAAAAAAATGGACACGTTAATTTTCAATCTTTTTATCAAAAGCAAAATTGTATTTCATACATGGTGCAGCATTTGAACTAATTCCAGCTTTTGGCATGTTGAATAAATATATGAATTTTTGAAACGAAATAAAATATTAGATAGATAGATAGATAGATAGATAGATAGATAGATAACTATATGAAGATAAGTTAATATAATATTAATAATTGAATAGAATTGTCATTGAGTATGTGTTTATTTGGTGTTCATTGAAGGCTTTTTAATATATATCTGCATCGTTTGAATGAAAAACGACAAACGAAAACAGTACGAGAGAATTTATCTAGAAAGATTTGAAATAAAACAAATTGAAAACGATGCCGTAGGGGTGTACATCCACAACGACCAATACACAAACAAGGTGAAGTTGTACTCGCAGTAGCATCGATAGCTGATGACTTGACTGTTTTTGCTTGTGATCAATCAGGCAACTACTCGAATTTACTTCTATATAACACATTTATGCAAAGATATTCGTTTTACCATTTGACAGTTGAAGAAAAATTGAATAGAGTCCTATCAACTACAGTAAAGGAGAATGTTGGACCAATCAAATTTAAAGATTTATTTTCTTGTATAAATATATGAGTCATACATACAGCTGTACGTCCATTTGAATTCTTTCTCTCAACATTTTTTTGGTCTAAGATAAATATTTCAAAAATGATTGATAATCCTGAAGAACAGCTTCAACGTGTTGTTAATCGATTGCGTAAAGTTGTTGAAGATTACTCAGCACAGGTAATTCTAATGATATATTTTTCTTTGTAAACATGGTCAAGATCGAATATCCAATGACAATGACAATTTTCGTTGTTCCTTATGCCCTTTAGAGATATAATACAAAGGACTAAAACATTGTTTCTCTCACGTGCATGATTATCGAACAAGTATTTTCTTAGCAATTATAAGATTGGTTTAAATAACAAGCAGAAATTTTTATGCAATGCTCCGTCATTAATTTGGGCTCTACTGGCAGGCCTCGGACAAACTTCAATCTTACAAATGATACAAAGAATTTCATATGACACAGAAAACTGCTTATGTTGAAATTCATAAGCTCTGACAACATTCTACCACGTCTATCACTCATAGTACTTTTTCCATATAGAAATCAAAAGAAGATAATGTGAAATTCCCGATGCATACTCATGAAAGGTTATGACACATTTTTTTGTACAGGCTTGAGAATCGATAAAAAAAAGCAATACGTATAAAACCATGAACTTGAACTTCGAAAGAAAAAGTATTGAATACGATATTCACTGGAATGCATATGTCGAAATCGTTTTCCCTCTAGGACGAAGCTATTATCGGAAATATCCTATGTTATCAATGATTAATGATTAAAAAAAAAAAGGTCCTTTCTCGTTTGTAATACAGTAGCTTTGTGTCTTCTTGTTAACAGATGCTTATGTCAAAAATTAATCTTCTTAAATTAATACATGGTGTATTAATGAATAACATTCAAGGCGGAGTTTTTTCCCTCAGGTCACCTTGACGTTATATCATAGATAGAGAATCGCTGATTATGTGAATCAATGAAATAATTCAAAAATAGATCTGCTGCGTTTGAAAAATTTAGCAAAGCATTTCCTTTGGATAGTACACTATTCTTCTCTTTGTAATATTGCAAGATAAAAAATTACACGATGTCAAACTCAGTTTGAGTTAGATTGCTATTTTCTTTTGACGATAAAACTACTTTGCTAAAGACATGTAATCTGTTGTAAACTACAACAAAACTGTATGTCAACGAATCCATTCATAATTTGTGGTAGAGAGAGAGTTGTATTCGATGATTTCACATTTTCTGTGAAATGTTGATTAAAAGACGACATCTAATTCAAATGTTTTTATTTAGCGTCAATTTGAATCGGCTGCTTTCTGGGGTGATAAATTACTTTCATTAAATCGAAGTAAACTATTTAAAATCGTTTTGCAAATACCATCTTATAAAAATTCCATGATTTTTAGATTCGTCCGATGACTTACTTCTTGTTGCCAAATGCTTCATGTCCAATGGTGATTACAATCGAACACGTATTCTTCTTGAAAATTCTCCTCTTTATCATGTAACGTTTGAAATCTTTTGTCATAAATTAAATTTTAGATTTTGTTTTTCATAACTTGTTTGTTTTAGTCGGATCCTCAATTTAAATATCTTGTTGCTCTCTGTCATGTAAATTGAAATTGCAACAGCATTGCTTTTTTTTTCTATTAAAACTTCATTTGTAGTTTCATTTAAAAGATTATCAAACAGCAGCAACCGTTCTTGAATTACTCGAAGAATTCCTTGATGTCGACCAACAACAGCAACAACCAGGATCATCATTTAAAACACCATTTACACCGAAAATAACAAATATTGAATTTCCTAATCCTGTATGATCTTATTCTATTAATTCTTAATTGATCGTCATAGTAAATATATATATATTTCTACGTTTAGCTTCGTGCGTCCATCTGTTTATTACGTGGAAAAGTCGCTGAAATTCTTGGCTCATTACAACAAGCAATGAAATTTTATGAAGAAGCACTTCGTTTCGATGTGTTTTGTGCTGAAGCGTATGAAAAATTAATTAAGAAACATATGTATACACCAGAAGAAGGTATTGTTGTCATTCAATTGTACGAAGATTTATTATTATTGAGTTTCAGAACAACGATTGGTCGACAGAATGGTGATTGAAAAACAATGTGATTCTGATGTTGCTTCCGTTGTACGCTGTTCATACGAACAAGAAGTTCATCAGGTAAATATTGTTTTGTTTTTATCTACTCATGAATTCTTCATTGGTCGATAACAAAAAATTCGATTTAGTATATGAAGCCAATTATTGTTAATCTTCCAACGTTTACTATCGGTTTATTGAACGATAATGCTGATTATTGTATAAATGTATGTTAAACAAAATTTAATTCTAAAATAATTTAACTTTCGTTAGATTGCTGAAAAATTTTATTATAATTATAAATTTCGTGAATCATTTGATTTATGTAAAAAGTAAGTTGAGATTTTTTCGAAAAGTGAATTTCACGCCTGAGAATGTTTCGATTTTTGTAAATGATATTGATTTGATTATTTATAGAGTTCTTACACATAATCCATTTCATCAACATGGATTATTTATATATATTGCATTACTTTATGAAATGAAAGATAAAACTGGTTTGTAGTTAATAAAAAAAAGCTCAATTCGATTTCTTTCTTTTTCTTTCTAATAGAATTATTTAGTTTGGGACATCGATTAGCAAGACAATGTCCAGAAAATCCAGTATAAAGATGAGAAAAACTCGTAGAAAAATCTTATTCTTCTCAATTTTAGCTCAGTTGGCTGGCAGTTGGGTGCTATTATTTAGTAACAAAAAAACCTGAGCCAACACGTCGATATTTAGCGTATGAGCTGCATCGTTAAAAAAAGATTTAATTCTTCTATATTTCGTTTTTAGAAAAGCCACATCTTTATGTCGAAGTTTTGGCCCAGCATGGCTTGCATTAGGTCATTCATATGGTCTTGAATCTGAACATGATCATGCAATTTCAGCATATTTTACTGCTGCAGATGTTATGCGCGGGTAGAAAATTCTCTCTTCAATTAAATATTTTTAAAGAGATTTACATTTGTTTCTACAGTTGTCATTTGCCAATTCTTTATGTTGGTCTTGAATATAGTTTAACGAATAATCTTCGATTAGCTGAACGTCTATATTCTGAGTCATTAAAATTTTATCCCGATGATCCAGCTGTACTTCATGAATTAGGTGTAATCAATTATCTTAATCGAGAGTATGTACGCAGTTGAAATGATTTATATAATCAAGAAAATTTCATTTAGATATCATCATGCACTACTTTTCTTTCAACGTGCTTTAATTAAAGTTGAAGCGATTGATCAAGTTGACTTATTACCATATTGGGAACCTTTATTTAATAATATGGGACATGCATGTCGAAAATTAAAGTAAGACAAATTCTAAATGAATAAATTTAGTAGTGAATTTTGTTTTCTGTCTAGGAAATATGATGATGCTATAATGCATTTTAAAAAATGTCTTGGATTAACACCACGTAATCCACAAACGCTTATTGCTATTGGATTTGTGCATGCCTTACAAGGAAATTACGGCCAAGCGATTGAATATCTTCATCAAGTCAGAATCTTTTTAAAATTTCGTATATATTCAATCGAAATTTCTATTGTGTTTCGTAGGGCCTTTGGTTAAGTCCAGCTAGTTCATTTGCTCAAACACTGTTAAATAAATGTTTTAATATGACACAAAGTAAAACTTATGTCGAACAATTACCAGGTAAGACCGAATAAGCAAAAATTAATTCTCCTGCTTTTTTTCTTCTTCAAATATTAGAGCCACCCGGTGACCTCAACGATTATTTATCAGCTCGACAAAATAGCACAATCACTCAAACGGAAATGATCCCGGTTTCAGTTCCAACTCCTTCTGTTGAAGAATCTGATCAAGGCAGTTCATCCATGATTATCGCATAGAACATAACACATAGGAAAAAAAGTTTATATTTTCTAAAAATAAAAATTGTCAGATAATTTTTTCTCTTTATCATCAACATATATTTTTATACACATACATATATATATATTACATCAAGATTTCGATTGAATATCAGTATCATCTGCCTTCTTAGGATAGACATAAACACGTGATAAGTTTAATTTTTTATCAGCCATTCCAATTAAATTTAAATCGCTTGCATTTGGAATATTTGTTGTTACCTCTTCAACTCGACTACTCGTACTTGCATTATCATCTATAGTTGCTGATGATGTACTGAAAAATAAATTTGTACCAAGAATATAATTATATTGACCTTGAAATGTATATGGACCGATTTGAATGAATGGATTAGTACCATCGATATCAATCGCTCGAATTTCAGATTTTACAGCATGTTCGAGAACAGTTTGTTGATCAATATCATGTCCAATATCAGCCATGATGAGAAAATCTTCTTCTTCATCTTCGTCTGCTTGGTCAGCATCATTAGTTGGTTGATTTTTAATATCTGAAGGAGTGTCAACTTCCATAAAATAAATGGATCTATTGTCTTTTACTTCGTGCGGTGAATGTAATCTATGCTTTTAAAGAACATTCGATTGATAATAATTCATCCAGTGATAAAAATTCATGAATATTCAGGCACTGACATATTACTCCCTCTTTCGAACGAGGAATCATATTTAGCAGACAAATATTTCGTCATACATCACAACGTGTTCATGATCGATTAAGTTTGCTTTTAATCTACAAGCAAGTTATATAATGTTTTTGACAATAAAAAAAAAGTAATATAAAACAAGATGCCAGTCACAGATTGAAGTACCGTGTGTGTGCAATATTTCCCTGTTTGTCAGCCGATGACGTAGACTTTTATTATCACACATCATATTTTTGAACTCGCTTTTCACACTCACTAAAGCGAAATATAACATTATACTAGTCGTTTAGGCTCGAGAAGAAAACGAATGATTAATGGACTTGACAGAAATGTTATGAAAAATTGTAATCAAAAGACGATAAAAAGAAGTTTGAAATAAAAGCACAAAGCTTTCAACGATGATTTTCGAAAAAATATTTTACCATCTTACCAATTGATGTTTTTAATCTTGTCGAATCGATTTGAGCAGATTTATGCAATATTCAATTCTATGTTAAAACCGTATATGAAAGAGAATACACGCATTTTCTTTTTGTTCAATGTGTAGAAATTGTTTTTTATGAGTCAATATAAATATTTTCACTAGTGCATACAGTCAAAATATACGTTTATTTATTATTATTTTCCTGCTTGTCATGCTAATCAGCATATTCGAGGGTGTTTTTCTTTTGAAACAAAATCATCAAATATTTACATCGGAATTTACTCATGTCGTATATGTCTTGCTATACCTTAACTTTTGAAAAATCTATTCCTTGTCAGGTCAATTGCGTCGCTACATGATTGATTATTAACACACGTTATATTTTCATGGTTTCAGAAGGATATATAAGGAGATCTTTAAAAATGTAAAATATCATGAGAATTTATTGAAAATTTACATGGCATTCCTAGTTTATTTTATTACTTGTATGTTATTCATCAAAGTTTCTGATGGTATTAAATGTATTGATGATATTCAAATGCAATTCTATTCATCTGAGGTTAATTTAACTAAAGTTATGAAAACTCTGAGCAATCTAAAAAGTAGTGATAAGAAGAAGTGCCAAGTATATATCGAATTAAATTCAGTTACTAAAGACTTGGTAATACAATTCGACCAATCGATGCAATTACCACGTCTTCGTTCTTTTGAAAATGTTCATGTACAAATTTCTACATCGATCACATCAGCGAATCCTGAGAAGACCACGAGTCAAACTTCGATCAATACTACAGTATACATAACATGTCAAAGCAATGATGAATGTGATACTCAGTTCATTGAGGAATATTTGACTTGGTTGATTAAAAAAAATTATAGAAATTTAGAATCTTCTATTCGCCCTTTGATACTCGTCCAAGGTGAAAAAAAAAGTAAGAATAGTATACTGTGAGCCTTCATCTAAACGGGGTAAACATTGATCGGTGATTAAACCTCATGAATTTTTCTTTAGATGAGTGCACGATTGGTAATGGAGATAATGTAAAACCATGCTACAATAATTCATGCTCATGGTACTATTCAGTAGATACAACACTAGGTGAAGGTAAATGCGAAAATACGGATTTACATGTATTACCAATGCTTCAACTCACCATTAACATAAGAATGTTTGTCAAGCACAAGGAACAAGACGAAATGAAACCAGCTCGAGCAATATTTAAACATCGTTTATCAATCAAATTTTGGTGTGAATTAAGTAATTGTAATAATGAAAAAGTTGGAAAATTAGTGGAAGAAACTGTCAGCAAACAATATGATTTATGGACGATATGCAAGACTTGTTAAATTGATCAAAAACATATTATCAAATGAAGAAAATGGAATACACATCAATATATTCTATACAATACATTCCCCATTAAAGATCCTCAATTACTTTAACTACTACCATCGGTAATACACTAACAAATATTAAAGACCTGCCAGAGTCATCTATTATAATTATCTATCTGATGTCAACATCAAGAATTCTAACACGAAAATGAGCAACAATCTATTCTCATTTCATATTCATGTGATCACACATAATGGCATTTTCTGTACTTTGCTCCTTTCCGCTTATAAATAATTCAAATAAAATCAAAATTCTTTCACTAGTCAATAGCATACTTTATTGAAAAACTTAGCTAGAAAATTATACGAGAGAAACGAAGTACTTTAGTTTCACTTAACAACTGATCGATAAATTTGATAAAATGATATTATCATCGAAAATCATCGTCTTCACACTGATACTTAATGATAGTTAGTGAGTGGTTTTAATGTAGTAGATCAATAATTATTTACCTAACTACCTACATAGCTTTCAATAACTAGAGAAACACTTGCCAGTAAAAGACTTAATATTCGTATACCACCGGGTAGCATGCATTTCGCCCTTGACTTTAGACAAATGCCAAAAGTTGTGTTCTTTTAAGATTTTCGGCTGTAAAGAGGAGGGATCTTTGGCAATAGCCAATAGTTCAGTTTGAGGAATTATCGGAAATCTTAATAAAAATATTAATCAACTAATTAATTATAGTAAAGAAACCACACTGGACATTGTGTGATTTCAAGTTGATCGAAGTCCTTCAACAATATTAGTAGACCTTCTGAATGATGATATCGTCTAATAATACATACAGCTTGAATCGATGATGAAAGAGGTAAGTAACAGAATGTATCGAGATGCTAAGAACAGTTTTATAAGAATTGGGAATCATCTATCGCCCAAAATTCACGAAATAAAATAATTGCCGAAAGTCAAGGGCGAAAGTCAGTACGGAAAAATTCTTGAGGGCGTGGGTGTGTAAGTGTGAGGAAAGGCGGACATATGTGTCTAGACCCACATCCACGCACCCACACCTCACATACACCCGCCCTTGTATTCGTTGCTTCAATGATTCAGAAATAAATAAACATTGAGCGTGGCACTAGAGGAAACATTGACATATTTGACTATAACAAACAATGAAAAACTATTTATTTCAAGCCCAGAGTCTTATTGGATCTCACTAGTAATCAATGTCGAATTGAAAATGTGAATAGCTGAATTTTTTATAACTTATTCTGACATTTATCAATTGATACTTTTTGCTTGTTTGAAAATTTTGTGCAACCCCTTGAAAATTTAGATCTTTATGAAGATACGAAACACATCGACAAACTAAATCCCACTGCACACTATGATCTTCACTGAAAAAAATATTTCTTGTTGAAATGATTCACTCTTCGCCCAACCTCACATGGCGTGTTGTTTTTCATTGTTCTTCCGACGAATATTTACTTTCTGCATTCTTCTTCTTATGCTTTCGATAACGTAGTTTTCGATTCTAGTCGTATCTCGACTCATATCAATTGACACCATACTCCACTCGCTTGCAATTTTTGGGAGTAAGTTTTTTTTTCTACTCATGTTTACATCCAATTTCGTAGGAGAAACTATACACGGTAGGACTTTGTATCATTCTTCTACTTGTAACTATACTCTCAAACCGATAGTTTCTTGCGATCTGAAATAATATGATCACAGTTAATCAGCAGAATTTTAGAGAACTGCCCAATTAGTGTCGAATCAGCAGCTTCCCAGGTCGAACATTCTGGCCACCGGATTCTGTAGGATATTCCAGGGAATATGCGGGAAAGCCACCACATCCTGCAGGAAAACACGGGAAATGGCTGGAAATTGGAAGCAGTTTTCCGGTAGGAATTGATTGGAAATCACCGGAAAAAATCCGAAAAATTTCCAACCGGAATACTGCTTCCACAAAATCAACGGAACTACCCGGAACCGGCCGTTTCCAAATCGTACTGTTCGATCTGGGGCTGTTAGTAGATCAGAAAATTGACCTATTTTAATTTACTTAGAAAATACGTTAAAAATGTATTCTTGAACGTTTTTGTAATTAGAAGTTAACTATTTCAGGTTAGAAATACCAAAAAATTTAAACAAAGAGGAAAGAAGCACACTGGAGAAGGTAGTGATGACGAATCGACATGTATTGTATTTTTTTTGTTTCTTGTCTATTCTTCCATTATCGTATACGTATCCTATCGTAGAATCATGCGATCTTGTAAGATTTCCCCAAAGCCTTGCTTAGTGAAGAGCTCCGGTTTTGAAAACTGATTCTTTGTTATTGATAAAAATTGATCGCTGAATAAACAGCTCTATCAAAAACATTCGTGCTATCGAGCACATGAAAAATCTTGTGAAAGTCTTTCGTTTCAGATTCAAAGAAAAAAATACGTGTCACTAATTCTGTGAGTGTGTGGCAGAATAAATAAAAATCGAACATGTCTTCATCAACCGTGGTTGTCGTCGCTCACGTCTATTGTCGGGCGGACCAGATGGAAAATATTCTTTCAGTCCTTCGAACATTGACAGCAGCTACTCGAACTGAGTCTGGCTGTATCAAGTATGAGTTGCATCAAGACTTATCGGACGAAACACACTTAACATTTATCGAAGAGTGGGAAAATGAAGAGGCTTTGAAGTTGCACTTTCAAACAGAGCACTTTAAACATGGTAACGAACAGGTTCAAGCAGCTAGTGCCAAACCAGTTGAAATCTTTAAATATAAAAAACTTTTGTGATTGTATCTCCATTACGCAATGAAATAGAAAACTATCGATTGTTTCACACATACTTAATTGGATATATCTTTTTTGCATACATCTATGTTTAATAAATTACAACTAGCGCTAGTCGAGAATCAATTCACTTGGCCCTAGACTGAAAGAACCACACATGGAAATACGTGGACAGAGGAAAAAATTTGATATCTGCGTCCGAAGGGACAGGAGAATAAGTTGAACACATATGCCACATATGGTGGGGAATATGAATTTGCGACAAAATCGAATTCATTAAAATCATCTCTATTTGTGACAAAATAAAAACTGTAGTGGTAAAGCGGTATAAGCAGTATACCGCTATACTACA